ATAAAACCCCCCCAGCCACAGCCGACCCTTCCGGTTCCGGCCTCAGCGAGGAGGTTCACATCACACCGCAAACAATCGAGACATGGAATGTTATCGACTGTTATTCATCATGTGTGAGTGTATCATCAAATCGGTCCAAAAAGGCATGATATAATAATCGGTCCAAATAAACATATATGTATTAGTTGGCCAATTTAAAACTCTAGCATCAGATGATTACTCAAACAGCAATCTCCACAAATCTATCTAACGAACGATTTTGCTATTTCACATCATCTAACGACAAACCACTCATGACCGCAATATGGATGCGATTGCGAGCGAGAGAGAAACATGTGATTAACAACGGGAATCAAACATGTCCAGTTGATTATTCACAATCATCTTCAGTGAGTATATTTCATTATACAGAAAACGGATAAATGCAGCATTACCTCTTCCTCTTGTAGCAACCGCCCCTCTCATGGCTCTGGTTCGTTATTTAACTGAAACCCAATACAAAGGACACTGTAAACACATGAATCTACAGAAAACAAATCGAAAGCAGGTTTCTTTCTATTCAGCAATGATGCTACAGTGTCAGTGTTACCAGTCAAACAAAAAGTGATCTGTACGGATCTCAATTGGATCCTAATTTTGTTCGTTAATCTGCAGACAATTGGATACCAAAAACCGACATAGAAAAGATGACTAATGAAAACGATGATGAATAGAGGGTTTCAGTTACATGCCCAAGTGGTTTAACTGTATTTTATTCGATCTTAAAACCCTCAACCAGCTAGAAACATAGCGAGAAAGCAATCTCGACTAACCTAACGAACCAGAGTATCTTTCATTTGCCATGAAATTTGTCTCCATCTACTTTTCTAAAGCTTAGTTCATGGGAAGATGCCATAAGAGATTGTTGTTATACAGAAACAGGAACAGTAGTAAAATTAGCTGATCTAAACGCAGCAATATCATAAGACTACAACCCGACAACAGATTGAATCCTGATTATTTTTTCAATTTATCATACCGTCGTGTGTTCTGCTCTAACTCGTGAGAGTTCAAATTATTAGATTGAAGATCAAAACCCTAGGGTGAAGAAGATGACTCGTCCTCAGTTTCCGATTCGTTATTCACCTATGAAACCATGATTCACCACTTCTTCACAGTTCCATGATTCTCCTACAAACTAAATTAAAACACTGCTCCAACAGAATGCAAAACCCTAACCCAAAAACCCAAAAAATCAGACTCGCAGACCACAAACCGCTTCCCAGATCCCTGACACAGAACCAAGACGTGAAGCTGAAAATCAGGCACGGTCATATCGAGAGGAAGCTTCGAAAAGCCATATAGCCAAAACACACAGATCCAGAAGTACGGATTCATATCATCCATGTTACCAATCGGATAATCATCTACGAAAAACCCAATTCACCAATTCGAACATAGTATCGCGATTCACCACATCACAAAAACCCTAATTCTGAACAACAGATCCACAATCAAAGATTGAAAAGCTCCAAACTCAACATAGGTACCATTAGATAGACGACGAAGAGATGCGAAGCTTTTAGTTGTAGTAGAGCTCAAGACCCATGCCATCGTGGATCTCGTAGTCCTTGAGAGTGATGTGATCCTTGTAGATGTTGTACCACTTCTGAATCCTGATCTTGTCGGCTCGAGTTCCGGTCTGCGCCGCCACCAGCTTCTTCAGGTCACCGATCGTATCATCCTCGTTGCACTTCACTCGCACCTTCTTCCCCAGTCGATCGTTCAACACAACTTCGATCATCTTCTTCCTATCGGTTCGGCTCTGATTCTCTGCTCTCGTTTGCTTTGGTGATTCCGAATTCGGACGATGGAAAGAAAAAAACCCTAAATTCTCTTTGAACTGAAATCGACCATATATTACTTTATTTTTTTCGTCCCGATTCCTTGAAATCCAAGTCGTGGAAAGGAGGAAATCTATTTTTTTCGAAACGACGGCGTTTAATTGCTAACCTAGTAATACAAGCATTGGTTGTCCGGAATTTTAAATATAGAAGCGTGACCGTACCATTTACATGACTTCAAAACAGATAACCAAAAGACCACGGACACCTATATACATATACATACACAATAAGCTTATTCTGACGTATCCTACAATTTTTTTTTTCCACTAGTAAAACCTAGTTTTTACATAATTTGATTTAAAATTTCCGGTTCCCCGGTTCATAGGAACTGGTCTGAAACTGAGGTGGTGTTGTTCAAGAGCTTCATCATGAAGTTGAACTCAGTGTCCGGAGAGATCTTGGGCTGAGGCCAATTTGCTCCTTCCGGGACCTTGATGCATCTGAAGCCTTGCTCTTTGTACAGTTTGGTCGCCCCTTGGTTGTTCAAATCACAGTGAAGGGCGACGGCTCGGCATCCCCATGTCATCGCTAACGCCTCCGCTTTCAAGATTAGTCTTTTTGCTATCCCCTTTCGCCGGAATCTCTCACGGACCGCCACGTTTGATATGTAAGCGATCCCGGCCCTGGTCGGAGTATCGTAGTCATAGGTTACACATTGAGTTTATAATAAAGCGGAAACACATATAGGAGCTGATTACCAAGAAACATACTAGCTTATTAAACTGTCGTCATAAAATGATAGGAGATCGCCTGGAAAGAAAGAAAAGGAGGAGAAAGCAAGAGAACAGGTCACAAGTGTTTGGTAATTTTGTCTGTATATTGCCGTACTCTGTTTAACTCTCTGTTCATATGTATACAAAAGTACCCGACTTTACCTACTAACAACCCCTAACTAATTAACTTCAGCTACTAACCGACTTACATAAGCTAACAAAATCGTTAATTTATAGGTAATACAGCTAAAGTGAGACTCTAGAGAGTCGAACATGGACACTTGCCTAGTAAAGTTTCCATCTTGTGCTTGATAAAAGACAGATTGATGGAGGTTTCAGTCACCCAGGAAATAAATAGACTTCGGTTTTTATCATGTAAAGACGAACACAAAATTTGCAAGACAATTTTCTACACTGTAGCATATATTTCGTTTTGGACGGTGTTTGTTTTACATAGACAATTAAAGAAGATAACGAGAACTCGAATCAAATGTGTTTTGTGTTCTCTCATCAACCATCATCATTTTACAATAACGAAAATATACGGGGTTAGTTGTTGCTAGCTTAACAAATTTTCTAGGACCAACAATTCAGACTGCTGGGATACGGCTAGAGCAGTAACTAAGCCAAAATTGGGTCTCGCGAGTAGCGAAGAAGACCTTTTATACTTAAATCGTGAAGCTGGTCTAGGCTCCAGGAACCTTTTTTCTAAGTTAGATCGCTTAGGCATCGTCCACTCACGACAACAAATGTCCGACTCAGAGTAGGTTCTTCATGCCCTTGCTATTTCAACCGAGTTTCTAAAAATATATAGAGTTTATCTCTAAAAAAGAAGGAAAATGTATAAGATAGATCACAGATAAAAAAAATAAAGAACACACCTTCTCTGGCGGAGGGGTCCTTTCCTTGGAAGAAAATCAGCCACTGTGTCCACTGTCAGGATCCCAGCTACATAACCTTTGTTCAGGCTGATTTTTGCATCAAAAGCTCCAATTTTTAAATCTTCGCTTCCGAAGCAAAATGTTTCATCCACTGAGCTCCCAATGACAGCGACTAAACAAGTCCTGCGGCAGCCTGCTGGAATAGAGAATCCTAATATCATAGCCATCAACCTATCTACTCTGAGCACGACATCTAAAGGGAACGAATAATCCGGGAAGAACGAGCTGCAGTGAGTCTCTGCAACTTCCCAACAGTCCTCCAATCTTGCTTCCCGGACAACAATTTCAGGCGACAAAGCTGGAAAAAGTTCAGCTATTTGGCTTGCCTTGCATATTCCTATACCCAAACAAAAAATCATTAGAACTAGAATGAAATAACTGAAAGGCCGAAACCATACACATGCACATTGCACAAAGACAGACAATATAGGGTAATGTAAACTTAACCACACTATTGTCCTCTCTCTTTGACAGATGAGGCATTCACATGTAACAGAGTAGACATCAGGATAGAACAAAACCCGGGCTCAAGAAAAGTGAGTAAGCTTCTTTACTCTTGCAAAAACACATGCTTGTGAACATCTTAAGGAAAGAGCTAAACTAAGAAGATATATCCTTTACTCTTCATACTAGTTAATCCATGTAAATATTGCAAATAGGTAATTTCCTCCCCTCCGGATGATCATAAGAATCCGGGTAATACATACAGTTAGAAACCATCAACTGTTTTGGTCAAACTATGCAAAACCATAAAAATCCCTAACATGTGATCCATGAATCGCCAAAATTTGAAAATCTAAACAAAAAAATCATCTAAATTTCACTTTCCACAACGATGATTTGGTGGGAATACTGGCTAAATCCGCTAAAATTCACTCCCTCCGTATCCGAGAGGACAAGATTCAGTCACAAAGGGTCAACGCTCATAACCTATCACCAGCAGAACCGCCATGGATTTCTACAACAAATTCGTTATCTAAATATTCTAGGTCGATATCCCATGTTCTCTAGAATTGCATTTGAAAGAATTGCGCGTAAAAATCCAACATCTAACCGAAATCGAATCTGATGGCTTACGAGATGTGGTAATCGTAGGGGCCAAACCTGAAGCGGAAGACGACGACGAAGAGTGAGGAAGCCTAGGAGAGAGAGAACATAGAGAGTGATGGTGTCCCCGGAGACGGGGAAAGGAGGAGGAGGAGAAGCAGCCATGGCGGTGGTGCTTGACGAGGGATGGTGATATCGCCGCCGTCGTCTCCAACAGTGAGCTCCTCATCTCTCTCTCTCTCTCTCCCCTCTTTCTAACGGAAGAAAAATCTTCGCGACTTGGCCAAGTGACAGAGATTGCTGAGGAGGGCGTGGGCAATCCGGGTTGGATTTTGTTTTCGGTTCGGTTTAGGGAAAACATTGTTATTTCTAATTTGAGCTATTTATAATTAAATATAAAGTTTCTAATTTCTAAATATTTATGAAAAATAAAAACCTGAAACATTAGGATGAGTTATTAGTTGGGTTCTTTATAAAAATTTCCAAAAATAAGTTAAAAACTGTACAAAAAAATTATATTTTGTAAACTATATATTTTTCGATAATTATTAAAAATGCTGACATTTTTTCGTTTTTCTTGGTACATTTCCTCTTCTTCCTTATAAGATAAAAATATTAAAAAAGACGAAATTAGCCTTCCCTACCCGAGTCCCTCCTTCAGTACTGCACTACCACTACCGTATTCAAACAGTTCGAAACACAGTCCTCACAATCATGGATCAAATGATCACCCTCTGAGTGAATTTCAGAACAGTTCCATTGATCTCAGCTTCTCAGATCCTTAACACGGTCTTCAAGAGAAGAAGCCATGGACGTTGCCAAATGCAGCAGCTTCACTTTCCTCGACCCTACCAAGCTCAGTTCTCTCCTCTCTAACCACAATTTCTCTCTTCCTCAAACTAGAAGCATCGCGCGCCGTTTCGCGCCGTCGGAGCGGCCATTGTCGCTTTCCGCGAGAATCTCCAGCTGTGGCGGAGGTGCGAGATCTGAGAACGTTGTCACGGCGGAGAAACCGGCTAAATCGGAGAGATTTCAGGTTTCCGGCGGCTTTCCCTCCCCGTTTGGCGCTACCCTCAGAGATGACGGCGTCAATTTCGCAATTTATTCTGCGAATTCGGTTTCTGCGACTCTCTGCTTGATTTCACCCTCCGATCTCCTGCAGGTCAGGGTTCATGCATCGTTTGTCTGGCGTGTTTTCTTGTTTGATGTTTTGAGCGGCTAATTTTTCGGAAATATTTGGTTAATTGTTTTGACGTTGTAGAACAAAGTGACAGAGGAGGTTCTGCTTGATCCGTCGACGAATAGAACTGGTCATATATGGCATGTGTTCTTGAGGGGAGATTTCAAAGATATGTTGTATGGTTACAGATTTGAAGGGAAGTCTTCACCTGAAGAAGGCCATTATTTTGACTCCTCCAATATTTTATTGGATCCTTATGCAAAAGTAAGGGAATGGTTTTTTTCTTTCCTGTTGAATAATTTGTCGAAACCTTAGTGCACAAAGCCGATTATTTTCAAGAGAAACAGAGAGAAGCTTATTTTGTAAAGCAGTACATGACTGAACGCTGTATTCTACCGACTGGAAATTGCCACTTTGGCCTTGATAGGCAGTTATAAGCAGAGATGAGTTCGGTGTTGTAGGACCTGATGACAGTTGTTGGCCTCAGATGGCCTGTATGGTGCCCACTCATCATGAAAAGGTATGACGTCCTTAAATGGTACTTTTGAATGTTGTAGAGCGAAATTTGACATTGTTTAGCAGTTCATATCACGTTTCATGCGACTTGTTAGTCTATTTTCCTTAGCACTAGTTCTATTGCAATTTTTTAGATACAATCTTAACTTTGATTTTGTTTTTGTGACTGGCCTTGGATGTTCTGCAGTTTGACTGGGAAGGGGATATGCCTCTGAAGCTTTTGCAGAGGGATCTTGTGATATACGAAATGCATGTTCGGGGCTTCACAAAGCATGAATCTAGTCATGTTGAATTCCCTGGCTCATACCTTGGTGTTGTGGAGAAGCTTGAACATTTGAAGGTACTGACTAGCACATATACCGTTGCTTAAACATTTTATTATTCTAATCAGAATGAAAAGTCAATATATAATTTCTATTTCAGTTCATGATGCAATGTTGATTGGGATATTGCCCTCATAAATATGTCTATCTGTCTTGACATTTGATTCATCATTTCTGAACATATGGGACTAATGATACTCCGGTTTATCAACTTCCAGTTAGACTCCTTGTTTAGGTTTTTATCCCTTGAAAGGCGCATCCCCTTTGAATTTTCTGCTCTTACTAGAAATTTGTCCATAATTTCTAAGAGTTGAAATAGAAGGTATAAAATGTGGGGTATGTGCTTCACATTGCCAATACAGGTGGAAGGAGATCTATCTACTTTAAGCAAGAAGGTGTCCACCTTTTTTAAAAGAATCATGTCATCTCATTCGAACGAGTTTTGTAGATTTGTCTGTGATAGAACCCGAGATTGGGTTCTATAGGAGAATAGATTGTCGAGAGATCTGCTTATCTCCTAAATTCAGTGCTTTCAGGGACTGAAAGACCTCCAAAATTGATCACACTGATGTCTTTATTTCACGTAGAAAAGCCCTTTATACAGGGTACGGAGCCATGGGAAACCCTAGGTAGAATCCTAGATATGATAGAAGATCAAAACCAACACAAATAGAAATAGAAACTCCTAACGTACGACAAGGACCTTAGAAACTTGTAGGCTACTCGGCCTCAGCTTCTTCTACACATCCCCTAGTGTAAGGCAAATGGTCCGGAGGCTTATCAGTAGGATGCAAACTTTTCCTCAAATCACAATGCATGATGAGTATGTCCACACTTCTAGAATCATTTGCCACTTGTTAACAGAGATCATTAGGCTTTGAAAGTTTCATCTGTTGCTCATATGCATGTACTTAGAGCCATTATCAAACAGAAAAAAATTTCAAGTATCGTTTGCTATTGTCTTCTTATTAGCTGTTTAAATGTTAACAGGAACTTGGGGTTAACTGCATAGAGTTAATGCCATGTCATGAGTTTAATGAGCTGGAGTATTATAGCTACAATGCCGTCTCAGGTGATTATAGGTATGGGTTCCACATAAGCGGCAATATTGTGGCAGCTGATATGTTTGCTTTACAAGCATTTATGGAGCTTTAAGATGTGACTACATTGAAAAACCATTGCTAGTTAATGTTTGTCACTGCTAGCATGTCTAAGTAATCTTTTAAAAGAATTTGTCAATAGTGTCTGTGTCAATACGGGGGAGATACCAATCAAACGCGGGAGCAAAACAACTCTCGGATAATTTGCCATAGTTGGAATACACATGAGAAGCAAACAGCCATAGATTATATGCATCTCTTGGTTTTATTGAGTTCTACGGCATAACTTGGTTAAATGTCTTTAAGTGGTATGTCTAAAGGGCCACCTCGCTGTTTTTCATGACATGCCTGTTTACATCATCTTACTTGTCCAGGGTAAATTTTTGGGGATACTCTACTGTCGGTTTCTTCTCTCCCATGATCAGATACTCATCAGTGGCCAATCGTGACTTTGCTGGCAAAGCAATAAATGAGTTCAAAGTTCTTGTCAGAGAGGCACATAAACGAGGAATGGAGGTGATAAATTGTTTCTGAGTCACAAAAAAGTGGCTTCTCAGATTTAGGGATGCAGTTCATAATATATTTCCTGCAGGTTATTATGGATGTTGTTTTCAACCACACTGCAGAAGGGAATGAAAAAGGCCCCGCCTTCTCATTTAGAGGTGTTGATAACAGCGCTTATTACATGGTTGCACCAAAGGTACTGCTCAAACAGCCAGATCATTTATTTTTATTTTTTTTGGAATTTTCACCGCTAAGGAAAATAGAAGTTATCTTAAGATTTGTGGAGTATGAAACTGATCATTCTTGATTTATTTGTTTTCCTTCCGTAACTAAAAATGAAGTAGAATCAGTAAGTGGGTTTCAGTTTTGCTAATTGGACATGAAGGATGCAGTTTATTTGGAGGCTTGATTTGAAGTGTTTGGTGTTTGTTTTTGGGCAAAGTGCAACAAACTTTGATGTTTTCATGTTATAGTTGGCACGGCAAAAACTTCCGCGTGCAGCTATCTTTTTAGCAAGTTAATTATTGCCTTTTTGGATGTGCTAGGCATGCAAATCATAACTATAACAGAATGCTACAGTGCGTCAGCTACTGTTTTGCTTACTATGTTTTTTCTCATGTTATTACGGCCTGTTTATCACTTATTGCTATTGTGTGAGTTTCAGGCCCCATCCCTAGTAATTTTCTGTGTCTTGTGTTCTATTGATCTATTCCTATCTATTATTGTCATGTCTGACTTATTTCGCAACTGACACCTCAGCAGAGGGTAGGACTTCCTAGTTGAATTTAATTAATCACAAAAAAATAAAATGTGAGAGTGAATGAAGAGGACTAGTTTTTGCTTATCGATGATATCTTAGCCAACACCCAAATTGTTTGCTTCTGCTTTCTAGTTTGTAGTTCTCACTTCTCATAGTGATAATTCTGACATGATTTCTTTTGAATGATAGTAATGTTGATCAAGGTTCTGTAATCTAACAGGGAGAGTTCTACAATTATTCAGGCTGCGGTAATACATTTAACTGCAATCATCCCGTGGTGCGCCAATTCATTGTGGATTGCTTAAGGTAGTCTCCTATGGACACACTAGATATATTATTTTACTGTTTTTGTAGCCCAGAAGTTTCTTGATACATATTCTATCATCCCTGGTTTTGTGTTTCATATATATATATATGCATTCTTTGTGACTGCGAAAAAAAGGTTTTCAGCAGCTTCATCTTTGAAGCGCTGCCAGTTTTAAATTTATTTTAGTGTATACCAGAAGGCTTTGTTTTGATCACCCTAGGCCTATGATGATTTGCTCATCTTCTAATCTGGAACATTCGAATGTAACTTTTTGGTTTGCCTGGTTTCTGATCACTCTAAGCAGGCAAACACCAGGTAACTTCTAAAGATAAATAACCATTTTCTGGCTTTTGCTGAGTTTATCATGACTTGCATGTTTTCCGAATCCTAAATCTGGACAAAGCTTTTGTACTTTATCATATTTAAATATTTCACAAGTTACAAGTCTATTTCTTTCTCTCTTGGATCAGATATTGGGTAACAGAAATGCATGTGGATGGCTTTCGCTTTGATCTTGGTTCGATTATGTCGAGGAGCAGCAGGTGAGTTTGTTCTAGCGTGCTTCAGCTCAGTTCAGGTGATTGTCTTTTGGAGTATTTATTCTTTTTTCCTTGTTAGTCTCTGGGATGCAGACAACGTGTATGGTGCTGATACAGAAGGTGACTTGCTGACAACCGGAAGCCCACTTAGCTGTCCTCCGCTAATCGACATGATAAGTAATGATCCAATACTTCGTGGGGTTAAGGTAATCAATCTAGTTTTCTCGTATTAATGCCTACTTTGTCATCCTTATCTGAAGATACCATGTTTCATTTGACTTTATGGTATTGACAAGAACCCTTTTCTTTCAACTCAGTGCCATTGTATAGCCTGTACCTCAATATCTAAATAAAGTATTATTGGCTGTTTGACATTTTTACCTGGAATATGGTATGTCTTTGTGGAAATATGTAGGCCACAGTATGCAGCTTTTCCTTGTAGTCATTTCAGTTGAATACATTCAGTTACAAAAGAAAGTTTGACATCAATCAGATACCATATGCATGTGCGTCTGTGCATATACAAGCAACAACAAAAAGTTGGATGACTTAAGTACAAACTAGAATTTTTCTAAAACAATTAATTACTCACTGAATTATGTTCCTTTAATGTAGTGGTCAAAAGTAGTATGCTAGATACTGTTTTCTAACTATTTCTGGGGGCTTTGTTCTTTACAAAGTTGAGGACCTAACTTCATGGAATTGACAATCATTACAAGTTCTAATATTCAGCTAATGGGCTCAAAGATGTTTGCCTAGGTTTGTGTCTTGTGTTGAGCCAACCTTGCTTGCTTCCTAGAGCTCAAGGATAATTCTACATAACTGCCAGAAATTTGGCTAAGTTGTGGAGATCTCACTACATGAACATGTATAAGGGCCACTGATCTGTTTTTAGTGAAGAATTAATCTGATAAATATATGGTGAAAACTTTGTGCCATTCCCTAGAACAGTTCCGTTTGAGCGTCCAATGTGGATAGTAGTCTGCTCTCATAAAGGTTTATGGATTCACGCAACCTCCTCTTTTTTCTGTTGTCGTGATGTCCAATTCTATGGATCATGGAAAGAAAGTAATATGTTTCATGTTTCTGTTGCTCGGCTGTAAATACATTTACGCGTGGGATCTTTTAACTTAAGGATAATGATAGAGGACATTATTGATGGAATAGTCTTCTTTTTTCTCTATGCAAATATAGCTAATAGCTGAAGCATGGGATGCTGGCGGCCTATACCAAGTTGGCACGTTTCCTCACTGGGGTATCTGGTCTGAATGGAATGGAAAGGTGAGCAAAGCTCCCTGAAACATGGAACTCTTTTATCTCAACGTAACTGATATAAAAAAACCAGTTCTCGAGAAAATATGAACAACCACATATATGCTGTAAACTTTCAGGTATGGGACAGAAGTCTTAACCATCTGATATGAAATGAGTGCTCGGTTCTTTCAACTTGCCATTGTTTGCATGCATGACATTGCTTACAGTTGCATGTGAGATGACTTTGGCATTCTTTCCATTTCAGTATCGGGATGTTGTGCGACAGTTCATCAAAGGTACCGATGGCTTCTCTGGTGCTTTTGGCGAATGTCTCTGTGGGAGCCCAAACTTGTATCAGGTAACATTTAGCTCTGTGTGTTGGGGTCTGCATATTGTCCGATGTCTGATATCTCGTGGTGACTCATCTTTTAGATGTTGATTTGGTCTGTCAAGCCTACTGCTTCTGAAATCATCTTTAAACTGTTTTATCAGTAGTGACAATGCTTTTATAAAACCCTGAAGCTTTTCAGATACATCAATGGAAGATGAGAAACAGGAAGCGTGTTTATATTTTTCTTATTGTTTGATTGATCTCAATTATTTATTAGGACGTAACTGTATTTTCTTGCCAATTAGAGCTGAAAGATAAGGAAGCTTGGAAATGCTTTTGTGCTTAACTTTATGTTTGATTGGCTCTCAACAATATGCATTTCCAAATAAAATATCTCTGTAGTTCCTTGAAGACATGCTATGGTATTCCTGGAAAGGTACAGGATGGTATGCTCATGCTGAACTCGTTTAGGGAACTGTAATTGACTTCAACCAGAAGAACTCATGCTGGTTTAAAATTTGCATAAAGCAGTCTGAGTAACCCTTTCATCTAACTTGTCTATTCCCTCTGCTATGCTGAGGATGTCAAAAACAAATATATTACTTGTCTCTGTGTTATTCTCCTAATGAAGTAACTTCATACCTGTGTAGCATTCTTTACTAAACCCAAATCTGTCTGTGCATCAGGAAGGAGGAAGAAAACCTTGGAACAGCATCAATTTCATATGTGCTCATGACGGATTTACTTTAGCAGATTTAGTAACTTACAACAATAAACATAACTTGGCGAATGGAGAAAATAATAATGATGGAGAGAATCACAACTATAGCTGGAACTGTGGGGAGGTATATGTTAAAAGTATTTTTTAAGTTGTGCTGTAAATTTGGAATTTTGAAGTAAAGGATCAATGCTCCAGGAAATTGAATTGCTATACCGTGTTGTATGTTTCCTGGTCAGCTATGTAGTTTAATTGGCCCCATTATTTCACAGAACCAAAACTAGACAGTTTGGATTTCAACAGCATGGTCACCGGCAGCTTTTCACCAAATTACAAAGTTTTTCGTTTCCATGGCAATGTTCTGTAGGAGGGAGAGTTTGCTAGCATATCAGTAAAGAAATTACGGAAACGGCAGATGCGGAATTTCTTTGTTTGCCTCATGGTCTCCCAGGTGAAAGATTGACCGACATTTTTCACTTTTTACCTAGGGTTTTATTTTTGGCTTCTGCATGAACTTACGTGAACAAGCATATACTAACATGATACTGGAGTAGATAGAGGTTGTTATGAGTTCAAGATTCTGAACTATTGGAGAATACATCACGCTGGTTATTAAGTGTGACAACCACAGTTGATTGCATATACGGCTCATTAATTGGTGTGTCTAGATATGGTTTCGTGTTTATGTGCGAGTTTCTATTTGAAATACTGCACTTGGTCTCAAATATTTTTCATTTCTTTTCTGTCTTTTATTCAGGGTGTTCCAATGTTCTACATGGGAGATGAGTATGGCCATACTAAAGGGGGAAACAACAACACCTATTGCCACGATAACTATGTTCAACCTTGATACCTTGCTTTCTACGTTTCTTTTAAATTTTTTCTCATCTTGGTTTTCCAAATGTAACACAGCTCTGTTTCAGATCAACTACTTTCGGTGGGATAAACAAGACGAATCATGTTCAGACTTCTTCAGATTTTGCCGTCTTCTTACCAAGTTTCGTGAGTATGTACCTCATTTTGTTGTATGTCAACTTTATTTAGTTTTGAATCTGATAGTCGACCTGATTTGAAATCCTCAAACATGAGAATCCATTGACATCCTTTCGTGTATCCATCGATAACCGAGTTAGCTCTTTCTTTTCCATTCAATGAAACTGACCATGGGAATAAATCCGTTCGAGAAACTGGCCATCGTCAATATCTGATGGGTCAGCATTGCATCTTCAATATTTGCAGAAATTAATTTATTCTGAAAGGCCGACTTTTATTTTTATCCCTGTTTAATGTACGATCATCTAGCCGGTCCTCTGTTCCTGTTTTATATTGGATTTCTTCTCATGATAAATATATGGTGTCTTGTAGTGAATGTGAGTCGCTTGGCCTGAACGACTTCCCAACAGCAGAGCGTCTGCAATGGCACGGTCATGCCGCTGGGATGCCAGATTGGTCTGAAACAAGTCGATTTGTTGCATTTTCACTGGTACCTTTCATGCCCCCTTCCCCGTCTCTGCCATAGTTATCAGGATATTCACCACATTACTATCTCTTGGATTTCATGGTGAAGTACTTTCGTCTACTTGTCTGATGAGTTCTATTTTCTTTTACCGGTCACTAAGAAACAAACACTACGCTTTTGCGCGTAATTTTCACATATACTCGGGACAAGGAACTGTTATGACAGACTCTCGTACCATTGCTCTAGGGACCTTGACTATTTGCATGCTCGAATTTTGGTTTTTTCGCAGGTTGACACAGTAAAGAGTGAGATCTATGTGGCGTTCAATGCAAGCCACTTACCCGTCCTTGTCTCGCTACCCGAGAGGCCCGGATACAGGTGGGAACCGTTCGTAGACACGAGCAAACCATACCCTTTTGACTGTATCACACCCGACCTCCCCGAGAGAGCCACGGCAATTAAGCAGTACGCCCACTTCTTGGATGCCAATATGTACCCTATGCTAAGTTATTCATCCATTATCCTTCTATTATCACCCGTCATCGACGTCGGTAATGGCTTGTAAATCGTAAAAAAAAATGCCCAAAATGTCTACATAGTAGTATGTGTATGTAAATAAAGGCGAGGAGGACAAACAAGAGAGAGACTGGTTGGTTTGCTGAAGAAATCAGTCACAAAAAGGTAACTTAGCCATATAAAGGCGTGTTGTGTTGCTGTAATTGTGTATAGTGCAGATAAGTTTGTGGCATAAATACCCGAACCGACGGTTGAGTATCCGAAAATCGGATATACACATTGCAACCAGGTAGAAATTGAGTTTTAGTGTCTAAAATATGAAATTCAGATTCGGGTTAATATTTTCAGATCCCGTGGATGCCGAATAATAGAAAAATAATCATTTTTATTTGAATTATTAGAAAATTGTAAATATATATATATATATTAATAACCTAGTTGCTTTTATCTTTGTTTATGGTTTAATTCATTTGGTATAAATATTTTTCAATGATATTATAAATTTTTTCTATGTAATTATTGATTTTATTAATTTTTGATTAAAAAAAATGTTTAAAACTATTAGGTTCAGGTATCATATGAATATCCGAAAATAATTTCGCGAGTAATATAATTTGGGTATTCGAAGATTCCGATTTGAATTCGAGTTTTAAAATATATAACATGTCGGATTTTGTGTTTAGATTCAGGTATCCGACCCGTGATTCTATTCGATTCTATAGTGACGTTAATTCACCCCAGATTTCGTTTATATGCTCAACGTTAGAAAACTTGCATTCTTTAACTAAATGGGTAAGTGAATAGTGGTTCCCCCAAATCTGTTGCAGTGTTAATCATATAACGTGTGGGGAAAAAAATATGCCAATGAAAAGACACGCACACCGGACCGGATGTAGATTCCAATTGGGTATATGAGATTTTGCGGATTCGAATCCAAATAATCTGGATTGATCGTTTTAGAATTCGATTTCATAACCTTAAAATTTGGATATTTAATGGTAACTCGAATCCAAATTTGTTATGTTTTATGTTTTGAAGTTATTTATTGTGGTTTGGTTTAGTTTTAGTATTTCCCATTTAGTTGGAACTTGGAAGAAAATATATCGGTTTTATACAAGTTATGTTTCAGAAGAGATTTTTTTTAAAAGAAAAAAACAGTTTAAAGTTCGTTTTTTTTTTGTCTGAAGGGCGCTCTCGAAACGATAATAGAAAACCGCCTCTCCGTCTTTCTCCAGAACCCTCCTCAGTCGGGGAAAATCACTGCTTTTCTATTTCCTCAAACCTCCACCAAAATCCAAAACCCTAATTTCACATCGTTGGTGTCATCATCATTATCATCATCTTCAAAAATGGCTGATGGCTGCCGCCGCTCCTCCTCCGCCACCTTCCGCCGCGCCGGAGCCAAACATGGTGCCTGAGACGGCTCCGTTGGGCCACCCTCTGTTCTCCAGGATCCGCCTCGCGACGCCGTCTGACGTTCCCTTCATCCACAAGCTGATTCTCCGAATGGCGGTATTCGAGCGTTTGACTCACCTCTTCTCCGCAACCGAGTCCGGACTCGCCTCCACGCTCTTCAACTCGCCGCCATTTCAGTCCTTCACCGTCTTCCTCCTCGAGGTTTCTCGCTCCTCGTTTCCTCACCTTCCGTCCTCCGATTTCACGCCTTTCCTCAAGACCCATAACTTTGATCTCCCGATGGACGATCCCGAGAGATCAGGGTTCATGTCGGACCCCGGAAACGACGTCGTCGTTGCCGGGTTCGTCCTGTTCTTCCCGAACTATTCGTCGTTTCTGGCGAAACCTGGTTTTTACATTGAGGATATCTTCGTGAGAGATTGTTACCGGAGTAAAGGGTTTGGTCGGATGTTGTTGACGGCGGTGGCGAAGCAGGCGGTGAAGATGGGTTACGGAAGAGTCGAATGGGTCGTGCTCGATTGGAACGTGAATGCGATCAAGTTTTATGAGCAAATGGGTGCTCAGATTCTGCAGGAATGGAGGGTTTGTAGGCTCACAGGCGATGCCCTTGAAGCTTACAGTAAGGTAAACCTGTAGATTGATGAAGTTTGAGCCATCAATCGATTCCATTGTCGCTGAGTTTCAAGTCTCTCTTCCATTGATGGAATCTTTCATTTCAAATGAAAATCTGAATGTTTGAAGTTTCGAAATGTAATTATGAATTCGAAGTCATCTTAGGCGGCTGACGAAGTTGAGCTATTGATCATTTCCATTGTTGCTGAGCTTCCAACTTTCTTGTTCTTTTGATCTTTCTCTTTTATGAGAGATATAAAACCATGGCTTTTAATGGGTCCATGCAAGTGTACTTCTTGATGATTTTCTCTGCAAGTGATTCCCAATTGAAAAAAAAAACTTTCTTTGACGTGAAATCTACTGTGTGAAGTTGAAATATGATTCTGAATTCCAAGTTATCCATGATCCTGTCACTGACAAATCATTTTTCAATTTTCAGTATGGCTTGATTGGTTTTCTTTCAAATATGTTGTACGTTTTCATCATAAAATAGCACCAACAACACTGACATTCACACAAGAACGGCTGTCTGGTGGAAAATCTAATCTCTTAGGTTCGGACCAAACCAAATGTAGCCAAATCTTCAATCCTGTCCCTATAACCAATGAAGTAGCTTCTTTAGCCTGTACAAATAACAAACCGAATGGATCTAACAACAAAAAGTGGAAACTTTTCACTTCTTTTGGAGTGTGATCATCCCCACGAACGCACTCCCACGCGAGACCACACCTATGAGAATCAATATGATTATGCATAGAGTCCATTCGTTAATGTCGTATCCACTCTTCATCAGCGATCCGCACCGAGTAATCATCCACACTCCATAGTACCTGTGGGTTGGAACAGAGCCTTAGGTGATGTGATGTGACGTAAACGCTAAGATCATAATGCCAAAAGGGTAAAGATATCAGCTTCCAACTTAGATTTCGGCTGAGGTTTTCAGTGTTTAGACACAGCTCTGTGAACAAAAAAAAAATTCTAGATGATGCATGTTCTTGGATCATTATGCATTATGTGACATAAATGGTAGGGTCATAATACTAAAAGAGTAAAGATTTCAGCTTCCAACTTAGATTCTGGCTGAGCTTTTTAGGGTTTAGACACAGCTCGGTGAACAAAAATTTCTAGATGATGCAAGTTCTCAGATCATTACTGCCATGCGCAAGAGTGTGATAAATCGTGCCATACCTTTGAGCGTTTGCGACCACGAATGCCTCCAAAGCCCACTTTGGGTAGCACAAATCGGCTATGATCTTCATGGCTTCACTGTTCTTTGGTTGGGTAGCAACTAGGGTTAAGACGACGGGAATAAGAACAGAAAACTGCAGGCCGAAGAAGCTTTGTCAATTGTAATAAACAAAAGATGAATCTTTCCAGCAGAATGAGATTCGACAGCAACAATGGATACTCACGAGCTGGGCGGAGCCTGGCTGGAAGAAGATAGCCAATGCATATGCAATACCGGTCACACAATATATGAGGCAGACGAAAACAATATAGTTGTCGAAAAACGTGGACCTCGGGTTTGTAAAGAAAAAGAACATCGAGAGATACACCACCGGCTTGATAATTATATTGAAGTGGTCGATTGTATCTTTGGCAAGGAAACAAGCCGTGCTACTCATACCGGATGCGCTCTCTCTCCAGTAATGCAACTTGTCCAGAGAAAAAGATCTTAACGCCGATATTTTGCAAAGAAGAGCTGAAAGAAAACGGGCAAAAAAATTTCCATATAAAACCAAAGTTAGTATATTTCAGAGCTATTTCTATAATCAGTTCTTGATGATAGTTCAGAAAAAGATATACGAGGTCTAACTCGGTGAAACGTTTCATCGCATATCAGCCGAGAATCGAACAGATAAGTTGGATATTCAAACTTACAGACGGCAATAATACTGTAAGTATAACCAGAGGCTCCAAAGCTCTCGTCACTCGCTTTGCTCAACGATCCTAAACAAGCTCCAGCAAGCAATAAGATTAGATAATCCGTGGCTTGTAGTTGGGCCTCTCTCAATCTCTGCTTAGTTATCCTGAGTCAAGAACATCAGATCGTTACCTCCAACAGGGAAAAGACAAAACGTATCGGTAGAACTAAAGAAAGATGCGAAGAATATAACAAATAAATATACCTTCCGAGGAAATATTTGTATTGCAGCATCATATTAGGGGTTTTCCTGCCAGATAAGTCTCTGGACTTCAAGAAGTTATGCCTTATCGTGTCATGGCGGAACCCGAAATTACTTCTCACATCTCTCCACAGCTCTCCCGCAAAAGATTGCTCTTCGCTCTCGGCATGGTTCATTCCCATTTCAGGATTCACAAATTCAGAAACAGAGTGTCGCATATCGGCTGGAACCTGATAACCTTTGTGAAGCATCCACCTCAGAGGAAGCTCTTTGTAAGTGATGCCGGAATTTCCACCCAAAGTCACGATACCCTCCAAAATGTCAATGTAATAATCGGGTGGATTGATACGTTCCGGAACATTTATCTCGAGGCCTGAAAAGTACTCTTCAACTTTGTTCACTGAACCGTGGTAAACAGTAAGTCCGCCTTTGGCCAGAAGTATTAGATCACTGAACATACTGAACAAGGTATAGCTGCACATGTGAAAACAATAATATCACTACAATTAGCTAATAAAAACACAACAACTATCAAATTTTATCATAGATGCCCAAAGTGAGACAAGACCAAAAAACAGAACAGCTAAAAGACAATTCCTTTAAACCCAAACTTGTTTCTGGTAAAGACATTACCTTGGTTGGTGAACCACCATGCAGATATTCACTCCTTCAAGTGCCTCGTGTCGAAGAGCTCTAAGCAGAAGCTGGGATGATGCACTATCCAATCCAGAAGTAGGTTCGTCCAAGAATAAGATGGATGGCTCCATTACCATTTCCAAACCTACGTTCACTCGTTTCCTCTGTCCCCCCGAGATTCCCCGCTTCTCTACCGTTCCAACCAAGGAATTCCTCACTGCTTGAAGCCCCAAAGAGTCGATGACCCTTTCAACCACAAGAACTCTGTCTGCTTTTGATAGATCCGCAGATAGTCTTGAGCGATCATTCAATATTTCAAAAGAAAAAGAGATTCAAATCAATATAAAGGAGATGAGTATTATTTTACGAAACAGAATACAAAATCATTTTGTTTTCAGATACTTGGGCTACCTGCATTTAGCATGGAACCAGAGGTTTTCCTCCACTGTCAAGTTCCCATGAACGACATCATCTTGTGGAACAAAACCGATGATTTTCTTATACGAATGGATCGATTCATGCTTCCCGTTTATAAGAATCAAACCACTCGTCTTGCATCCAACTGCTTTTCCAGCCAATGCACAGAGAAGTGTTGTCTTTCCCGCTCCTGATGGCCCCATTACAGCTGTGATACGACCCGGTTTTATGCTTCCCGTCACACATCTCAACAGATGCTTACCACTGGATTTCAGAGTAAGAGTTAAGTCTCTGAAACAAAGTTCCATGGGAGGTCTTTTCCTTGTATCAGAATTAGTAGCCATTGAAACCACTCCAGAAAAGGTAAGGTTGTTGTTCTCTTGCTCCATGGCTTTCTCCTTCTCAATACGGTCATACGCATACTTGAATATTTGGCTGCGTGTTTTCTTCGTTTTTGGCACGTTGTGCCCTTTTGTTCTCCTTCCCTCGATTTCAAGACTTACTCTTTCACGGCCTTCTGCTGAGTCCTCAATCTCATGGCTAGATTGCACAGAGGCATTGGAAGGAGTCGAATGATCGGGTAAGTATAAATCTTCATCTGCTTCCGAGTTGGTATAACTCAACATCCCGAGTGTATCCACATGCTGACTGGACTTCTTACGGGAAAATGTCCGAGTTATTTGTGTATGGATCTCAGTTGCACGCTTCTTGGCAGCAACCTTAGCAGCCTTCCATCTCTGCCGGGCTTTTGCTTTCCTCACAGCTGCTTCCCTTGATTTCGCCAGTCTCCTCTCCCTCGTCGACAGGATTTGATCGGAACAGTTGTAGATAATGAGCAGAATAGTACTCAAAGCAGCCTGAAGAAGCACAAGAGAGAGACCTCTCGTTATCATGGTTGCAAGAAAGACGATGACGACGTTCAAGTGAAAAATACAGAAATTACCGCTAGTAGTAACCCAGAAAACCAACAAGATTGACTGTTTCACACCAGTGTATATATACACACACACATATATATTCCCAGATAAGGGAATAATTGGAGAACTTACAATAACCATAATTCCAAACGCATGCATGTTTTGATTTGCCGTATTGGGATTGCATGAAGTCAACTTAAAGCAAGCTGCAAGAGAAAGGGTAAAAAGTGAGCAGATGATAGAAATGGAAAACATCTTGAAAAGTAATATTGTCATAAAAAAAATTCTTTTTTAGATATTATAAAAGCTTATAAACATTTTTTTTTCTCTATATCCACAGATGGTTGCATTCATGGAAGGCCTAAGAGCAACTGTGTATAACCAATCTTGTAACAGTAGGCTTACGTTTCTCAGATGTAGACCCCATCCGGCAGTAGTGTCTGAAACAACATAGTAAAAAGACCATATGAGAACTAATACAAAACGACCGACCAAACTAAAGAAACCTCTGAGCATCGGCTTCCCCAAGAATTAGCGTAACATGGAAGAAGAAGAAGAAGAGTACGCTCATACTGAACCGAGTTTTCAGACAAGAAAACGTTCATATTGAACCGAGTTTTCAGGGGAGAAAATGAATACCCACTACCGCAAGGTACTTTTTGAGTGGTGGTCGGGCAATACGATCCTGAAGAACAGAACAACTCGCCGCTGGTGCGAACATCTGCCCAAATATTTGCGCCTCCACAAGTGTGGTTCGGCTGTCCGGGCGGTAATTGATAAGTATACCTACAGATTGATGTTTCAACATTACTTGCAATAACCAACATTAACGCGATATTAGCACCTAAATATGAAAGGGAAACTTACGGTTCGCATATGCCTGTTGCCCTGTTAAGGGTTGCCATGGGGCAGTAAGCACCAAGTGGGCAAGCTTTTTTCATCATATGACAAATATAGCAACAAGATTAGATCCAGAACATTTACATATATAAATTTCACCAAATATATCATATCCCTGGGAAAAGATTGGGAAAGCATGAGAGGGTATTGTAGTGCTTACGCATCATACAAGTAAGGCCACGGGGACAGAAGAATCCCTCGCAACAAGGCTCGCAGATTTGAGTCCTTTCCGGGATGTTTCTCGAGTTTTGGAGGTCCACTTGTTCATCCGGACTGACACTGCAACCCCATCCGGGTTCACAACCCGAAACCCACGACGTAAGGTTGCAATTTATATTCGGTCTCAAAACTCCAGGGCTGCCCGATGGATTAAAGAAGGCGTTCAAATAGAATTTCATCTCAGCTGCAGTACATAGACGCCTACCGACATCACCTGCTCAAACCAAATGTAACATACTTATGTCTTAAAAGAGTGAGCTTGCTTTGATGACATCAGTTCATGAAGAAATCTCAAAATGGGATCAGTCAGTCCTAATAGAAGCAGATTCATGTCGGATCTCCATCAATCATTCTGTGTCTTTGACAAACAACCAAGTGTGACATAATCTCCATTGCCAAACAGTACAACACGACCATACCTCGTGTTTTGCGGATGCAAGAAGACAAGAAATCCATGTTGGTCGAGAAGTTGAAAGCTTTGTTCCAATCAGCATCCCTAAGATGGAGATTTCGACACAAGAAAAAAAATCAAGAATTCTATAAACCAAGAAACCATTTCCCCACAGATTCTAAGATCCAAAAACTCAAGCTTAATTATTACAACCTCGGAAGGCAAGCAGAACCCAAATACAAAAAGCAAGAGTTGCATTGATCAAATCAACTTTCTAATCAATCGAGAAAACCCAGAAAATCAACTCACGGGTCTTTGACACAAAATTTTCCTCTGGTGGCGAGCTCGCGATTAAGAACAACGGTGGTGTTGGAGAGTTTCCTGTAAATAATCTGAGTGACGAGGGGAAGAACAGCCGGATTGTCGAACTGATTGTAGTCATCGACATTTTGGCCATTAACAACACGACAACAAGAAACCAACCACGAAATCAGGATCGCCCATCTGATAATTGAGCCCGGAGCGAGCCATTTGCACCTGTTCAAGCTCATACTGGATTGAAACAGCATCAAGACAAAACAGGAAGTAAAGAATCTGATGGGGTTTCGCTTGAAGGGTTGGTGAGGTGTTTTTAGAGGGAAGGAGTGACCAAATCATGGACCGAACTCATGACATTGTGGGGTTTAACGAGAGAAACGTGGGATTGGTAAGAGAAATGAAAGAGAAGAAGACGAAGAATGAGAAGAGGAAATATGGAAAATGCGAGAGTTGGGTTTCATTCGTTGTCGACGGCGACGACAACGTGAAACGGTCGTCACAGTCAACGCTCTTGTTCCATCTCTGTGTTCTTTATGCCCTCTCTCTCTCTCTCTCTCTCTCTCTCTCTCTCTCTCTCTCTCTCTCTCTCTCTCGTATGATATTTCGACTACCAAGATTCAAGTCTTTATTGCCAAAAATTGTATACGAACATAATATTCGATTGGACAATTCTCGCCAATTTTCGCTGCTTGATTGATTACAAAAATCCACAAACAAACAAAAAATCTTCTTGGACATTGAATTATAACTATTTATAAATCCAATAGAAAATGGTAATTTCCAGAATTCGTATTAAAATATTTTATTATATTAATTATTTTAATCTAGATTTGGATTTTGAGTACTTTATTTAGATAAAATTATATCTATACAAGCTTTAGTTTAGATGCATTTTGATATAAATATATATATATATAATTATTATTCGATTGGATTTGATATTAATTACATCTTTCTTACCATAATTTTCTTTTGGAAAACCCTTCCAAGATGAAAAAACTTTAAGTTAATTTTTATATTCTAATAAATAAATGGACCTTAATAAAATATATTCTTAAAAAAATAAATACAGCTATACTTTTTTTTTTGTCACGTCTAGAGAGTTTAAAGTGAGGCAATGACAAATTGATGTGCAAGTGAACATTTCCTTAATTATGCATGGAAAAGTCAAATAAAAAATGAAATAGGAATATTATTAATAAAAACATGCATATATATATATATATATATATTACATGTCTATTAATGTCCCTTTTTAGAATGTTTAGGCCAATAAAATTGGAACATATGTCATTCCTGCATCACGACTAATATCTTACATTTGTCTACCCGAAACCTTATTAATGCCAAACAATTAAAAAGAATACTGAACTCCAACCGATTACGACCAATTTTAATTATTAAAATACAATATTTACTAATTTATTTTTTAAATTAAAACGGTTTAATCTAATAATTTTTAATATAAAAAAATAATTTCAACGTTTTTATGATTTTTAATATTTATAATAAATTATTATGCCCATTCAAATTTAGAATTGTTAGAGAGAGATTTTGTGAACCCCTGACGCCTAGTTTCGATGTTTGCTTTACGATGGTGTAAGAGCATGGATTTCAAAAAAAAAAAGCAATATCTTAGGTAAAATTCGTCTCCATTTCTTAAGTAATCAAATAATTTATTTCTCCTTGCATAAATAATTTTAAAAAATTAATCCACTACGTGTGCTCGAATTTATGTTTAGTTTTAATTTAAATATTAAATAAGTTTAAACAAAAACAGGGTTTCTGGGTTGGTAAGCGGCAACCAGCTGCCATCGTAATTTGACTTGGCTTTATCCTTCGATCATGGTGAGCTCGTCGTCTTGTCCGCCCCCCCTCTCTCTCTCTCTCTCTCTCTCCGGGTTCTGCTTTAAAGCTCCACAGCCATGAAACCCATCTCCAAAATCGATTCCTCATGAGCAATTCCACATCAGGTTCGACTATTTCTCCTTCTCTGTTTCGTTTTTGCTTGCGTTTCTTCGCAACTTCGATTCTGACACAGTAAGAGATATCTTCTGTCGTTGTCATGCAATACATGCGTAGCGTAGATGTGTATGTGTATCAGTGTATGTATATGTGCACTCGCACTTGTTGTCTCTCTGTATATGTATATGTATCCACTAGAAGATCCGGGTTGAGGTTGAAATGTGCATACATTGTCTGGAAAATGGGTTTAAAAGGATTGTCGACATGATTCCGAAGAAACGCAGACATTATGCGAATGAATTGCAGCAAAGAAATGATGGGTTTCGAGTAATTTGTTATGTCTGATCCCTAAATGTCTTAATCAGGCAATTTAATTCAATTTCGTATTGGTTCTTATAATCTGGTTTTGTCCGTGTTCTTGTCGATGTTATTGATTCGAATGTGGCCTCTGGTTGAGTCGTACAGTGAGGAGGCTCGTTTCCTCAAAGGCCATGAAGTGTTTTTACTTCAGCAAAGAGAGATCTGAGGATGAACCTAAGCCAAGGAAGTTGAATTCATCACTCAGATCTTCGGCGTCGATGTCGAATTCAACGGAAGGCCTCGGGAGAGGATCGGGATCCGATTTCAGCTCTCGGAACATTTCGGAAACCAGCACAGCTTCTTCGGCTATGACCCCATTCGCTGATTTGTCCCGGAAACACAGTAACAATCTCAGAATGTTCGAGCTCGATGAGCTCAAGATGGCTACAAAGAACTTCAGCCGGTCTCTGATGATCGGCGAAGGCGGGTTCGGCGGCGTGTTTCGGGGCATGATTCAATGCCCCGAAGATTCCCGTAAGAAGATAGAAATCGCCGTTAAACAGCTCAGTCGAAGGGGTTTGCAGGTAAAGCTTTTGTCTCAAATATCCGATCTCTAATACGTCTATCTCGATTTCTGACAAACTCGTGATATTTACAGGGGCACAAAGAATGGGTGACGGAGGTAAATGTTCTGGGAGTTGTGGAGCATCCGAATCTCGTCAAACTGATCGGATACTGCGCTGAAGACGACGAGAGAGGGATTCAACGTATACTTGTTTACGAATATGTACCAAACAGGAGCGTTCAAGACCATTTGTCGAACCGTTTTCTCGTCACTCCTCTACCATGGTCCACGAGGCTGAAAATAGCCCTAGACACAGCTCGAGGGCTCGCCTACCTTCACGAAGGAATGGAGTTTCAGGTCTCTCTCTCGATCCGAGCAAAGATAACTCGTTTCGGATAAACATGCCACGAGTCTCGACCTTTACGTTTCGTAATATCTTTCTTCCGCAGATCATCTTTCGGGATTTCAAGTCGTCAAACATACTGTTGGACGAGAACTGGAACGCGAAGCTCTCGGATTTCGGATTGGCTCGGATGGGCCCGTCGGAAGGAATCACCCACGTCTCTACTGCGGTATAGCATTTTCTCTTTTAAAAAGTGTGAGGTGCATAAAACGCAAAAGGTTCTTAAAATCGAAACATTAGATTTTTCCGTTTTTCTGGAAGATGTAGTTGGGTCAAAATACCGAAAACTTCTGTATTATAAAAAAAACCTTAAAACCATATTATAACTATTTCAAAATTCAAAGTATTTATATTTTTAATAATATATTTATATTACCAAAATAACCCCTCGGGCAGGTGGTCGGGACGATCGGTTATGCGGCCCCGGAGTACCTCCAGACCGGGCATCTCACGGCGAAGAGCGACGTGTGGAGCTATGGAATCTTCCTATATGAGCTCATAACGGGAAGGCGGCCTTTCGATAGGAACCGCCCGAGGAACGAGCAGAACGTGTTGGAGTGGATAAGGCCTCACCTTTCCGACATCAAGAAGTTCAAGATGATCGTGGACCCGAGGCTCGGAGGGAACTACTGCCTCAAGTCCGCGTTGAAGCTTGCGGCAGTGGCCAACCGTTGCCTGATGACGAAGGCGAAGTCGAGGCCGAGGATGAGCCAGGTGTTGGAGATGATAGACAGGATTGCGGAAACATCATCATCACATGATGGAGTCGAGGCATTGCCATTGATGAAGAGCTTGACACCGAAAGATGCCTTTGAGGCATCAAGAAGAGAGGGGGCCAAGAGAAGGTTCGTGGAATTCATCGTTGGGGAAAACGGTTGCCCTAATTTGATGTCTTCGTTCGGTTCTGTACATTGTAAATGATCACATCTTTTTTGCCTTTTTTTTTAAAAAAAAAATCTGAATTTGAGATCAATTAGAGAGTACGACATGCTCTGTGGATGTTTTGGTTCTGGTTGGGATCGAATTTGACATAAAAATCTATATATAAAATTGACAGGAAAATGTAATTTTTAGAAAAATAATATTTTACTGATAAAAATAAAAATGGGAAAACTAAATGGGCCAGATCCAATATAAAAAACCAAAGGATATAGTTTTCCTAAAAGAAAAGAATCCGAAAATAATCAAACCGAACGTAAATGAAAATGGAAATGTCCGTGTTGTTTCTGTGTGGGATTTTTATGTCAGAGTTTCAGATTTTTTTCGCATTTAATTTTATTATAACTATTCCATTTGTCTCAAAGATTTTCATTTTCCTTTAATTTTGTAAATATTTTTATATCTAATTCAAAATTAAATAATTTAATTAATAAAAATGATAATTAAACCTGTTTTTAAACTGAGTTTGATTTAAAATATTATAATATATTATTCGATTTGGTGTTTGATATTTGAAGCTAAATGGCCCAACCCCCTCCTCTATTTCTCCTCGTATTAATAGACAAATCGGTAGGTGACACGTGGCTAAGTATTTGCCCCAATCAAGGACGATAAATAATCGAACCGGAATTAGATTTGAAGGTTATTCTTCTTCTTTTTCTTCTTCTTCTTCAATTCGCTTCCGTTGAAGCCAGAAATCCTGAGAGGATCGCGGCACATCTAGTTTGTGTAATCTGTATATTACAGAAAGCTGAGATATGGGATGCTCTGCTTCTCTTCCCGGTAAATTTCTCTCCTTTCTGGGTTCGATGTTTTAAGTGTAAATCCGTTGAAATCTGCCGAATTCACGATCATGATAGATTAGCGTCAGAGTACCCGTGATTTTGGGAGGTGAGAAATTTTGGTCTGGTCTTAGCAGGATCTGGAAATTGGGGGTTTCTGATGATCTGTTCTGAATTAGGGTTTCCGTGTGTGAGGAAATGGATACATCGAGCTCTCTAGTGATTCTTTGAGACTGTGTTGTTATGTTTCAGATAGGAATTCTGGAGGATTAAGTGGTCTTAACAGTTCAGAAAATGCGCCTCCAACGGATGCCAAAAATCTGCGCGTCAAGGTGAGGTTTTTTTATTTATGTATTTGTGGGTTTTTATTCTCTCTCAACTGAGATTGTTGATCTGGTAAAAGTTAACTTGGATTTTTAATTATGTAAATTTGATTGATACTTGGAATCTCGGATTTGGTGTTTTTTTTCATGATATTGTCTGTTATCTTCACTTACAATTAGCAGCATGGAAGAAAAAATTTGGAGGTTTGCTACTTGTAGTTTGATCAATGATACATATGGGAGTTGTTGCTTCTTTGTAAAGTAATTTCTAATGCTAAATGAGGAGACGGGATTTTTCTGTGGGTCTTCTTCTAGTCAGCTGAGCAATGTTTTTCTGTCGTGTATGTTAATCCGGTGCCAGAAAGTTGTTAACTTTGCAGTTCACTTGAGTGCAGTTAGTCCTCTTAGGAGATTCTGGTGTCGGTAAAAGCTGTATTGTCCTCCGGTTTGTTCGTGGTCAGTTTGATGCCACATCAAAGGTAAGTAAAGCCTTGTTAATTGTTCAATATTACTTATCCCGTCTTTCCTTACGAAATCACATTCTGATCTGTTGCATGTGAACAGCTATAACAGTATTCACATCGATTTTGATCTCAATTAAAATAATCTCTTTCAGGTCACTGTTGGGGCTTCATTTTTGTCCCAAACAATAGCTTTGCAAGATTCTACAACGGTTAAGTTTGAAATATGGGATACAGCAGGGCAAGAGAGGTATTAATGCCGTTCACACAACTTGTCACTGCTTGGTTTATTGGAGCTCCTGTCATATGGTCGTTAGGACTTAACGAGCATTCTCTCTCTTTCTCTCTGTAGGTATTCTGCACTAGCTCCGCTATACTACCGTGGAGCTGGAGTTGCTGTTATTGTTTATGATATAACAAGTCCAGATTCGTTCAAAAAAGCTCAGTACTGGGTTAAGGTATGTCTTTACAGTTTCAATAGTTCTGACTTTTTCGACTGACTTATAACCTCATGTTTTATTCTGTCATAACGTGATTAAGTATTAACCCTATTGATGTCTATAACAAAGTGTGTCCTAATGGCAGAAAACTAATTGATTTCCTGGAACCTATATGTTTATTTTTAGCCTGAATATTAATTTGCAGAAATATCGTGTGTACTGTAAGTCTGTAACCCTAGAAGAGTAGATCAATACTATAAATTGAAATTATAGCAACTAGAAGGAAATATTATTCTCTCATTCCTCCTACGTGGGAACTCTTTCCTCTTGTTCTAATAAACAAGCAATATCGCTTACTGATTCCTGATATGAGAAAATAAAGCACATGGTAGCTGAGAAGTGTGTTTGAGTTGAGTTTGTTTTTGGATTTGTCTTTCACTCAGATTCCGAAAGTTGTGCGACTTGCCATATTTTGGGACAGTGGTTTGTTGGATAGGATACGAATTATCAATCTTGTCGTTAGCTTTTGACATTGCCACAGTAGCACGAACATGCAATGTTACTCGTGTGGAAAATAATATTATTCAATCTGAACTTCTTGTTTACTGCGCCCCTTAAATTTAACAGGAACTGCAAAAGCATGGAAGCCCAGACATAGTTATGGCTTTAGTTGGTAACAAGGCTGATCTTCATGAAAAGAGAGAAGTTTCTGCTGAGGTTAGTCTGAAACCCTGCAACAAGACTCCATCACATTGTACATTCCTTGTGTTATTAGTTCTTCCCACGTATCACAATCGCGTATGTTTCTTGAAGGATGGGGTTGAGCTTGCGGAGAAAAATGGCATGTTCTTTATCGAGACTTCAGCAAAGACTGCAGATAACATAAATCAGCTTTTTGAGGTACATTCTTTTATTTGCCTCTTCATACGTTGTTTGATTGTCTGTCAACTGCATTTCACAAACTCGTATGGTCCCATATTAAAAATTACTAGGGAGAAGTAGAGTATTGATTAGCACTAGATCTACATTAGACTGTTGATTCTGCAAATATAGGCTATAGCTTCGATGCACTTGATTTTGTTTTCTTTTCCAAAGTTACTTAAGCTTCCACATATGGTTACATTCGCATTACGAGCATGCTTGATGGGTTAAACCCGGGACGGAAATAAATTATCCGTATCGATGTAAAGAACTGCAGTATGATTTTTGTTTTGGTAAAGGGTATTCTTTTAACTAACAAACAAATCTCCAAAGCTATGGTTTGAATCCATGACTCTTTGAAAGGGAAAAAGATCTCGAACCATTGTGCCTACGAGCTTCGTTTTGGGATTTGATCTATTGCTTTGTTGCACTAACCTAACAGGAAATCGGCAAGAGGCTTCCACGGTCTCCTCCATCGTGACGATCTAATGACATAAATGTAGTCTTTTAATGTATATTCCATATGTGAGTGTATTTTCTTCTGCGTGTGCTCTCTATTATCATCGTTATTCTTCTTCACATTATATGTGAAGACTTCGGCTTGGAGAAAAAGCTTTGTAAAACCCATCATTTTTAATCTAATATTGCTGCCTATTTGGTTATGGAGAGGATTGTTGTCATTTAGGGGTTGGCAAAATTTTCTGAAACCCTAAACCCGAAAAATGGCATTGTCATTTTGTAGTTGAGTGTTGGGATTTTCATTACTTTCTGTCGCTTTCGCCCGAAATTTTTGATACTTAGCTCGCTGGTCGGGTGAATACTTGAGGGTCTGTTACCCGCCCCTACTTGGGAGACCGCATCTACCGATGGCATGTAAGCCTCGATCCTAACTCCTAGCGATGCCACTGCTGTTGTAGTATGGTTTCGGAATTCGGGTCTTTCTTCGTATCGATTGCTCTATCATTGTGTATGCAGTTCGTGGATGCAGAGACGTTAGGTGCATATAATATCGTTTTTGTTTGGGACTGCATTATTAGAATATGGTTCTCTTACGAGTTCATAGTTTCAACATCATCGACTTTGATCATTTCAAACTTCAGCATTCAAACCCACATCTTGTCCTCCACTTTCCCTTCACTTCCTTTCGATTTTAAACGCACATGTGTCCGAACCAAGACAAAGTCCGTCAAATCAAAGACGAAACCAAGTGGATGGTTTACGAATATTTAAGATTTGATCCCTCCAAAGGTGTAGACTTTGGTGGTGGTGCCTGTTTACTTTTCCCCCCATCTTGTTTCCTTTCGTACTAAACCCTTTGAAACCCTGATCGAGCACCATCTTCTTGTTGATCCGGTCAATAAATTTCTCGATTTCCTCAACTGGGTCTGTCTTATTCCTGTCGAAGATTCTGAAATTTCCTGTTGATTCGCCTTTGCTTCTTCTAGATTTGGGGTTTCGAGACAGAAGATGGGAATTACGAATGACTCGGAAGGCAAGCTAATGAGTCGGCTCGTTGACTCAGTGAAAGAGATTTCCGGGTTGTACGGGTGTAAGGGTGTTTTCAAGAAGGCGCATGGGGATCTGGTCCGAAGGATCAAGCTTCTTAGCCCTTTGTTCGAGGAATTGAGAGACGGCGATGTGAAGCTGAAAGACGAAGAAGCTCGAGGGTTCGAGATTTTGAGAATTGCTTTGGATTCGGGTAAAGAGCTTCTTCGATCCATCAATGGAGGAAGCAGGTTGTATCAGGTGATTCTTCGACCCGTTTCTTTGCCGAGACCTGCTATATCTGTTTGGTTGCTGAAGAAGTGATGCAATTCTTCGGTTTCCTATTTTCTATGTATGGAAATATTTGGATATTCAGAGATCAGTGTTTAGGGCTCTGGCTGTTTATAATTAGAAAATCCTGGGAATTTAGTCGTCTTGGAGATTGATAACCAGAAATTGTGATTGTGTTCGTCATGACTTGAAATGGATGCTACTTCACTGTGTTTGGGGACAAATGCTGGAATCACGTTGGACAAGTTTTCGAGGAATCGAAAATTTTGGGCAACAAAACTTGTTGGTTATGGCTATTATGAATAAGATTCGTTAATCTAGCTGATGTGTTTTCCTTCTGGTTCTCTGCAATGGCGGAAAAAAAACACCTCAAGAACTGTGGTTTTTAACTTTTTCTCTTGTTTTGAGACCGTGGAGTCACCCGAGATATTGTCCGAGAAGAAGAACTTGAGTCTCTTTTCTTTGTTTTCTTTGTGTTTTCCGCGAGCAGGTCTCTTACAGGGATTCTTTTGCGGATAAATTCCACCAGTCGACAGCAGAAATAGAAGCAGCCTTGAGTCGGATTCCTTATGATAAGCTAGAGTTAACAGAGGAGGTCCGAGAGCAGGTAGGTCTGAAGGAATTGGCTTTTCATGATAATAAGCAGACATAAATCTTTCAAATTCAGATACCCATCTGTATATTGTTGTATAAAACCGAATTTTTACGCATGCTCTCCAACAGGTACAGCTTCTGCATTCGCAGTTCAAGAGAGCAAAAGGAAGACAAGGCGAATTTGATCCGCAGCTTGAGCGTGACCTAGCCATGGCACAGGATGTAGAGGAACCCGATCCTAAAGTAATCAAAAGACTTTCACAAGAACTACAACTTAGTACCATCGATGATCTGAAGAAAGAGTCGCACGCAATACACGAATATTTTCTCTCACGTGACGAGGAGCCGGGCGAGTGTTTCAAGAAGATTTCATTGCTTCTTAAAAGGCTTGTCGATTGTGTAACAATGGAAAGTTCAGAAGCCGATACATCTTCCGGCAACAGCATCATGCTCAGGCATCGGTCTCCTGTTATACCAGATGATTTTCGATGCCCGATATCCCTTGAACTGATGAAAGATCCCGTAATTGTCTCCACTGGACAGGTTCTTTCTCCTGCTCTGTAGTAAGGGTTTTTTTTTTTTACTTATTTTACTGTTTTTAGCTTATTATTATGAACTTGCAGACTTATGAGAGATCATCGATCCAAAAGTGGCTCGACGCTGGACACAAAACCTGTCCGAAAACGCAACAGACACTTCTGCATACCGGTTTAACACCTAATTACGTGTTGAAGAGCCTCATTGCTCTGTGGTGTGAGAGCAACGGCATTGAGCTTCCAAAAAACCAAGGGGGTTGCAGAACAACAAAACCCGGAAGCAGCTCTTCGGACTGTGATCAAGCATTTGTCTCTGCATTGTTAACGAAATTGGCCGATGGTGATACCGAACAGCAACGAGCTGCTGCTGGTGAACTGCGGTTACTGGCCAAGAGAAACGCAGATAACAGAGTGTGTATCGCTGAGGCTGGAGCCGTCCCTCTCCTCGTAGAGCTTCTGTCTTCCCCAGATCCTCGGACTCAGGAACATGCTGTGACGGCCCTTCTCAATCTTTCGATAAACGAAGGTAACAAAGGAGCGATTGTCAATGCTGGAGCGATACCCGATATAGTAGAGGTGCTGAAGAATGGTAGCATGGAGGCTAGAGAGAATGCGGCCGCTACCCTTTTCAGTTTATCGGTTATAGACGATAACAAAGTTGCGATAGGAGCAGCGGGTGCTATCCAATCCCTTATAAGCTTGCTCGAGGAAGGAACCCGAAGAGGCAAAAAAGACGCAGCCACCGCTCTTTTCAACTTATGCATCTATCAAGGAAACAAGGCGAGGGCGGTTAAGGGCGGAATCGTCGAGCCTCTGATGAGATTGCTGAAAGATGCTGGAGGAGGAATGGTGGATGAGGCATTGGCAATTCTGGCGATTCTCTCGACGCATCAAGAAGGGAAAAACATGATCGCTCAGGCAGAGCCGATCCCAGTTCTGGTCGAGATCGTGAGGACGGGTTCCCCGAGGAATCGGGAGAATGGGGTGGCGGTGCTGTGGTATCTGTGTGTGGGAAACGTGGAAAGGTTGAAGATAGCAAGAGGGGTTGGCGCAGATGCAGCTTTGAAGGAGCTTTCAGAGAATGGAACAGACAGAGCAAAGAGGAAAGCTGCAAGCTTGTTAGAGCTTCTTCAACAGATTGAGGATGTAACTACTGATCCTTGAAGCCTCTCTGGTTTTGGGGATTTAGTATAAAATCTGTGTAGATTTGTTGTATAATTAATTACAGAAGTTCAACCTTGTTGTGTATGAAAGCTTGACTGTACATATATGAAGAACGCCTTGGATAATTTCCTTTTAAGATCCCAATCATCATGTTCAAAATCAAAATACATCCCTAAACCCTGTTCTTTTGTATCAAAAGAACCAGAACAGACTCTAAACCTTAAAGCCAAACCCTAAGCGACTCCACCTACTCACGCGAGCAGAAGAGGTAGGAGAGGATCTTACCAAGCTCAAGTCTCGGACAGTGACTTGTTCGTCCGAGTTCTACTCCGAAACTTTCCTACTCTTGCAATAGAAATATAGATTTTCAAGACTTTGATGATATCAGACCCTAAACTCGTGCCTCTCAAATCCCGGGACTCAAAACCCATCGTATCCATATCGATCAAATACCAACAGGGTGACACTCGTATATGGCAACTGCTCGGTCGTGGAGACGATGCGAGAAATACCAAACATCATTCCGACACGGCGATACGAGAGGTTAAGAGACGAGGCGAGGAAAGAGATGAAAGGAACAAAGCCAAGGCGAGACGGTTATCCACGGGTACAGGTACGCCAACCTACACTCTAAATCCGAAGGTCAGGTTCTCACTATCATGAAATCCATATCCATCTCCTCGTAGCCAAATTTCCGAATCTTGGATACCCGACTCAATTCTCACAGATTGAATCGAGTCCTCGTAAATACGGGTTTCCTGCACCGATCTTTCGACCCTCTTTCCTCCAGAAGACGGAGGACGGCATAAAATTTCCAAACATTTGATTGACGTTTGCACCTGCAACCAGACGTTAACATTACAAGGCTCTGCACAATTACGACTTCAAATTACAATTAATAGCATATTAAAAGTGTAATAAAACTGGAACAGACTTCGAACAGTGTGGCCTAAAACCATAATCTGCCTTCACTCACCAACCAACATGAATCATAAGAGCTCGAAGAGGATAACAAGAATCAAATACACAAAAAAGAAAAGGGCACACACAAAAGGAAACAGATCGAGCAGAACGCTCTATTGGGCATCACGAGGATTTAACAGATCAGCCGACTTTTTCCATAAAAGTCTCTATCAATGTGGAGCCATTGACGATTTTTGTGGTTGCGACGATTAAATCGTATGCCATTCCTTCCTGTTAAAGATTATGCAGAGGCAAAAAGCTGAGACCGGCAAGCGATATTCCATTGGTTATGAAAAACCAAACCGATCTGAACCGAATAACATGTAACTGTATCCGAGCTGAATTCAATATAGAAACTGAATGGGTAAACTGAGAAATCCGTGTCTTTAGGAAAATGAATAGTTTTATCAAGAAAAACCTGAACCGAGTAGAATTTAATATAAAAACTAAATGGGTGTAGTTTTTCTAAAACCAAAATAATTGAATCCGAACATAATCGAACCAAAACCCGAAATGGTCATCCCTAATTGGCGGTATATCTAGAAAGCTAAGTGAAGGAAATAATGATTGAGCTGATAAACTCATGAAGTCTGCATACCTGAGAGCTAAGATACCGCAGAGCAGCGATTTCAGCAAACGTCACACCTCCGATGAATACCACAAGTACGAGTGAGCGTCTTCCATCAGCTACCCTGAAATGCCTTACATAACGTCACATCACTTTGTTATCAGCAACTCGTTTATCACTTCAAGTGAATCAACCAACTAGGGGTGGACATTTTGGTTCGGGGATCTAGTCTCTAACCGATTAAATGAGTTTCGATTTGGTTTTGCTTTATTGGTTAAAACAGAATGGTAAAAACTTAAGAGAACCGATCAGTTTTGGTACAGTATGGTCCGGGAGAAATCGAACAGAATTTCGTTTTGCAAAAAAATAGTAAAAAATTTTAAAGGGAAACAGAACCAAAAACTTAATCAAGTATGTATGATTGATAGAAATCGAATTGAACTGAATCGACCCCATCAGACTAGACCAAACCGGTAATAGAAACAATATGTATGATTGAGAGATTAACAGAAAAAGAATGCATAGTGAAAATCGATCTGAACCAAGCCAAACCATATGTCATACGGTTCTAATTTGGTACAAATTTTGTAGAACAGAAAAAATCGCTCCCAAAACACCCACTCCTAAATAAAACAGCATGACTGTATTTCTTTAGCAAACGAAATGGTCAATGAGACACTTACCCATTGGAAGCTCCATGTAACGAGTCTACTGATGGACTGCTTGGGATGCCACTCTGCGAAGATTTATGGTACCAAGTAAATATAATTGCAAGCACCAAAGAGAAGATACGAGAGCTAAAAAATTTTAAAAAAAAATAAGATTATTTTTTAAATTTTCAGTTGAAGAAAGTGCGATTACTCTCTTAGTCTCCAGATGTGGTCCTGGTAAGAGCTTCAATATTTCTTCCACAGGACGCCTGCAAGGGTCAATTTACACCATTAATAGAACCATAGCCATTCTGCATTATCATATACCCGACATAAAAAAAAAAACTAAAACGCTACATAACAAAGAAACTCCTAATTTCTCATCCACAACATGATTTTATACCGACTTGAAAACTTTATTGTGTTTGTTTTGTCAGCATTTCTCGTTTACCCCGACAGTGACAGTAGGAAAAATCAAACTCCCCCCCTTCACCATACAACTACCAGTAGTAAATAGTTCACTCAAATGCGGTGTTAGTGCAAGTTTTCACTTCGCCTTCCACATAAAAGGTTCAACAATGCACAAAGCCGTGTCTGACAAGAATTCAAGCTCTGTTCATGTTCATGGTAATGCAGGAAAGCCAAAATGCACGGATCGCTTGCATGAACATTTTTTGGCGAGAAGAATGTAAGAACATAATAACACTCACCATCCAGATCGAATAGCTTGTTGGACAAGACGAATGCTGAGTGGAGCATATCCAGAAAAGACATACGAAATGTCATTGGGGCTGCAGAACAAGAAAATATTCTCCACAAATTACAACTCAAAACTTATGTAATACTTCTTTTTTACAAGAAGTGTTGGTGCAAGCACTAATAAATCCAGAGAGGCACACACATGGAATGCATAGAAAACCTTATGACAGCACAAAACGAGAAAAACAAGAGAAAGATAATCATGATACATTCACCAACATGTAAAATGCTATCATAAAATTCAATCACTGCCTCATCCAACACAAATGAAGTGGGTGAACCATGTATTGAAAAAATCCAAACCCTCATCCATCAAACACAATTTGCATGCACAAGAATAAGAAATCAGTAAATGCCTCTTCAGTTTCAGGACAGCAGAAGAGGAAGAGGTTTCAAGTGGCATGATTTGCATTCAAGGGCCTAAATTTAATAATAAAATTTTAGGGATGGGAACATCTGGACTCACTAGGTAACCTCAACCACCGTAACAATCATGTAAAAGAAATCCAGCATGCTAGTTATGTTCTATTATCAAGACTAAAATATTGATTTGGTAAGAGGATATATGAATGAAAAGAAAATTACTTTGCTGTGTCCGTATCTTCAACTACAAGTTGCAAAGAACGTTTCACAGTCTGCCAGTTGCTTTTAAACTCCTGCAGGCCCCAATTAGTGGTATCATAAGCTATAAGAATGCCTGACTTACCTTATTATAGAGAAATTTTTATTAAAAAAACTGCTATATAGGGAGGCCAAGAATAACAAACCTGTTTCTTGAACAATCCCGCCTTTTCTAGATTGTTCAATGTGACAATATGCTCAAAGCCATAACTGTGGAGCAGCTCCCTTCTGCAAGATGAATCCATAAGATAACATACGTTAGAAAGAAGATGAAACGTAAACAGAATATCAGAACGGTTGAAGGGAGAACGACTTGCCTTAAATAATCAAAATGTTTTTTCGGCAACCCTGAGTTTGTAACAGAGAATAAGACTAAAAGACGTAGGACACTAGTGAGCGGTTCCTGCTTATGGATCATCTCTTCTATGTACTCAAAGCATCTGCATTTATAAAAAAAATAGTTATAATGGATAGTGTCACAAAAATCGGTATTTCCACAACGCAATCAATCCAAAAAAAATCGAACACCAATGTAGCAGAAGGCATCAAGAACTTTTCGATAATACGAAAGTTTTTACGTCAGAATACGACTTACATGTCATAAGTTTGGGACTCAACAAATGTGTGTTCCATGTCAAGTTGTGAAAGAAAAGACTGCTTGGATGTGAACGTCGTCAGGTGTTGGGCAAGATTTATGTGTCTCTAGAAAAAATCAAAACCAATCAAAGTTAAAATATAACTCATCTTTAGTTGAACCATCCACCAGATATAAGCAAAGGAAACAAAAGGTAAACAAGACAACACTTACTGTCATCTCTGGCAATGAGTTAAGCTTTTTGACGAAGTCCTTTAGTTCAGAAACTGTCTGGGTCTGTATCATATTAAAAACACTCCATCAAAAATTGGGCATCACTAATACCCTAAGATGGAATAATTCTTAAATAAGCTGATCACTATTTCCTAAGACATAACAGTCTATATCATTTCAATCACTCGTAATGAGACTCATGAACATGACAGCCTTCAAAGAGCTCTCTCTTGATCAATGAATAAGAGATTTAAAACCAAAAATGTGTGGACCATAACCTCTACGACAGAACAGAAGATAATTCCCTATAAGCTTCAACTTGGCAAAATGCCTCTATGCTTCATATCATCAAGACAACAGTAAAATGCAACATGTCTACCTAAAGTGCGAGGTCTACACACGTACAGTACTAATTTCAGAGTAGTCCTGCTTCATGGATGTTGCCTTCTGACGTAGAACCTGCAATCATACTGCGGCTGGAAGATAAGAGAACAGAATCCAATTGATACAGGAACGAAAGCCGAAAGGGCAAAAGTCAACCTGTACAACCACTTCAAAGTTGAGATCCCTGGTCTCCTTGAACAACTTGTCACTGGAAATTTATCCAATCGAAGAACAAACTATTATGCCAAATTAAAGGGAAAATTTGAGAAAATAACTATGACAAGAGAAAAGAAGACACTAGAAACATCGTGGAACGTGAAATTTTAGTCAGTAATAAACTACGACTTTCAACTAACATTCGTAAATACCTCCTTGCAATCTAACTATCACAGACAAACAGGAAAAAAAAGGTGATTTGGAAGATTTACTCCAGCTATTGATTTAAGAAGATCCATTATGTGCATAAGCGTAATCAACATCACAAAGTCCATGATTATGTAGAACCATGCATCTCCAACAGAAGCAACATACATATCCTTGGTGTTTATCCCATCCAAGATAACTTTCTAGCTCTATGACAAGCATCATACAGTCGTGCATTTCAAAAACTTCGATCTCCTGTCTTATGTGGTCAATGGACTTTTACACATGAGCAATGGCTAACCTTGAATTAAGGGGAACTTTCATCTTTTTTCCTTCCTGTTGGACACCCATCACAGATGAGTCAACTTCAACAGCACCATTACTGATATGCAAAAACTGTAAATTCGTCGGAGTCAGTTCACAGAAAATCCAGTTAACAACAAAACCGAAAAACTTAATTCAAATGTAGGCACTCTTGTTGGAGATCATTACCAACCAGTGAAACCAAATGGTTCCAAACCATGGTTTAACCTTTCCAAATTCCAGAAAATAAAATATAAATCCACCTCCGCCAGTTGCTAAATAAAGGTACAACCTAGCACATCAACATCCAAACTTCTAGTCCGTTCTTAGTCCCTTATTTTCAATCTTTTTTCGTCTTCTGATTCATTGAAATAAAGTGTATTTCACACGAAAGGGTGATGTAAGGTCAAATCAAAGAATAATCAGTGCAGTGATAAATGTGACCCAAGTGGAGGATTGCCAAACACTCCAAATTCAGAACGTCTGACTACTGACTAAGCTACGGAGGAAAAATTCAGAATTGTTCTCCCTAGGGTAAAAAACTCCATCCATTTGTTGCCCTTTTGTGTAAACTGTAAAGCCGTCTTTGAGCTACTTATTGCCAAAATTGCAGCATTGAGTTTGTGACATTAGTCAGGTTACCTCATCTAACAGTCCCTCATAAGTCAACTGGGACAACATTGGCGTAACCATGTCAACCTGAAATAGAAAGGTAAAAGATTTTGAACTGCCAACTACATGCATAAAGGTCAATTATCAACATCACTCAATCAGGATAACAGTTGTACTGTTTGCTCCATTTATTAACCCGAGAGTACATGAATTTCCAACTAAATTCAATGAATTTTACAGCGTAAACTATCGACCCAATACATGTTGACTCATGAATCGCAAAATGAAGATTATAAACAAAGATAATGCTGATCTGACTTCGCAAAGTTGCTTTTAAACATGACAATTCCCGGAAGTGGGTGAATGAGAAAAATCACTTAGTTCTAAGAATTTCTAATTCAGTTTTTCTTGCTCTTGAGAGCATCTGCACCATTCATTGCCAAATCAACTATTTACTTTATTAAAAAAAATTACCAACTTAACAGAAAGAACTTGTTAAGTTCACTAAAAAATCTTGCTTGCATTTTAGGAACATCTCTATATAGGTGGCCTATAGCTGCAAGAAACACAAGAAAGTCTCACCTCTCTATCCAAAAGAATAAGTGTATCTATCTCAGGCCTTCCCACCTGAAACAGGAGGACAATTATCAGAAGATTCGAAAGCAATACAACAAAAGGAATTGCAGTTATATAAGCGTGCCAATTCATTGAATAATTATAACATGCCATAAAATGTGTAAAATTTACATCAGACGAACTGACAGACTCCTCCACTTGCATGCGGTTAAGTATATCCGCAACACGAACTGATGCTTTGCCCTTTGCTCTCACTTTTGGTATAACTCCAAAAGAAAACTATGACAAGACTTAGTCACGATATAAGAATGTCTGGGCTCACAACGACATGTAAAACAAATAACAAAGCAAACCTCAAGCTCATGAATGGCCTTTGCAACATGCCAAAGTGAGCTAGGATCGCCATCAACGAGGTATTCCTGCCATTAAATAAGAGGTTAAAAAAAGAAAGTAACACTTTTAAGGCCTCTGAGTTTAAGGCCTTGGGAAAAAGAAAAAACAAAGGAACACTTCGAAGTATTTGTTAAAATGGGTCCATCATATGAGATTTCAGAAGTAATGCACACTTTTTCAGCAAGCTCAAGCTCAAAAGATATGACATCCTCATCTAGGGGAACCATGTAAAGAGGAAACTCCCTCACAGTCACCAGATTATGCACTTTTTCCTGCTCAAGAATCTGAAAGCACATGGAAAAAAACTTTAAAATCCCTAATCCTATTAAGCAAAAAGTGAACAAGCTTGAAGTACAATTAGAAGAAGAGAATTGAGGCGGTTGCATACCTTCTCACATGCAACAGATCTACGAGGCACAAAGTAAACATAGTATTCTCTCTGAATCGCTTTCGAAGTATCATTTTGAATGTGCAGAGATATGGATTTCATAAAACTGAGCTGAGAACGAACAAGGTAAACCACTTTCGTGCATTCAGTCAGAAGTGGTTCTGCTGAGAGATGCCGCAATTCCACACCATGCTCCTGTTTAGGATCAGTTAATCGGATCACAAGTCATGCATTTAATCAAATTCAACCACTGAAGCAGTGTTCTTAATCTCTGAAAATTTTCACTAAATCAATTTTCCAGGGTATTTGAATCTCGTAGTTTGAGTAAGGGACAAAATTTAGGACCTCCCTGCTTCTAAGTCTTCCATTATTACAGTTAAAATCGTTCAGACCAAAACAAGCAAACCATTACCTTCAACAGAGAAGTCTGGATAATCAACGAGAGGGAGCCACTGAGCTTTGGATCAATCACCAGACACTTATTTCCACGAATCTGTGACCAAGATCACCAAAAGAAGAAAAAAAAAACTCAGGAACCAGAAAATCATTCATGTAAAGTTCATTCCTTCCATTTCTCGATCATGCATTATTTGTTTATGGAATTCCCGATTAAGCAAAAGAAACAGGGTTTTGCTCATACGTCAGCAGATATTCCGTTATTTATGATAATTCAAGTGTTTCTCTCCATCCTGGGATTTTCCGGACAACCAAACAAGACCTTCTGAATCAATTCAACGAGAAACGAGAACTCACATCTTTAAGAGAGTTTATCAGATCCCTCTGGGACTTCTCCCTGAACAGAAAGAAAAAAGAAAGGCAATGAGAACAAACGGACAAACGATCAGATTGTTTTGTCAGAAATTCTTACACAACACGACAATATAAGAATCGAAGCAAGGCTTGTCACCTCAAGGATTTGAGATTGAGAGGAGAATTGTCTAAGTTAGGGATCTGCGCCATGGACGACGCTCGGAGATGATCGACCGGTCGAGCTTTCTCCCTTTTTTTTCCCTTCACTGTGTAATCATTTGGAGTCCACGACGAGGAAGAAGATCGGCGGTGACGATGAATTCGAAGACAAAATGGGCCCTATCTTATGGGCTTGAGCTCACCCGTACGTGGGCTTGGTGTGTTAAGAATATTTTCGCTTTTTAATTAAAAATTTTAGGTTGTTGTATTTTTTTTCCTTCTAATTTCTTGAAACAGGAGAATATATTTGGGTTTAGGGAGAACACATTTATTTTCTTCAATTACTGAAACAGAAGAATACATATAACAAATTAAATCAAACCGAATAAAGTAATAATTAATGAATCCGTTGTAAAAAAAAGAACAACCTCCAATGTAAAAAATAATTTGTTATACTTTTAAATAAAATTAAATTAATATTCAGAAAATGATTGAAAAAATCAGGAATAAAACATAACATACAATGTACAATCTCCTTGGAAAATTTTGTTAGGGTTCTCTTTTTATTCCTTTTTTTTTTGTTATTGCAGAAGTTTAACTCATAATTGTTCTCATGGATTGTTCTTATTTCAGCTTTGGTATGTAAAACACAAGGGATGATTTATAACATGTATCTAACCAGATCTATTACAAAAATGAAGGGATTATTTTTATATCTATCAACATAAAGAATATAAAAAAAATAGAGGCTTTCATCTTGAAACTTTCTTTGCAGAGTCTTGATTCAGATGGCTGTAATCCGACAACTTCATGGCTCGTTGTCTTGTTTCGATCTAATCGTAGAGGCCTTCGTCGTACCATATATCGACCAGGAAGTCCACCATCTCCTGCACAAGTCAGATGGCTGTGACAATGACAATGCTTTCGAAACCGAGCTAAAACTCAAAGCAAAAAAAAAAAAACCGAAAGAAGGGTGTTTTTTTCCTTACGGGTAAAGGGATCGGCTGAGAGAAAGGTTCATGGGTTGAGAGAAGATCTTCATAGGCCGTGGACCAGCTGCACGAGGAACAGATTGTTAAAGCACCCTTCGGTGAACTGTTTTGGCTTGTCACAGTCGAGCAAATATCGAAAGAAATTAACTTTTTCCTTCATGGAAAGTTCTTTCGATGCATTCTTGTTGATGAAAATGTTCGGCAACGCATAAGAAATGAAATGCTGTTGATAACGATCTTGAAGACGGGACAAAAGTACCTTATGATTGGATCCTTTGCGGTTTTTCTTCGTCTGGATTGGTCTCCCACCCACTTTTTCCTGTTCTCTTGCCACAACTTTGCACCTGCGAATGATAAGAAGTTCTAGATAATGATCAAGAACAAAGAATCGCACAAAAGAGTAGACTTTCACTATCAAGAACCAACGGAAATGCAACGACTAGTGGAAGCCAAGGTTATGAAATGGCTTCGTTTCTTCCCGGGCAAAGAGTAAAATAACCATTGGTTATATGTTCTGCAACTATTTGTATCATAACCACATACAAACCCGTTACCGAATAAGCAAAACCCAACGAGCGAACGACCAATAGCGACTTTAGGACAAACTGCAGGTTATGAAATTGGCTATAACCAACAGTGATTCCACGGTTTCTTAAAGCAGCAATAATCGTTCTCAGATGATGAATTCTTGGTGAACCGCAATATTCAAGGCTAAGTTTTATCTCGGTTTCTTTCGTGAATAAGAGAGACGACCCGAAAGAGAGAAAATGTACCCTGATTCACAAACGTGGTGGAGTTTCCGCTATGCTTTCCGACCGTGCTCTTCATGTATTTGACCTGCTTTGAATGCTCGAGAGGTTTGTCTTCCGTAGGAAGGCAATTCTCGGTATTACGCTCCATTTTCACCCGATCGAATAATCGTTCCCTTTTTTGAACAAACCCCGATATCCTTTAGCCACAAATACACAAGGCATCAAGGTTTACAGAGAAGCTGCTTGGCAAAAACAAATCAAATATCTATCAGTGTTTATTGCCTTTGAAGTTTGAAGACATAGAGAAAGACAGTTAGAGATCAACAAGGAGTCTTAGAGATAAAGATGAGATTAAGAATGGATAAGAACGAATCTAAAGATCTTTATCAGTTCGAGGTTATAAAGGGTCCGAGGATCTAGGATGTTACGGATCGTATCCTCTTTCTATTTTCATGTTCATACACGCATTCCAAACAAAACTTTGTGTCTCAATTACAAGTACTTCTGTCCTCATTCAGATGCCTGAAACTATACAAGAGAGAGTCTACTCTGTTCTTCGACAAGAAAATAAACAGATCCAGAAGAACGTTTACCTCATTGGCGTTCCCACATCGATAAGCTTTTTCTGAAACCTGCGACAACTCAACAAGAACAACCATGTTTTCAGAAACAACACAAGATCCTCAAATCAACAAATAAACATGGAACAGAAATCGAATCCTCCTCTGATTATATTAATTCAGAAAATGCAGGTGCATTGTTAATTCAATAATGAATTCTCACGCACACCATTTCAATTCGTGAACAAGTTTTCATCAAGCAATCAATAAACAATGATCCTGAATTACAGAACAAGGGAATTGAACAATGGCATTTACCCGGAAGCAACAAGAAGACAAACCCAGATACAGTCCAGATCCTGATCTTTTCTTCTGAGTGAAACAACCGAGAAATTTTGCCTTAGCAACGGGAAAGAACAAGAAAGAAAGAACAAAGAAGACGAGATCTGGGAGAAAACGAAAAGATTTGAGTGGCGAGAGAAAACCCTAATGCGAATGCATCAGCGAAGCAATTTGGTGGGAGAACTGAATCTGCAAATGTTTCTTCTGGGTTTAATGGATATTAGGATTTAGATTTTTAGGTTATGGAAAAAAATGTAGAAGATATTTAAAAAAACGTGTATTTTCTCTCTCTAGATCTAATAGTATCCACAACTCATACTTTATCTCTCTATCCGACGTGGATATGAATAGGAGAGAGGATTAAAAACTCCACTTTTGAAAATTCCAGTCAAACCAACCACCGTATCGTTGACTACTTTTGTCGTTTACTATTTCTAGTTGAAACCTCGATTATTATTATTATTTTCCTAGTTACAAAATAAGATCAGAGGAATATTTCTATGTTCGTTTGAAGACATCTTAAATATGAAGTTATTATAGAATACATTCTAACAATTTCTATTTTGCCCACCAAATTATGGTCGAGTGATATATCTAGTTGCGATAAAATTACTTCGAGATCAAATGTTCGATTTCACGGTGAGGAGAAGAATGGAATTAATTGCATTACTAAAGATGAATAAATAGATCGAAAATCCAGTGAATCTCCCATTTATAAATATATATATATTATATTCATCAGAAAACAACTAGATATTCGAAGAAGTATGAATCTATATAAACCAATTTTAACTAGAAAGAATATATTAAATCTCTTTGTATAGTGAAATGAATCCTTGGTATTTCATGGAGCAATAAAAAACATACTAAACTGAAAGAGATCCGTAAATGATTTGAGTAATAAGTTGTCTTTAGGAAATTGGAATGTGCCCCAAGTTTATTATTCGTCCTAGATTTATGTGTGGTCGAATAGCTCGCTCTCTCTCTCTCTATATATATATATATATATACACACTAAAACACACACATGTATATATATGTGCATATATACATACACACGCATATATATATATATAGACATGCAAGTTTGGTAATGCATGCGCAGATTATAAAAAGAGCATGTGAAAATTGGAGGAAGAGACAAAGGTACAGCATGGATTAGGTAGTAAACAGTATGGATTATTCCAAATTTGTAAACGGAAGCGTTTAGTGAGGATCTCAGTTTTCAACAAAACCCTAATCTCATAATTGAAAGAAAAAAAAGATGCCCTTGATAAAATACTATTATTCTTGTCTATTTTTTGGAAAATGGTGCATATAAAATTTTAGAACACTAATAAAATTCCACTAATTCCCTTATTAGTATATAAATATTAAGAAAACTCTTCAGTAGGCTAATTTTGTAAAACATAAGAATGGTTTAAATGAATCGAATTTGCAAGCAATCTAATGAGAAATAAACCGGAAATAATTTCATGATATAATATTGGATTTTTTAGATCGAAAACGTTTACAAAAACAATTGAATAAGGGTTTCCAGCATAATAATGAATATATTATTATTCCTATGGAGAAGAGATGCGTGTGGTGTAGTTGGACATTAATAATTTAATAGTATTAGGTAAAGTTTTTGTTAAAGTAATCAACTTGATAAATATATACCATGAAATGAATGTGGAGAAAAAGATAAGGATATATATATGTATATGTGTATATATATTTATTTGCGGAATTATTAAAAAAATAAGGGATTAATGGGGAAATGGTGGAAGAGAAAGAGGAATCCATGTGTATCCAAGAACTTGCAGACAAAATGAGCTTCAGAGATGGGAAAAGCAACCCTTTTTTAAGTGACCAGAATATGGGGTTAATTTGTGTGATGATGATGATGATGATGATGATGATGATGATGATGATGATGATGATGATCATGATCATGATGATGATGAATGTGGGGGGTGGGTGTCTAAATTCAGTGGGGGGAAAAGGGGATACAAAAGCAACTCCACGAGCAATTCCCTGTTTCCCTCTCAAAAGACTAAAGAAATTATAAGCAGAAATCTTTGCCCTAACTTTAGCCCCCTTTGCCACTTTCCATTTTTCTTGCCTTTTCGTTAGGGTTTCTTGCGGGTATTTCTTTTTCCCCCCTTTTTTCTCATCTTTTATTTTTGGCCCATACATCTTGTTTTTGCTTCCCCATATAATATTAATATCCCTCTTTCTCTCTCTTCTCAGATATATGAATGTAATGTACCTACGAATATATGTATATGTATATGTGTATATATATGTTTGTCTATCTCTCTATATATATATCTGTTCTGTCTATGCCTCTCTCTCCCTATAGCTTCCTTGTTTATATATACCCTCTCTCCTCCTTTCTGAATCTCCTTCAATCCCTCTTCACCTCTCTCTCTCCCCCCTCAATTCCCCACTTCATGTCTTTTTCGTTGATTCACATCATCTTCTCAGTTTTTTTTTTCAAGAAGGGTCATTTTTAGGGTTTCAAGAACTCCAAATCCCTCTATCAAAAGAGAAAAAGATCACCAAAGCCATGTAAATATTTGCAAAATCACATACGTCTAGATACATACATTTTCATATATATATATATATATATATATATATATATATATCTTTTCGTTGTTGCATATGATCATATGCATGGTCGTTCATTGGCTTTCATAGAATTACAGATCTCAGTGTATATAGTGCATAGTTACTTTACTTAGACTTCAACAGGCACAAAAGGGCGTTTCCATACAGGAAATGTCATGTATACACGTGTCTGTATACCATGACATATAGTTTATACATGCTTCTTTACATGTATATATGTATACATGTATGCCTGGCTCCCTGTATGCCATATGCTGAGCCCACCGGGCATCGATCGGTGGCCTCCGTGGATGGCGTATGAGGAGCCATGCATATCCTCGTAAATTATACACATACATACTCTCTCTCTCTCTCTCAGACACACATATATATATATATATATATATATATATATATGTGTGTTGTTTATCTAGAATTCTATTTTGGTAAAGGTTTTGGAATCCGTTTTTTATATTTCTTGGTTCATTGCGAAGCATGAGTAGAGGCTATACGAAGAATCTTGACCAGGTACTTGATTCCGAAACCTGTGCTTAAATTTTTTTTTATAATGAATTACTATGATATTTTTGTGATGTTTTCCAATGATTTTGTTAATACCTTCGGATTCTAGTAGAAGCTTAGCAACGGGTATTTATGTCCAAGTGATGAATCTTCAGTGTATCCTTTATTGTTACCATGAAGTGTTGAAGTGTTTGGCACGGCACCTATAACGAGGAGTCCTCTTGACTTCCATCATTTCGTCTCTTTTCCTCCTCGATACTTTGGTAATTATGTAAGTCGCCTACATTCCATTCAAATAAAAATGCTGTAATATCGGAAGCTAAATATTAATTCCATTTAAATGAAATTGGTTTTGTTGAATTTTGATATATAACAAATGGCTTTTCATCTCACGGATTTAAGAAAAATGGTGCTTTGGATTCGGATTATTCTTTTTGGATAGAAACACAATCGAACAAAAACGAACTGAATCGAATAAAAAATAAACGAAAAAACTGATTTTTTAATACGAATTTTTACCAATAAAAACGAATCCAACTCGAAATAAAACCGAACCGGAATTGAGATAAAAACTAATGGTTATAGTTTTTATATAATCGAAATAATCAAACCTGAATATAAATTAATGAATCGAATCTGAAGCGAAACCCGAAAATGGTCACTCCTAGTTGTCGATGTCGAGATCGAGATCGAGATTGAAATTGTCCCGAGTTCAAAGTTCGACAAAGGCGAGCGATGGCGAGGGCGAAGGTACGTTGATAGAGAAAGTGTTCGGCATCCACGGACCAAATCAAAACTCCAATCTCGATATTCATAGATCGGGGAGTACCAACGATTTAAAGCTTGAACTAGAACTCGATTTAATTGGACATATAATTAAAAATTGAAAATTTTCCGAATTCCCTACCATAGTACCATATAAAATAAGATAACGTGGTAGTATATATTTATTATTTTCCATCGAGAGTAACACAAATAAATTTATGCGGTGTGATATAAATAAATGTTTGGGAAGAAGAAAAAAAAAGAAAATGAATATTGGGGGGAAACCCTAGGAAAGGGCACGAGCCTGTGCTTGTAGTTATTCCAGCAACCACCCAACCACGCGTGCGACTGTTTCGACACAAACACACATGACCATGTATCCCCTGCAGATTTTTTTTTTTTTTTTTTGATAACCGGGTAATCCTAGGTCCAAAGGGCCCAGACTAATCCCGACCCACACGCACAACCGGCACCACACGTGTGGGATGTGAAACACCCGAAGGTGGCCGGAGGGGAAATCTCCATACCCTGAGTGTTGAACCCACGACCTCTTGTTCAGGAAGTGAGCTCTCAAACCAACAGAGTTGGGGGAGATCCCCTATCCCCTGCAGATTTTTTTTTTTCTGGGTACATAGATACATATATATATATATATATATATAAGTATGTGTATGTATATATGTATATGCATATGTATGCATATATTATAGGCAAACTAGCTGTTTCGATATGTCGTGTTTGGTTCGACCAGAAAATATGGGGCCTTCACGTTGTCTGTCTCATGTTTCCTGCATGGCATGCATGGAATTACTATACCTCATATATATTTTTTTTTTTTTTTTTGATAACCGGGTAATCCTAGGTCCAAAGGGCCCAGACTAATCCCGACCCACACGCACAACCGGCACCACACGTGTGGGATGTGAAACACCCGAAGGTGGCCGGAGGGGAAATCTCCATACCCTGAGTGTTGAACCCACGACCTCTTGTTCAGGAAGTGAGCTCTCAAACCAACAGAGTTGGGGGAGATCCCCTATCCCCTGCAGATTTTTTGTTTCTTTCTGTATTTTTTTATTATTGAAAATAAAATACTTATCGTAAAAGTAATAAAATGCGTAAATGCAACTTTTACTGAAACGCCGATTCCAATTGGTTAATATAATGTGGAATATTCAAGCGATAATGTGGACTGACTGAGAACTACAAAACTTATTGTAATGGAATCGTATGGAAATCGTGAAATTCAGGCGGCTGATAGAATTGGAACTCAAACATATAGTTTTATCATATGTAATTTTTTACTGTAAATTTGTAATTTCGTTGGTTCTCAAAGTTATAATTTAACTATTTAAAGAATAATTAAAGTGAACTTTTTAAAGGCCAGTTCTAGATCAATACTGTACTGTTTCTGCAAAATAAATAAATCTAATTTTACAAAATTTTCTGCAATCTTTTAATGAGCTAAATTTGATTGAATTTTATTCTTCTCACAATTTGGAAGGGAACACAGTTCATTTTATTCTTCTCATTCCATTCAATATTTATTTTATTTTATTATGTTCTGTTCTTTTATAATTGCCATTAGAAACCTTAATTCTATATATATTTTTAAAAAAAAACTCATTCAAGGTCCATTTATTCCTTCTTTTTATTCCTCTTTTTACCAATTTATTTAGTGTTTATTACTCATTCACGGGTGATGATGATTCATAATCCTAAGTATGATTAAGATATGCAACAACGTGTATTATGAATCTATATATTTTTAAAACACAGTACACAAAACCATATCCCAATCATATTTTTTTTATATTTTTTAGTTAAATAGTCGGTAGAGAAAATATATAGAAAGAAATGATGAGTTTTTCTTTTTTGCTTTGGGAATAAATTTCTGAAAATTTATTATAATAAATTGATCAAATAAAGATAAAAATAATCATATGGCGTGGCATGGACCACTAGGGAATATTATATAAATAATATTCTGTAACATTTCTCTAGATTTAATTTTACCAATCAAAGTAGGTCAAAAAGAGAATTTCAACCACCGAGGACCACGCTCCACTTTATTAATTAATTTACTTACTTTATTTTTCTTTTAAAATAATTAAGCCAATATCGTTTCATGCGACATGATGTGTAGTGTGTACGCAGATATTGCCCGTGTACGTGGTTATATATATTATATATATAGAGAGAGATCTAACAAATATAATATTTTATAATTTAATAAGAAAAATGAGGTGTGTATATATCTCAATTCATAAATACAAATCAATGTAAATTCATCAAAGATCTGCAGATTGATCCAAATTTAGACAGTTAAAACAGTGACATGGAATGAGTAACGTTTATTCCGAATTCGAACTTTAAAATTAGAGAGGAATAATATATTCCAAAATCTAAATCATCTCATTGACTCTCGATCTCGTGATTAGTTTGATGTTTTCTTCACGATATTGAATTGTAACAAATCTCGAATATTTTAAGTATTTATATGATTCCAACAAAATAGGTCTCGAAAGTGTTACTAAGGGGGCATGCCTGATAGGATGTTAGATTTTTTAGAAAAACTTCTATTTTTACACTATTTCCCCCTATTTTTTTACATTATTTTATACGCGAACACGGTCTTTAAGATTTGCATTTTACCTTAAATTAACACACGGTTTTATTTTCAATCATTTTTAAAATTTGGCGCATATATATATATATATATATGGGAATTTTCACGTGTTTTAAGAGTTGTATACGTCATCCTTTATTTAGCAAAGGAAACTGAATTGTATATTTGGATAGAATAGAAATTAGGTGGTGTCAATATTGAATTGCAACTTACCCGTAGAATTACAAGTGGGCCTAATAACCACATGTAGTGGGCCTCTAGGCCCAACATTCGCTCCAAATTCCCCAATTTCCATGATCCATCTTGTCAAGGGATGGTTCTCTTTCTCACTCCTCCTCGTTCTTTTAAAACTATAATTTGAAAACATAATATTTTTCGGACAAAATACAAATTATACTCTTTTGTTTTTTTGGGTGCATTTTATAAAAGATTTCTTTAATCTATCTTTTGAAATTTGTGCGATATGAAAACTTAGTGATTCATATATGAACGGAAAAGAAATGGATCACGTGAAAAATAGTGTAAAACACGTACGTGTGTGTACAGCCCGTGTCCACGGAGCCTGTGACAAGGATCGTCCTAGATTTCGTGTATAATTAAAAAAAGAAGTCATACCAACATGTGTTCCATAACTAAAGCCCATCCCACTTGCGATCATGTTTTTTTTTTTTGGAATAAATAATTCTTTATTCAATGCACAACGGCCCTTTCACTATTACCAACCTGCATTGCATGCACGACATCCCAAAACATTAAATGACAAATTTAACGCGAAAATAAAAAGCAAAAATAATCAAATTCGCATGACAAAGATTTTATTCGTCGGTTAACGATAAGTGGTTGGCCGAATGGCGAAAAAGTGTTGCTCTCTGAGTCTCGGTCGCCAGTTCGAAACCAGCTGATGGGGAGGAATGGTTGTATTTAAAGTGTTGCTCTCTAGGCCCTTAAATATACTTTAAAGGTTGTTTTCGGGGGGTCTGAGGGGATATAGGTTGGGGCGAAGGTCCAGGTGAACCTATCGTTTATAAAAAAAGAGAGAAGATTTCGTCGTCTACAAATCTAAGATTTTCTTTACATAAAATTTATATCCGGTTAAACTTCGGTTTAGACATAGGTCGATTTCGATTTTTATTTTAAAATGATATTTTATTTTACATTACGTTGGTTTTGAATTATATTCAATTTTATTTAAAAGTTTTAGATTGAGTTCCATTTAAATAAATTTTATATTATTTAGCTTTGGATTCAATTAACCTGCCCTCCCAATAAACATAGCACTCAATTTCCACACATGTATAGAAGAAAATATTATTATTTCACCGTTTTTACATTTTTATATACCCAACCCAGCAATTTCAACTATGTAAATAGAGTACATACCATTTCATGATTTTAAATTTTTACTATTCTATCCGTACTCCTTTGCCTCGAACGGCATCGTTTTGATCCGCCACCCTTTCCGTCTCAGCGGTCCTCGCGTCTGCCCTGAATTTCTTATAGATATCGCTCTTGTAGAACTTCTTGGTCCTAACCACCAAAAGGGCAGAGACCAAAACGCCGAACAACGTGGCCGCAGTTATTATGATGAACGACGTTTTGAAACACGCGGTCCCATTGCACGTTAGGTCTTCACCCTCTTGCCTCGTTAACCCTAATTCCCTCATCTGCCTCTCCGCTTCCTTGTCGTACAAGTTACCCGCGACTCGAACGCTCAGCAAGTACGATCCGACGGGACTCGCCATCCCTCCGAAGTTATACAACGTCGAGTAATACTTTAGCCCGAAGATTTCGGATATTATCGCGAAAATGAGAGGCCATTGAGCGCCGAAGCAGAAGCCGATGATGACCGAGGCGATGTACAGGCCGCCCGGAACGTTGAAGGCGATGAGGAGGTGGCCGATGCATGAGACCAAGAGGATAATGGTGAACATTAATGGTCTCGGGAACTTGTACTTGATCAAGAAGATTTCGGACACGACCCCTGAAGAGACACGACCGAAGTAGTTCCATATGCTGACGAGTGAGACGAACGTGCTGATGCTACGTTTAGGGTAACCTAACGAGTCTCCGATCTGTCCCAAGTTGTCGATCGCCGTCAGTGTCCCTCCTACTCCGCATATCGTCGCCAAGAACAAGATCAGCATGTCGGCGCTGAACAACGCTTGCAAGATCGTGTAGTCTTCTCCTCTGTCCGGCGGGCTAAACACCGTCTTCCAACACGAAGGCGACTTCACCTCGTTTGAAACATCCTTAACGCTCTTGCTTCCACTGTCCTCGTTATTGCTGCTCGTTTCTTGATCTATGGCGGGTTTTTCGGTGACAATATTTAGCGGCGAGGGATCGTTCAAAGCGGATTGTTTCTCCTTCCATAGTCTTTTTTCCTCGAGGATTACCACAACGATCGGTAAGAGGAGCAACAAGATTACCACACCGGCACTGCCTCCGTACTCGCTGCGGGTGAAACCGGTTACCTTGTCGGTGATGATGACGATCATGAGGAAAGTGGCGAGGCCCAATGATATGTAGAGGAATTTGTAGAAGATCTTTAGCTCATTTGGCTGCCTAACGACCCTCATTATCCTTATTGTCCTCAAGAACGCGAAGGAAATCGCCGCGGGTAACCAACCTAAGTGCCATAGCCACAATCGCACGGAACAGAATTCGTATAAAAAAGGGTAATCTATTTTTTTTTCTTAACATGTTTTACGTGCGGCCAAACTTTGCATGAGCAGAGTCACACAAACCGAATTTAGATCAAAAGGGTCTTTTTGGTTTCCATGTTTTTAGGGCAAACTAAGGCAAGTTCTGTTGAAAACTAGTCAAGATTCTGTCTTTTTTGGTAGGAACTAATCAAGATTCTGTGATTTTTGGATGGGCATGATCAAGAAAAAAAAAAGATCTGCTTTCTATCGATCTTACAAGCAGGATCAAGATTCAGAGTTGCAGAATCAAGAATCAATAGCGAACCCCCCCAAAAAAAAAACGAAACAGAGGAGAGCACATACCGATGAGCAAGATCAAAGACTTGGTGTCGTCTCCATAGAAAGCGTGGAAAAGTTGAGTGATGATGGCGCCACTGAGGCCGACATAACCCTTGAGAATCCCCAACACAACTCCCCGAGACTCTGGGAAGTTCTTTACGCACGTGACTAGAGCTCCGGTGTTAGCGAAAGACTGAGAATTCGCCCCGACACAGATGTACAAACACATGTGCCACACGTGCGGTTTCGGGATCCGATTCGTGACGGCTAACCAAATCATGAAGTAGCCGAAGAAGTTGAGGACTGCGCCCATGGAGAGGACGACCCAAGGAGGAGTAACCTCGTTGATGAGACCGGACAAGACACCCACGTTGGCTCCGAGGTCTTTGAAGAAACTGAGGAGGGTCACTGTTGTTTGGTCGTAGCCTAAGGAGCGTTTGATCTCGTTGGAATAGAGACCGAACATGTATGTTGCTCCTGACGAAGACATGACCAGAAGACTCACGAAGAACATGAACCATCTTCCGGTGATTGTCTGGACGGCGAAGCTCTTCATCGTCGCCGGTGCTCCTACGCCTCCGGCGTGATTTGCCGCCACCATTTCTGCTAGTTTTGTGCGAGTTCTTGTTGTGTGTCTGTGAAGAGGTTTTAATGGAGTTTCTGGTTGGTTTCGTGTTGAGTTTTATGAGAACGAAATGAGGAGAGAGAGAGAGCCACGGAAACATTTTGGATTAGGTTGCAGGGAGAAAAGATTTAGTTTACTAAAACTATTCTTAATTATTTAATTTAAATGATATAAATATAATGAAAATTATTATTAGTTTATATATATGTCCTTAATTAAATCAAATTAATATTCGTTCCTAAAAAACATGTATACAACGGTTCGATGGTGAATCTTCCAAACTTTTTGGTTTTTTTCTTCTAAATTTCTATCATTGTTTTATGAATGTGAATCTTTATTAATGTATTATATATATATATATATATATACGCGTGTGTGTGTGTATTTTGAAATATTCTGCAAAAAGATAGAAAATAAATTTATTAATCTGAAAAAACATCTGTAAATTTTATATTTAAAATTTGTTTCGGGTTTTTATAATTTATTTATTAGACAATCTATTTATTGTGTTGCATTATATTTGATTTCACATGAAAAAATTATTAAAATACAAATTTTAACACTCAAATATATTTGTATTTTATTTTATTTGAGACACATTTTTTCAGTTCAAAACAATAATTTCAAGACCACCCATGTAATGAAATACGGTTGAATCCACCCACAAAAACACACAAAATTCATAATAGTCTAAATTAAGTTAGACTAATCTAATTGATAGTCATGCCAATAGTAGATAAATTTGCTGGGATATAGAACTATTTATTTTGTTTTTAAAAATAAATTATTGGAAATAACGCTAGTGGGGGTAATTAATGTCCGGATAATAATTCTCTCCACAAAAGTAGGAAATGTGAATTTAATAAGGTCCAGTCTATAGATGGACCAAGAAAAGAGGTGGTTTAATAATTTATTTATATACATATATATATATATATATCACATACTCGTGTACATAGCACGGAAGTCCAAGGTGGGCCCACGAAAGATAACGAGTAACGACGACCAGGTATTGTAATTTGCTTATTTTATATTATATATATATATTGAATAGTCGGTCCATTGACTAATTATTTCCAACTGATTAATCAATCTATTCTTTGCAAGACTCTTTGTGTGAACGAGAGAGCATGCATACACTACTATCAATCTCTGTTATTTGTAATTCATTTATTCTATTTCTGGTGTTAAAAGTCTAATATGATAATATTTTATTAAAATTATAAAGAAAGTATGATGTAACAATATATATATAATTATATTAAATTGATTTTTAGATCAAAATCGGTTATTAAATATGATTCAATTTAATTTTGTATATTGTGAAGTAAATGTTGGCCTATGTTGTTTACATATTTGTTATTGTTATTTTTATAAGTTTATAATAAAATGGTAATGTATATGTATTGTGAAAATTTAAAACGTAATAACACTGTTCGGATATTAAGCCAATTCCATAACAATTTTTCTTTTTCTTTTAATATATATATATATATATATAAACTATGAAGTCTCTAATGTTATTAGATACTTTAATATGTTACTAGAAACAGACACATCTATTCTACTTTTTAAAATCGTATTTTGATATTTTAAATATTTTTCGTCTATCTTGATACATGATTTGGTATTTTCGTCGATTTTAGTATATATACTATATTTTCGAATAATGACATTCAAAACTATAACAGAAATCATTTTTGTCTTTTTTCCCCTTAATAAATAATATTTTATGGTCACCTCACGTATAATAGAGAAAATGTTTTTCTATTATTAATAATGGGAAGAATACATCATAGCAAAATACAATAGAATATTATAGGCATAACATCTAAGGTAAATCATAACAATATTAATGATAATATTCTAAGAATAATATCTTCCTATAACGCAATCAGGTGTATATGTTTTGCTTATTTTTGGTTATTTGACCGTTTTAGATTATTTAAAAATAGATTTTTAGGTATCAAACTGACAAAACATATGAAAATAAAAATGTAGGTATTAAAAAAGGTAATGTATTAAATTTTACAATGGAAAATAATATAGAAACAAAAGATATTTTGTTATCAATATTCAAAATTTGAAAATGCCTAAATCAGTGCAAATTAATACACGAAAACTATGAATTAGATTTCAACCTTATCTCTATATAAACTGCAACTCGATTTATTCATGTATACAAAGAAATTACATAAACACATTGAAAATGATAGGGTTCAAATTAGATTTATTTATGGACGCATGTTATCAAGTAAATCATATAGTTTTTTTAGAACATTGTTAATGTATATTCTGGCTAGATCCACCTAATGACATAATTTTCTATAAAAATTAAAATCTGATGAAAATAGAATAACAAAAAAAATTATTTAAAAAGATTTGATAATCAAGTAATGAACAAAAAAAATTCGATTTTTCAAATTATTTGATTTGATTTCGAGATTAGTCTGATAAATTCCATAAAAGTTTCTTTGTACAAAATACAAAAAATATATATATATATATATATCTACTTTTCCCTTAACCAATAAACTAGTATCCTACGTGGTCATACGGACGTCATGTTTTTTTTGTCGCGTCAGCATTTTTTTTTAACTCCGAATATAAAGTTTACCCGTATTCATTTTTACCATGTGTTCACTGTAGATGTTTCAAACTTTTTAATAACCATTTCACTCTCATATAACAATTACAATTAGAGAATATTAACAAATTATATTTATATAAAATTTTATATTATCGTATTTTCTATTTATACTTTTTGTTATTAAAACTTTTATTAAAAACTATATCATATATTTTATTATCAATAAAAATAAAAACAAGATTTAATAATATTTTAAAAAATATTTATCGATGGATATCTAACTGATTTTCATGATATTATTTATTTTGGCACCAATAGTGAAGCTAGTTGAATTATTTATAAGCGATTACGAGATTTAGTGAGATTAACTATGAAATGTTTTTAATAACATGTGAATCTATCTATAGTCATGGAATATTCACTCTTTAATGTATATAATATAATATATGTGATACTTTGATGGTTTAAATTTCTTATCTTACGATTCACCAAAAAAAAATATCTTATCATATTTAATTTCATATAAGTTATGTTTATGTAATATATGACATAATTAAACCATTGTCTTATGAATAATGCCAATTTGCTAAGTGTCACGTCTACACTGCCCGTCCGTTTTCATTGATCATAGTTGGCACCGACGTCTGGCCCTAAACCAAAGGCTGTAATAATACTCTTGATCAACTCACCCGTTAAATCGCAAGTTCAAAATTCTAATTTAATCAAGTTAAATTATTATTATTTTTTTCAAAATTTATTATAAAGGAAAAGAGTTAAATCACATTTACTTATATATATTAGGATATGATGGAAAAAATATTAAAATTTTGTGATTATTCCGCTTAAAACTTTTCAGATATTGAAAGGAAAATAGATATCGGCGCGATATAATGTATATAGTTTGTGACAATTAAATATCTGTTAATTATTTTAAATTTTGTTTTTAGGTTGAAATAATTCATTATTTGTCTTATGTTGTATATGAATTGAAATAAGTATATATATATATATATATTGCGAACTATATGAGATTTTCAACTGATTTAAAAAATATAATAGAAAGGTATGAATTGAAAGTCAACGAATATCACCAGTGATATGATGTGATCCGAACCAACCCGCCTAAGTGAGTGCACCTAAAAATTTGGAGGAATATTCCAAATTTTGTCCAAATGATTTGGATTAGATTCTCTGTGTTCACTGGGCCGAAATTTATCTACCGGAAAGAAAAGCCCACAATTTTTTTTTTGTCATGGATAACAAAAAATGGTTATTTTAAATGTTTATTTACGCATTTTTAGTTTAAATAGAAATAATATTGGACGAATACGATCGATCATAATTCTTTTGGAAAACCGGGTATTCTAGATCAGATTAATTTTGAGATCGAGAGCAAATCATGCGATTGAAATTATACTCCTCTCCTCAATTTGAGGTTTGCACTCGGGACTCCGTTTCACCGGTTGAACTATCCAAATTGGGTTGATCATAGGTAAATTAAAAGCTGGAAAATTGTGAAACAAGCAAATCATATATAATAAAAAAAGCTCAAATAAAAGATTTCACAAACAATACAAAAAGGTTCCATAACAAGAAGAAATGGATTCATTCCAATTTTTACCTATCAACAATCAAACAAAGACGGCCGTCCAACGACTTGCCTCGGACGGTTGCAAGGACAAGTGGTAAGGGTGGACGTTTCAGTATTTGTTCGGCCTAAAAAATATGTATTAATTGATTATTATATTATTTATATTTTAATATTTGGTTCGGTTTCAAAAAACAAAGTTATTACCATTCGAGATTTTATAACTGTTCGATTAAAAAATGATACCGATTTTTTTTGTTCGGTACCGAAATGCCCACCACTATAGCTGCCGGACTTTGGTATCGTTCATCCTCCACTGATACTCGTCCCTGAGGTATTTGTCTATACATATAATGTATATGTGTATGATGTGTTTGATCGTCGAGATAAGTACCATAAAAACATAGGGAGGCACTTATCTTGACAATCATGATATACATATACATTATACATATAGACAAATACCTATACTAAAAATCTTCACTACACGTATATGGATGTATCCCTATGTTTACAGGTAGGTGTATGGATGTATATAAATAGATGTGTATGTATAGCTGTATGTATATACGGATGATATTGGACAAAGTCTTCGCTGCACTAAAAATCCAAATCCAACGGAACTGAACTGAACTAGACGTGATAGAGTTAGAACACAAAGTGTATGAAATGCAAACATGTTTTAAGTGGCAAGTCCCTAGTATGATTTCTTTTCCATGGGACCCAGCTTTATTATTTTTAGTTTTCTTTTCCGCGGTTTATTTTAATTTTAGATATACTCTATTCTTTTTGAAAATAGACAAAACCTGTGGGTCCATGATGTTTGATTCTGTGTTTCCATCTATTTAAATATTTTTATTTTCAATATAAGAAAATTATTATTTGTGCTGGACAGTCTAATTACTTTTATGCAAAAATAGCTTTTTAGATGGGTAACTTTATTTTCATAAATGAAGTGGAACAATGCTTTATGGTTCAAGATAAAAAAAAGTAATTATCATTCCGAGAAATTGGAGAATAATTCAACTCCTACCATAATATTTCCATTCAAATATATAATAATTTCATCTCAAATTTAAAATGAATTGATTATCTATGATTATAATTTTTAAAAAATGAAATCGAATTTTGATTAAATATTAAATAATAAAAAATTGAATTAAAAATATGGAATAAAAAATCAAAATTAAATGGATATATATTTCTCATAAAAACAGAATCTAAAAATAAAAATAAAGAGGAAAAAAATGGTAACAGCTGAATCGTATAATGTTGACTGATGAATACTTCGGATGGCAACGTGTAATTATTTTATTTAATTTAATAGCGATAATAATAACAATGGAAACTCACCATTTTTTTTTGTAACGTTACAAACTTGCAAAAAATGGTCAGCGATAGACAACTTATAAATAATTCTCTTTTCGTCGTACAAAAACCGTCCTCTTATGAGAAAGTTTTTTTTTTAAAAAAAAAAGATGAAGCGAATCAAAATGGGCCAACTTTGTCTGTGCAAAAAAGATTTCATTTTCGTCATACATTCTGTGGTTAGAAAATAATAATAATGGCAAAATATTTGAAAAGAAAAGATAAGATGAAGCGAATACAAAATGGACCGACTTTGTCTATGCAAAAAAAAAACAAAAAACAAACGAGTGTCGGTCGAGAGTCCCGAACCGACAGTCCGACGTGGGGCTTTACAAATATAATATATTCTTCACGGACGTACAAAGCTCGTCGAAACGACCTCGTTTTTTTCCGGATATTTATTTAAAAAAAAAACGTTTTTATTTTCCGATTAAATCAAAGAAAGTGACAATTGGGGAGCCGCCACCCAAATGATACGACAATGCAACCATATTTTCTTGGTATGTTGTATTCATTAGGGTCCAATTTCACATCTTGTAACCCACAAAATGAAACCGAATGTTAGATTAGATTATGATTGGATTTTGTCCCTTGAAGAAGAGTCGCCAATATATATATATATATATATATATATACACCCAAAAGTTGAGATTATTTGAATCCGAATCCAAATATTTCGCATCTAATATTTTGATCTATATATCCAAATTTGGATAGTTCAACCGCCGGACGTAAAACATGTATCTCGTTCCGAATTCGAATCTCAAATTTAAGTAGAACACTGTATATTCCAAATCACATAGTGGACTAAGATTAGTTTAGACTTTAGTACAAAACACTTGGTTATAAAAAAAAAACATTTTGATCTATATGTTCTAGTATCTGAATTTTGAAAAAAAATAATATAAAATCATAAATAAAATAATTAAGTAATCCTTCGATCTATTTACATCTATTTATTTTCATGAATTTGTAAGGAACGGTATAAAATCGTAAGAATCTAAAAAAAAATATTTGCCAATACAATTCTATAAAATGCAAGAATCAAAACGGCAAACATCAAATATCTTCACCCTTTACCTAAACTAGTAACATTTCATCTTCAAGAATTTATGTTCAACGAGATCTCAAAAGAATCTCTTTGAAGATTCTAAGTTTTAAAATTAATAATAACATTAAAAAAATCATCATTGTTGAAACCCAATAAATAAATAAATAAATAAAATAAAACCAAATATACCGAAAGAGAAGTCTGAAAAGGACACTTAAAGCTTAGAAATAAGAATCATTCTGTCTATGCAAAGACGCCGAAATAAGCGGAGGGAACAAAACACAAAACCAATGATGAATGTCTCTGAGACCACAAGTGAAACCCTTTTCTACGATCGATGTTGTTCTTGGAGAACAGCCCGAAACTATACAATTTTTTTTTCTCGGAATCTTGACAAGTAAAAAAAAAATCTATCGGGACTTGTAATAAGAACTTTGAGAATTTATCATATACTCACAAGCCCCTTGTTGATGATGTTCACCTTTCTCTCGCGGTTCCACCGATGATGTCGTCGTTCGCCGCCGCCGCCGCCGTCTTCTGGCTAGTCCGGTGGGCGGATCGCTTGAACGCGACGGTGGGAGCGATCCTGCAACTTCTCCGCTGGTGCTCCCTCACGAGTTCCTCGGCCAACCAGTCCAGCTTCTCGAAGTTGCTCTGTTCTTCGATTCTTTTGCCTCCAAACAGGACGGATTCTACGTTCTTTTGCTTCAGCATCTCCTCCGCCACTCCCATCAGCATGTTCACGTTGCTCGGGCTCGGATCTGTATCTATGTCTGGTCTGCACGGGCCAAAGCTCGACCCGTTCGCCTGCCAAAACCCGCACACAAAAAAATGATCGCTGTTACGAAATTCCGGTCAAAGGCAAACCCGATGAGGCGGAGATTCAAGTGAGGCAAGATCCAAACGACTAAAGATCTCCAGTTTTTACATCAGACCAAACATATTGATGAACTCCCGAGTTCTTCTCCTTTGAAGCTTTAAAGCCAATGTCTATGGAACCATTTACTCATGAGACAGAAGATGGCTCAGTTCAAATGGGACATCTATAGCAAATCCTAGTTAGAACCAAAGTCTTCAGTTTCAGACATAAATCAAACGAACCACAAAAGACTTTACCTGAATCCGGACATAGTTACTACTCCGACACTGACCAAACGCCATGGCCACGGCCTGGTCCCATCGGCTGATATACGGGCCACAGAGCGAGCCCAATGCTTGGGCTTCCACCGTCTCACCCGCTCGTAACCATAGTTCACATCCAAAGCCTGACCCGTCCCCAGAGACAGGACAAGCAAATCCTCCACGCCCCTCACGAATGGGAACTCCTGCTTGTTGTGGAGCACGTGCGTGATCGCAGCCGCGGTCGGGTTGCTCATCGCCAAGCCTCCGTCCACGGCCAAACACCTTGTCGAGCCGTCCACGGACGCCATCTCCACGGCCTCGAACGCACCCGGCTCAGCCCATGTAGCCCGGCAAACCTCCCACAGCCTGAAATCGTAGCTGTCCGTCTCGAGCGCGTCGGCTCGTGAGAACAAGAATGGCGCAGAGCTCGAGAGGTCGTAACATGGGATTAGAACAGGTTTGAGCGTGTCTTTGAGTGTTAGGTCGGAAAATGCCTCCTTCATTGCCTTCTCCAGCTTCGCCGTGCCCGACCCGGACCCGGTTCTCATGACCCGATTTAGGAGCCCCGAGGAGGAGGCGCGTCCGGGCTTGTAGAAGCTCCCGCCGTTCTGAGCCAGGAACCGCCACGTGTCCTCCGCCCGGAAGATCGGCCGGTTCCCGTCGCTCGACGCGAATAGCATCGCGGTGAAGATACCTCCGATGCCGGAGCCAGTGGCGACGTCAAAGTAATCGGCGACTCGGGCATTTGGATCGCCGGATTTCGATTTCAGGGCGTTTTCTAGATACGCCAAAGCCTTGCCCGGCAAAATCCCTCTCATGCCCCCTCCATCGATGCTCAGGACACAGATTTTGCCTCTCTGGTTCTTGATCGAACCCGGAACTCCGCCCCCGTCCTCCGCCGCCGCCGCAGCCGGAGTCACGGGTTCGAGGGCCCGGGGAACCATGAGCTTTGGGTCGTCGTACCCGAAGAGGAACTTGCTCTCGAGAATCGAGAAAATCTCATAGCTGAGCTTATCCGTGTCGATGCTCGGTTCCTGCATCTCCGCCGCGGTGTTATCGCTCGCCACCTCGAAAACCTCCATCGCCGCCGTTGTGCCGCCGCCAACTCCGCCACCGTGTTTGATGAAATGCTTAATAACGGTGGTCGGAGTTCCTCCGGAGGAGCCAATCGGATTGTCGTGTACCCTTTGCATGACGAATTTCAGCTCCACCCACCAAAGAGATTTGTTGAAAAGAGAGTGTTTGTTGGGTTTCACAACCTAGACATCATCGCCCCAGAAATCCCCAAATATTTTGACACAGATAAGACAAAATCCCTAATTTTCTTCTCGTGTCGTAAGAACACACGAAAACAATACTCACAGCCTCTCCCCCATTTTCTTACAAGACGACGTCAAAAAAGAATCGATGCCCCTTTTTCCCCCCCTTCCCTCCCGAAACTTTCAAACGACAAAAACCTGTCTTCTCGATTCGAAATTCAAAAGAAAACACGAAAATCACCACGAAAAGACGAGAAAGGCAAAACCCTTTTTCTTTGTTGAATCTTCAAATTCTCTCTCCGTGTTTCCTTCCCTCTTCAACACGACACGGGCTCTTCTTTTCCGGCAAAAAAAGGGCAAACTAATTCTATCTGGAGAATTCACCTCGAGGAAAAGGGAAAAAAGGATCAATTACTTATCTTCTATGTCTGGTTTTTTCTTCGCTTAGGACAGAAAGCAAGAGACGACAACACCAACTCTATTTATTACATGAAGAAAGGGGAGCAGGTGGAAGAAGAAGAGAGTGAGGAGGAAGAAGAGGCAAGAACACAGCAGCTGCAGAAGAGCATGTCTGTTTTTTTATATATATAATCTCACGCTTCACCTTTGTTTTACTTAAACCCCACCTAACAAAAAACGGAAGAAAAAAAAAAAGAAAGCTTGATAATTTAAAAAAAAAAAGAAAAGAAAAAAGAGGAATGAGTAATGAATGTAATTAATTACTTCTCTCTGTTTCATTTCATTTTTGCTTTTTTTTTTAAATTTTATTTCCAGGATCTATTTTCTTTAGGCTTGTACCCGAAAAAATTCCAACTTTATCCCATCATTTTTCTACAATATTTTTTTTTTTTGGAATTTACCTTGAAAATTTCTCGTGAAAAACTATCATTAAAATAAAATTTGACAAATAACAAAGAAATTGGTCTTATGGAGACAATTTATTTATTATTAATATAAAATTTTTACTTGGCGATAATATGAATTTATGTCATTTCAATCTTTTCCACCGATAATTTTTAAAAAAGTATATATTTCAATCATTTCATGGTCGCCGTTCATTTCGGATTTCATACTACACCATATAGAATGGAAGTGCTGATGAAAATTTTTAATTATATTTTGGTATAAAGTCATTCCATAAGCATCAATCATGGAGCATTATTGTGTAATGGTGTCGTTGTTTCTTATGAAGACGAAGCCTAATAATACTTATATATATATATATATATATATATATATATATATATATATATATATATTATGTCATCCACAGTTTTTTAAAAATATATAAATATATATATATATATACAGGATTCGTTTTTATTCGCAAGAAAAGTTTTAATAAAAAATAGGATGTAAAGACAATGCTTTTGTAGAAATTATAAATAAGGAAAACTGGGAATGACTCCGTGTTTGGAAAATTATCTATAAATACACATAGGATAAGATTCTTTACCGAAGAGGACAGATAGATTAGGGGAAAAGATGAGATATTTGTTCACTGCTGTAAAAAAAAATTGACTGGTAATATTACCATATTTAATATGATGAGTTGGCGGATACATTTTATGGATTTAAGCTGGTTACTTTTTTAATTTTCATTTTGTATTTAAAAAATTATTTTTATTTATCGTTGTATTTTATTAAAACATTATTTTGATGTAGTTTTTTTCCTTTTACATTGAATTTGTTTTTTTATATAATTTAGTTCTGGGAAAATATATGTAATTAATTTTAAAATTAAATTTATTCCATATCTAATTATGTATTATTTAATTTTGTGATAATTTTGTATGTTTTTCTATTTTTGTATATTACAAATCACATTAGATATATATACACATTATTTAACAGAACATTTAGGGGAAAATATATCTCCAATTTTAGTCGGACTCTTGATTATTAAGCTTCTAAAACTATGACAATTTCTTAAGGAAATGTATGATTTTTAAAAAATTGAAAGTAACGAGATATCTATTTTGATTTCTAATTTAATATCAGGGCAAAGTCTATTGAATTTTTTTCGTGTTAAATGAATAGTTATTATTATTAAGAGAGATTTTAAACATTTATAAAAAAATGATATTAATTTTTTGGTATAGATAATAAGCTTAAAATTTATGCAATACAGAAACACCACAATAACTATTGGATCTGCGTATCTTTTATAACATATAGTATTTATATCACTCATTTAATGTATGTTATAAGTTTATATCATTTATTACATCATCGAGCACTCTAAAACATCATAAAAAAATCGTACCGAACTAATATTGATCCACTAAACATTGTAGATAATTATTTTTAAAATATAAAATATCATATATTAATCCGAAAACTTGAAATCCAATGTTTATCAAAGTATATATTTTGTAAATTGTGATATAATACCGGTTAATTTGTATAATCAGCCTTTAATCATTACGTTAACAAGCACTACCCATACAATATTTATTGTTAACAAGATATATCCAAAGGAGTTGCCAACTCGACATTTTTTCAATACCTGAATAGTGTATAAACCAGAAAATAACGACAAATTTTACAAAAATATAATATAAATTTGTAATTTGTTCTTATAGATTTCTCAAATGTTAAAATATTTCAAATAGATATCTTAACTCATAAAATTTATAACAATTTGTAATCTCAACTCTAACGACAACGTATAAATTATATGATAATTTTTAATATTAAAACGAAATCGATAATAATTCTCAACAATATTGACTCTAACGAACCATATATAAATTAAATATTAATTTCAACATCGATTATACGAAATTTTAACATTTACTTCGTCGGTCAATTATGACATCTCTGCCTAAGATAATGTAATACGATCTCTCTCTCACACACATTTTCCTATGTTTTGTTTCTTTATCTTATGTGGTCGTTTAAGGGATCGTGTGTGTGTGTGTGTTCTCCGTTGTCTTTTTTCTTCTCTCTCGGAACATCGTTGACCATCGTCGTTGTTCTCGATTAGGCACCGACGGAAAGCTGTACGGCGTTGAACAGTAATCGTTTCGGCCAAGCACTGCCCACGTCACTGTTGTCCCGTGATCAACGGTCCACAGTCCTTACACCACTTTTTCTCTTCTCTTTGTTCTTTTATTATTTAGAAACGTTATCTTTTTCGCCGTACTTGTCGGAGCGCGTGGAGCCCAGACGTCAAATACTCACACACGTCGGCGACACAGTGGATGTGACTGTGTACGAATGCACCTATGGACGTGTGTGTGTGTGCATTTTTGGTATGGTATTTGACTTTGGTTAGGACATATTTTATTTATGATTGAAATGAACCGTCAAAGTGAGAAGATATGTGGCCGAGTGTCTCGTGGGATGAAAAACCTTCCAAGATGAGAGTCGCCTAAAAATGGGTTCGCACGACTGTAAATATATGATCATTTGACCTAATCAAAGTTGGCCGAATGGTGTAAGTGGTTGAAAAAAATAGGGTAGGGTGTCTTTTATCTCTGGTCTTGTGTTCGAGCCACCGTTAAAAAAAATATACAATTTAATTATAACAAGATTGTCTTCGGATTCAGGATGAATGTAATTGAATCGAAAGTATAGTGAATCAATTTAAATTAAAAAAAAAAGGATCATTTCGCCATAAATTGAATTAGTTCGGGATACATACATATCTAATAATCGAAAATTATAGAATTTTTTTTGTTAAATGTTAATCCAAGATGGGCTCAAATTCGGGGGCTCGACAATTATAGAATGTTAAAAAAAAAGTTGAAAATTATAGAAAATTATAGAATTTTTCGCAAATATTAGAGTTATTTTTGTAATTTCTAAAAAAATGCATTTTTTAATTATGTTGGGTACCCTTTGTTTGTAAAATCATGGAGCTCGAATTCGCCCTACCATTAATTTCGGTTTAAATTCCGAATAATTTAGGTGTTCGAAATTTACCGTTTAGAGAAACATCTAATATGATTTGATCTGATATATTAGGGATGTATGATCAATGGTTGGCATATGTAAAGATCATAGGTCATACATAGTTTATTGAATCTGAAAGATAATATAAAACATTCACGGAGCCGAAAATAAAATCAAATCTACAATATACATTGTAAAGAGATATGAAGAAGATTTGAGAAGATTACGTAATATTTAGATTTGATTTTATTTCTATATTTTAGATATTTATATTTATTAAATAAGATATTTTATGATTTTGTTTCTGCTATAAATATTATAATGTTACATGTTGAATAATGAGAAATCTATTGATTCTCCATCTCTTTATCTATTATACATTATCATCGCAAATCTTATCGAATGTTCGATAAATACAAACCTAGATTTCGTGTTAATCTTATCAATCACTATATGGATGGATGTCTATTACCTACAATCTCAAAGCTTTGAAAATCGAATTAGTACCTTAATTAGCTCTTAATTAAACGCCCATCTGGTGTTTACCATATATATCCATCCATCCTCGCTACGAACAAGCGAGTCACTCCCGAGTCACCGGCGAGTTTCTCTCGCATCCTCCTTAATTTTTCAGAAGCAGCGAACGATCATGCATGTCGGGTCCGAAAGATTCAGACGTGACCGACCGACAAGATATGTTCTTCCTCGGTTGTTGTAACGTTTTTCGATACCGGACCGGTCTTTTCTTCTTCACCCACGTGAGACAACGACGTCACGAGGGATACCCAAACGCCGAGGGCCTAGCTCACCAACAGCAGAGATTAACGGTCCCATTGGCAGCCAGGAGTCGTGCAAAACGCGCAGCACTCGCCATTTCCCGGTCGGCAACGGAGATAAGGACGGGCTAAATTAAGGCCGGAGTTTCAGTAACTTTCGCCAAACCCAACTCCCGTCGCCACGCGGATTCGAGGCCCAAAAGGATTTCAACCAAATGTTTAATTTATGCAATCAGATATTGTGCATCCATAAGCACATGCATCAATCAATACTGATAACTAACTATATATACTGAACGTATCAGACTATCCAGATATTGTCTGCATCATTATTTGGATCGAAATACTTATAGCCTAAGAGCTATACATACATACCATCGTCACATATATATACATCATGCAAATTAAATTAAAGACCAATTAACAAAAGCAAAATTAAGTTCGTGGAAAATTTTATATGGCTTAAATGATGGCAGTTATATACACCACAAATTAATTTGTCCATATACATCATACCATAAACTTAAGCAAAAATCACAGGATATATATATATATATAGTGGGATATGCATTTCCTTTTTGTGGATAAGGGTTTTTTCTCATCTTCCAATTCGATATAATTACAATCCAAAAAATAACTGTTAATATATAAAATATGAATGATCCTCTATGGATCAAGAATATAAGGGGAAGTAATATTGGAAGAGGGATTGATAATGGCGATGTAAGGGAATCCTGATGATGCTGCAGCAACTGTCTTCAATGGCTTTTTCATGGTTTCCACCGGTAGATAGATCGGTGACGATCTCTTACCGAACAAATTCACCGTCTTCGATCCGTTAAAACAGTCGGTTGTCTTCGGTTTTGTTTTCGTGGTCGTGGATGATGATGATGATGGTATTCCGAGACTTAGTGAGAGATCGTTGTGTTCGTTTCCTGTTAGAAGAGAAATCTAAATTGAAACATCACGGAATAACTATAATCAAAGATCATTTATTCGAGATGTTGAATGCTAACTTTTGATATATTATATGAGAGTCAGTCAAAGATAATATCACTAATCCGGTGAATCTCGAGTAAGGGGGGCCGTTTTGGGGTATTAACCGAATGACCGAATCGAATAAGATATAACCGTAATTGAACCGAATCCGACATAAAATCCGAATAGATATAACTTCTCTTCATCTGAAATAATCGAACTGAATAAAAAAATAACCGAAAAAACCGATAATTTCTTTGAAAAATGAATTTTTTACCGATAAAAAACCGAATTTGTACTTATAATAATTAATATGTATATATGAATGTGTATAATTTTTAAAATTTTGAAAAGTATAGGGTTTTTTTATAAATAAAAATATAGGGTTTAAATTGCGACGAAAAAAAAGTATATGTTAAAATTTGAAAAGTTTAGTTTTTATTTGTCAATTTAAATATAGTTGGGTATTTAATTTGGAAATGAGATAGTTGAGTATTTAATTTAGAAATTTGGTTAAAGTTCATTTCCCTAATTTAATTATTAACAAATTAAATGAAAGCTATATATACTTTTGAAGTTCATGATTTGATTAGGGTTTTTCATCAACTACCAAACCAACCAATAATATTACTTTTTTTCATGCGACCTACATTTTATAATTTACCTTCATTATTACCGAACCCAAATATAACCGAATCGAAACTTGAAATGATCATCCCTAATCTTAAATATAAAACGTTTACCGTTACTATTCTATTACTAACTAGAAAGCAAACAAAATTTTAAACGTATAAAACACAATATTATTGGAATTTGGAGTCATTTTATTAATTTAGATTGTGGTGCAAGATTTTCTCTGCCGAGTTTTTTTTTTTCAAGAAAGGGATTCTTAAAGGTTCGGTTTTAATTAATTTAATTATTAACAAATTAAATGAAAGCTATACTTTTGAGGTTCATGATTTGATTAGGGTTTTTCATCAACTACCAAACCAACCAATAATATTACTTTTTTCATGCGACCTATACGTACATTTTATAATTTACCTTCATTATAGGCACCTAACATCATTCCTCCTCCGCCGTTTCCCATTTCCTTGCAATCGATGCCTCCCACAACGTCCCATATCCTATAACGAAATCCACGAAAGGCGATTCGGGTTTAAATACGCTATGTTTATTACGGGAAATTTATCGAAAAACTTTGTCATAACGTTTTTCGACGCATACTAAATTCAGAAATTTGTCACGGGATCAACATATATGTTAATCATGAATAGAGTTTTTAAAAAATGATGCAACAGTTCGATTACTGACAGAATTCGGTATATCGATCATTATATATATATATATATATATATATATATATGTTGAGTGTTGATAAAATCATACCGGTTTTGGAAGAGATGGACCGAATCTGAATTCCATTTGTTGCATCTATGGAGCGTGAAGCCTTTGTATCTAGAGGTTCCCCTTGCAAAACTGGCGCTCACTCGCCTCAGTGACTGGACGAACTCTTCTTTGCTTAAGTTGTTCATCTATACGTACACAGATAGATACATCCATTCCTAAAGAATCAGTAATTAATTATTAAAAAAAGCTGGTAAATTGGCGTGGATACAAATCTGGTTGCAACGTTTTAAATCGAAATTTTTGTTAGAAAACAACCTTTTCAATGTCTTCTCTGTAATCGTTGACGTCGAAGTTGATATCTGCGTCGAGGCCTCTGAATTTGATGGCAGCTCGGTCGTATGCTCTGATTTTTTTATAAATATATATGTAATGGTAAATAACATTTTTTAATGAGTTTATATATATATATATATATATATATATATATACATATATTATGTATTTTCTTGTACCTTGCTGCTGCATAGGCAGTGTCAAAACCACCTGTTGAACAAACAAATAAGAAGAAACACTGAAATTTAACGATTATAATCAAAATTGGAAACATCTGTCTCTCTCCCAGTTGAAAATTGGGTACAAAATAATATAAAAAGGTGGAAATACAAAAATATCAAATCATATGGTAAATAAGTAGGGCAGAATTTGATCTATGCTTACCCAAATAAACTTGCTTTCCACAATCCCTATAAAATTATTAAAAAAAAAAAACAAAAGTATTATTCTTCGGTCCAAACATTATAGTTGGTTTAACATTAACGGCATTATTAATGTATCCGAGTTCGGTCAACCATAAGAAACTATGGTAATTAAAATCTTAATCGAGATATATAACAGAAAAAAAAAATCATCTAAAATTAGTATAAATAATTAAATTAGAGAATAATTACCAAATATGAGACTCCCATCGACCGGTTCTTCTGTAGAAAGTGACCCCTCGGTACTGAGAACTCTTAGACCTAGGCCCTCGCCGGCTCTTCTTCGTCGCCTTCTTACTATTGTTATCGTTATGATAAGCAATCTTTTGCAGAGCCGGCGAGAGGTTCAGCCATTGATCGGCGTCTCCGCCGCCGGAGAAGTCGGAAGGATTCTCTCCGGCGATCGGAAAAAGCTGACGTGTCCCGAGGAGAGTGTGATGATGGGGACGTCGGGTTTCGTCGTGGTCTCGTTTTAGAATGCCGAAGGCGATGAAGGGATCGGCGCCGGAGGAGGATTTGTTGGGTGAACAATCTCCGGCGGTAGTTTTCCGATCATCTTCTTCGTGATTGTTGTGTGAGGAGAAGATTCCGAGGTTGAGATCCAACATGGGTTTTTGCTTGTTTTCTTTCTCGTTCCCGAGATTCTTTCGAGACGACGTTGCCGCGGTCCAGAGAGAGAGAGAGATGAGATGAGATGGAGAGGGGGAGAAAAAGAACGTGGAACGTGTTCACTGCTAAGGTTGCATTGTCTACACTTGCCTCTTTTTATTCGTTTTGTTTACAAATAAAAAAAATCAAATATCTGACTTATTATTATTTTTTAAAATCGCACTTTAATTAATTTATATGCAAACTACATATTATATAATACTTTGCTTACTAGTTTTTTTTTATAAAAATCAAATTAATATTTTGAAACGTTTTAAACATTAATAGATCACAAATATTATAAAAATTTCATAATCAATTATGATTTCAATTAATCAATAAAATATACTTAATTTTAATTATAAAATAGTATACAAAATTATTATATAAAAATGATGTATATAAGTTATAGAATTCTAAATATCGGAATAAAAACCTAAATATGTTTTTACAAATTCTATGTATCACATTGCAGTAAATTTCTATAAAACAATTTAGTTTTTTTATTGTGATATTGATAATTTTATACTCTACTCAAAATTAATATACAAAATCTTTTGATTGAATAGAGTTTAGGGTTTTATCCGAAGGTACAAACTTTCTAGTTTAAGAGTAAATCAGATTTAACCTTTCAGCTATATGACGTTTTTTCTTTTTATGGAAAGGTCCACATCGCGGCTGCACACGTGTCAAATAGTATGAAATCTAATGGTTAAGGATTTTTTGTACTTTCCTGTGTATAGATTTTTTTTTGGCGTACAAACGTGTGTGAGATAAAGAGCACATGTTATTTTCTTTATTAACTATAGAAATCAGAAACAGATAAAAAAAACTATATCATTTAATGTAATATTCAACAATTTGTACATTTTCTAATTCTCCCAAATTTAATCTAAAAAATCGAAAACAATATTTATTTTCAATAATATATCAATATTTTCTTAATGCACTAATCTCTCACTCTCTGACGTTTTTTAGGTCACCAATCCTCTGATCGTCGAGATAATCTCGACGATCATGTATAATTGTTGTGTAATAGTATTAAATCGGCATATCTTAATTGTAGATGATGATTTCGTACATTCGTCGTCCTGGGATTTATGAATGTAAGAGGAGTGTGTGTATATTAGTGATGTAAAACGGGCTGGCTCGGACCGGTCCGGACCGGTTCGTCTCGAGCCAGCTCATTTTTGGTTCAGCCCATTCGGTCTATTTTTTTACGAGCTAGAAAAATTCTGATCCAAACCAAATTGTCCGAGCTCCGAGCCGGCTCGCGAGCCAGCCCGTTTTTATCTAATTATTCGTTTTTTTTTTAAATTACATGAAAATTAATCATTTAAAGTCTATGTAACAATATTTTGAAGTCATACAATATAACATAAAATATTTAGCATAACAATCCATAAAACTATATCTAAATCAATAAAAATTAACAAAACCAAACAAACATAAAAGAGTGTAATACACCAACAACATCAAAATATAACAAAAAATATACATAAACATCAATATAAAAAGTGTCATACACCAACAATATCAAAATATAACAAAAAATATACACAAACATCAACATATCATGAATTTTAATTTGCTATATAAACATAAGTAGTAAAGAAATTAAAATATGAAACCCTAATATTTTTTTAATGTCAGCTCGCGAGCCGGGTCGCGAACCGACCGAGCTAGTCCGGATGGGCTCGGGCTCGTCGCGAGCTGGCTCGTTCGACCCGTTTTTATTTGGTCTTTTATTTTTTTAGTCCAACTCGATAAAAAACGAGCCAACCGTGAGCCAACTCGCGAGCCTAGCTCATTTTGACGTCACTAGTATATATATATATATATATATATATATATATATATTCTAAAAGTTTGGTTGTTATTATTATTGGAGATATTTGTGATTAATTGTAATCTATATATATTTGGAATATTTCCTAGATTGTAGGATATTATAGTTAGGTCAATATCTCTTATGTACCTATATGTATGTGTGTTCGATAACCCTAATAGACAAGGAAATTAGTTTCCGTACAATTATAGTTAAATATAGAGGATTTATGAATTTTTGTAAATATAGACCTTCAAAATGATGAAAGACAATTTATCAAACGAATATACAACCCATCTCGCTTATTTTATTTCTTTTATCCCACACTATTTTTTTTTTGTAAAGAGGCAATCTATTTTAAATAGATCTCGCTATTAAAAAGTTAAATATATGTATATATGTATATGTATGGTCGAACATGCAACATTTTAATGCATACGAATGAATAAAACTTCAGTGGATAAACATATCACACGACAAGAGTGGGAGCCGAGGATTTCTTATTGGATCTTCAATCAAAATAATTGGTGGAGCAGAAGATATTCTACACCACAACATAAAAAAAACTACTAAAATAATGAACAAATCAATCAAATACAGAACATAGAATTATAATAACAACAACAACAACAACAACAATAATAATAATAATAATAATAATAATAATAATAATGTTACATATTCGAAGGGTCGGTCCAAAAATCCAACTACCATTTTCTGCGTCTGTGTGGACAGAAAAAGAGTAAAACCTAATTGGAGACAGGGAGACAGTGGGGTTATTTCAGTTGTCACTAAACCTAACCACTCAATATATATATATATATATATATATATATATATATACATACGTGTATATATGTGTGTGAATAATTATTTTGTCCAAAAATGTTGCATCAGATTATCTGCAAATCTTAGCCGTTCATTTTCTAATCCGATTACATGTTATCTATGTTATGTTGACCTGAGTTATAATTTACAAATTATAAAAGAAGAACTGTTTAATGGTAAGACTAAATCTGAAATGTCTTTACACATCTTAGTAGTTAAAAAATTGATTATTTTTTAAATAAAAAAGTAATCAACACGAATTGCAACTAACCATAAGCACATTGATATAATTAAAGATTAATAACGATTATCTGATCGCTAATAATATATATTTTATTTTCAAAATATGCCCCCTCAATTTGGTTTAAACTAGTCCTATGTAATGTTTTGACCACATTCGGTGGGGATATTAATTCCTAAAAATTTCATACAACTGATGACTATACAAATATAATATAATATAACATGTTTTTCGTTTTTAATCAAAATAATATTTAGCAGATTCTAGACATCTTCTCTCTCTATATATATATATATATTTAAGTGTGTGTATATATGGGCGACGTGGTTGCTTCCTCTCCTTTCCTTTTTTAAAAGATGCCCTTCCATTTATTTCCCTTCGAATTTACGGAAATACCCTTTTGTCTGTTGCGTTAGGGGTATACTCCATATGTATCGCATCAATTTGTAGAACAAGTCCACCGTCCATGGAAATTATTAATTTTATTATTTTCAGAATTTAAAGAAGATACTAAATTTATATTTACGTATAAGTTTGGTTCTGAAATCTCGTGTCTTTGAAAACACATGAACTGAGTCGACTCACATACGAACTCGTAGCTCGATCTCGCACTCAAGAAGTCACGGAGAAAAAAAAATGAAAGTTGCAGAATAATAAATTGTTTAAAAAAAACAGAGCACAACGGTCATAATACACGTCAGTGAAATGACTTTGATGCCCTTAATATAAAACGCTCCGTTTTACTGAACAAAAATCTTCTCCGCGGTTGGATCAATCTATACCCAATTTCCGGTTCAATCAAAACCTTCTCGACGCATCAGAAACTTCCCTTAACTCAAAACAGTATTTTATTTTTATTTTTTTTTAATTCCGAAATTCACCATCCTCCATCCCAATTACATTTTCTAGAAAATCGAAAAAATTCATATGAATTCTCCTCTTTAATGATTTGAATTTGGTTTACTAAAATTGAGCCAACCAATCTTTAATATATATTTAACATTTATAATGTCGTCTTATTTATTAACATGAAAGGTGTTGGGAAACCACATAAAATAAATATTTTTCTATAAAAAAGAAAATGAAAAATATGTATAGAATAAAAAGAGGTCAGATATATAAACCTTTGAGGCTCATTGATATCATTTCGTGGAATTGTATTCGGAAAATTCTCCTTCAACACGACAAGCATAATACTACACACACACATTTAAAGGTCATTCAACTTTTAGTTTCCATTAGATTCATATTATTTTTAAAATTTGTTCTAAATTGAAAATATTTTGAATAAGTTGAATTTCGTATATTTAGATCTTTAAGTCTTAGTTAAAATATAAAAAATAAAAATATATTTAAAAACTAAATCAATTTTCAAACCATACATGTCAATTCCACAATAATTCACACTAACTAATTTTTTTTTATATTAAATAATAAATGGTGCAAAGTAACAGCGATAATAGTGGAAAGGGGTCCACAGCTACTGTTTCATACGATATAGCTGTGAACTTATGATACGAATGGGTCCACGTGCCACGATACGATTCCTTGAAGGTGACAACACGACTATGCGCGAACCATATTCTCCGTTTGCCATATAATAGTAACAATAAAATAATAATAATAATAGTAATTAATATTCACCTATAAAGTTTTTTTTTGGTTAAATATTCACCTAGAAAGTTTATTTAACGTGTCCATTCATTCGTTTTTTTAAATTTATTTAGCATTCAACGTAACCGAAAAACGCATGCACAAATCCTGCCTTTTTTTTTTGAAAATCTCAAAAAGTACTTCTATGATAAAATAAAATCTAAACTTTTTTAACCAAATAAACTCTAAACTTAATAACAATCATCATTTTTAAACGAATCATTATCAAAAATATTCTCCATATGTTATTTTGAAGTCATACATTTTTCTACCTGTGATCATGTGATCAAAATTACGTTTTGATCATATAGTAGTCACATTAGTCATAACGTTTTGATCACACTAGTTCACCATATTCATTCTTTATATATCAAATTAATCATTTGATAAAACTATTATAAATTTAACATTATGACCAATGTAACTACCATGTGAATAGACTATAATTTTATTCATATGATCACAATTAGAAAAAGGTATGAGTTCAAATCAAAATAACATATAAAAGATATTTTTGATATAATATCATATGTCGTATCGATATCTTGACATCTGGATGATTCATCAAATATGGACAAAGTATTGACTTACCATATAGGATATCACCCTATCTTAAAAAATAACAATGATTATAAAATTTAGATTATTTTTTACTGAAAAATAAAGTTAAAGTTTTATTTAATAAAAATTGAAAAGTTTAGATTTTTTTTTGAATTTTTTCTTTTTTAATTCAGGTTAATTCACTAGATTCAACCGAACTACGATCTATTCTAAATTAGAAAATAATTTTACTGTAATTAAATTGTATCTTTCCTTCCGAGGTCACTCGACCATGAGATTTGAAATAAGAATACTACTTGTCAATTAACTACACTACCAGGTGTAATCCGATTACATGTTATCTATGTTATGTTGACCTGAGTTATAATTTACAAATTATAAAAGAAGAACTGTTTATAATAATTCTTGCGTCAAGTATTACTGTGTGTAGAGCTAGGCACGAGTCAGATATCCGATTTTTTGGAGATATCCGTCTTCGTTTTCGTCTTCGCGGATTTTAGAGAAATATTATCTCTGTCTCTATCTCACAACATTCGGGTACCCGTCTAGCGGGTATCCATAACTAAAAGACGGGTATCTGTGAGTATCTGTACCGTATAAAAATATCAAACAATATAAAATCAAATCAAATAATCAATAAAAATATACATATTTTATTCTAAAAATACATTTTTAAATTTGAAAATTCTTAAAATATAATAATATGCATAGAATCCTAGAAACATTTTCAAAAATACACAATGATTTGAAGTTGAATCCATCAAAACTTGAAAATCCAATATATAATCCTAAAGGTAAGTAAAAATAACCTAAGTATTTTCAAATTATATTAAAAATATAAGGTTAATTTTGTAATTTTAATATATATGCGGATACCCGCGGATACCCGTTATTTCAATATGTAAAACGCGAATCCGAACCCCTATGACGGGTATTCTAGTTTTTAATATTCGTTTTCGTCTTCGTTAGGTGTCGAGTACCCATTTTTCGGATACCCACGATATCGGATACCCACTTAACCGCGGGTAACGGGTTTAAATGCACAGTGTTTCCTTTGGCAAATGAACCCAACCAAGTGGGTGGGAAACATGAGACAATTACTAATCATAGTTTTATCACTTTGGTCGGGATTATTAAAGTTATATAAGATGATTTAAAAAAATAAGTTAGATAGATGACATTATCAACACGTCGCATCTATTTCAAACACCTTGGTCATACTTTGATTGATTAGAATCCTTCGAAACGATAATCACTAAAAATAGCCATTCCAAATTCTGATCCCCAAAAACGCAAAATCATTAAAATCAAATGATATAATTTGCGCAAAATCCGAAAACATTCCGAACGGATTCAAAGGATCATTGGATCGGATTTCTAGCAATAGTTTCAATTTCTTATTTATTAATTTAATTTTTCTAACGATCCGGTTCACCATGAACCACGGGCTCGTCTGACCCAATTCGATGACCCACAAGTTGGCTAGCCGAGCAAGTAGTAAAAAAAACATTTTACAAATCTTCTTATTTATTAGGGAAAAGGGAAAATCCCCTAAAAATTTCTGAACTTGCAAAGTGCGAGAAAAAAAATTTCTAAACTTGTGAGGGTGTCAAATAATTCCTAAACTTGCAAAAAATGTCTCAGTAAATCCTAATTTTGTTTAAAAGTGTCATATTACTCCTTCAGTAAAACTGATTATAATAATATAATTTTATGTCTTATGTGGTAGGTGAGTGCCACACCAGCTGGAGTTTTTTTGCCACGTAATCAGTAACTGGGTTTTAGAAAACCGTTTTTTTCAGAATCGCTTTGTAACAGTAACATCCCAGTTCAGTAAACGTGAATAAAAAACCCTAAATTTACCTTTACCAAAACCTCGTGTCTCATCTTCGGCGAAACCTGGTGTCCTCTATCATCGGTGATTTCTTCAGAAATCGCCGGCGATTTCTTCAGGCAGCGGTGTCGTCGGCGTCGCGTTCTCTTCGGGCAGCTTAGTCTCGTCTTCTTCAGGCAGCGGTGTCGTCTCTCTTCAGTCGGCAGCGAGATCGTTTCTGTGACTGTCTTTTTCTGTCTCCGCGAGTTTGTTGCCATGAGGTGAGTATTTTCGTGATGGATTCTTCAAGATTTCTGTAAACATGCGTGCAAATTTTTTGTCATGGAAAGATTTCCAATGATATTTGACCGCGTTTTTTTATGCTGTGTTCTTCTTCGGTCGCGATTTTACAGGTTGACAGTGAATATGTATTTCGGTGGGTGCACTGATTATGATGAAGATGGAGATGTGGGGTACATTGGCGGGGAGAAGGCAAAAGTCTTTATTGATAACCCCCCGAATCTTTCATGGGACATGTTCGACGAAACCTGGGATTCAAAGATAAATGGAGCACCGAAATCTGGGATTCGAAGAATATTCTACCGCCGAAGACCTTACCGATGAGAGAGTTTGAAGAGAGTTAGGTTTCGGTGGGGTTAGTCGATTTGGGGGTAAAAATAGATTTAGGGTTTATTTTTTATCCGGTTTAACATTATGAAAACCGGTTCAATACAATCCCGTTTATTTCCTAAACCCGATTTATCAAAACTAGTTTTTGCACACGTGGAAATAAAAACTGACATGGCTTCGCACATCACAATCCAAATAGGATTGAGTTTCAGTCAATATTGGTCAAATATTCGTCTGACACTTTTTAACAAGATTAGGATTTACTGAGACACTTTTTGTAAGTTCAGGAATTATTTGGCATCCTCGCAAGTTAATGAATTTTTTTTCTCGCAGTTTGTAAGTTCATGAATTTTTAGGGGTTTTTCCCTCGGAAAAATCCCAAAATAATACCTGAATTTTTCAATTTTCATAAAATAAAACTTAAACTTTATTTTTTATCAAATAAAACCTCAACTTCATTTTTCAGTTAAAATAAACCTGAACTTTATAATCTTTTCTTATTTTTAACCCTGTTGCTGACATGGCGTTCCGATATCGTGGCATGTGGACGATGATGTGTTAAATACGGTCAAAGTATTAACTTGCCACGTAGGATTCGGAACGCTATAAGGTTCAGATTTATTTTTGACTGAAAAATAAAGTTAAGGTTTTATTTGATAAATAACAAAGTTTAGGTTTTATTTTGTGAAAATTGAAAAGTTCAAGTATTATTTTAGGATATTTCCTAATTATTAATTTTAATTTTGGAAAATTTACCAAAAAAATCCTGTACTCTTCAGATATCGCTAAAAAAACCTTATATTTTTTTATTACTAAAAAAATCATGTATTTATACTTATTCTCTGAAAAAATCCTGTACTCTTGAAATATTAACAAAAAAAAAAACTTTGTATTTTTTTAGTACCAAAAAAACCATATACTTATAACTTATCCATCGAAAAATCATTGTACTCTTAAAATATCAGACAAAAAATCCCTGTACATTTTTTATTACCAAAAAACCCTATACTTATAACTTATCCGTTCAAAAACTCTTTATTTTTTTTATTATAAAAAAACCATATACTTATAACTTATTCGCCGAAAAAACCTTGTATTTTATAAATTCTAGCAAATAGAACCCTAATCGCAAACGCCCAAAAGGTATGGTAAAAAATTTGTTCGAACCGATATATACCCGAACCGAATCGAACCGATTAAAATTGCGGATAATTTTTTCGGTTGGGTTAGTTTCGAACAATTTTTTTTACCATCCAACATTTCACCGAATCGAACCTATTAAATTCTAGAAAAAAATTTTCGGATGGTTTACTTTTTTTTGGATAAATTTTTTCACCGAATCGAGCCGTATTGTTTGGAAAAATTTCAGACAAATTTTTTACCGTCTAACATTTTCCCGAATCGAACCGATTAAATTCTAGCAAATTTTTTTCGGTTGGGTTACTTTTTTTCTGTTAATTTTTTTCACCGAATCGAATCCAAATGAAAAGTTTGTCCGAAATTTTAATCGGTTCGATCGGTTTAGATATATATCGGTTAGGACAATTTTTTTATCGTATTTTTTTGGGCGTTTGCGATTATGGTTTTATTTGTTAGAATTTATAAAGTACAATATTTTTTCGGTGAATAAATTATAAGTATAGGTTTTTTTGTAATAAAAAAGTACAGAATTTTTTTATTTAACATTTTAAGAGTACAAAGTTTTTTTTGGCAGATAAGTTATAAGCATAGGGTTTGTTTGATAATAAAAAAAGTAAAAGATTTTTTTATCTAACATTTTTAGAGTACAGAATTTTTTCGGCGGATAAGTTATAAGTATAGAGTTTTTCTGGCACTAAAAAAGTATAAAGTTTTTTTTGTTAATATTTCAAGAGTAAAAAGTTTTTTTGGTGAATAAGTATAAGTACAATGTTTTTTAGTAATAAAAATATGTAGGATTTTTTTGGTGATATATTAAAGAGTACAGAGTTTTTTTTGGTGATTTCTCTTTAAATTTTTAATTTTTTTAGATTTTTTAAATATTTTTAAATTTTATTATTAATATTTTGGAAAATTCTAAAAAAATCGTTTTAATTTTGACAAAAAATACCGAGCTTTTATTTGTGAAATAAATATTAAACTTTTGCAACGAGCTTAAAAAATACTAAATTTTTTAAGTGATCTAAAAAAATACATAAATTTTTATGCGATTTTAAAAAATTTAAACTTTTTAAATGATTCAAAAAAAAATACATGAACTATATATAATTGTAAAAAAAATCAACAACAGTAATTTGACGTATTTACATCTACTTAAATCATATCAACTCATTTGTTTATTTTGACAATAGTAAAAGAGTTAAGTAAAGTTTAATATTTATTTGATAAAATGAAAAGTTTAGTATATTTTTTTGGATTTTTCTCTTAATATTTTTATATATTTTTATTTGACTCGCTAGGTAGTGTTGAGTTTTTTCTAACTCGTGGAAAATAGACGGGAGCGACTGGGACCTAAAACGAGCCAGCCCATGCCTATCTGAATCGGGCTGAGCTGAGCCGAGGTAGCTCGTTTTACATCCTTAGTCGGTATGTCTTTGCCCGACCAAACAGAATATATTAATTCTCGTTATATCAGTAAGAGTTTACCTCATCTCTCTTTACCGTATTCCCACTGAACTGTGGCCGATCACTTCCTTCTTGTATGGTAAGATCGGCCACCTCCATGGAGATAATAAAACCGATGACGCCATCCACCGCTCTTTGCACTTCCTTCCCGAGTGTTACCTCGACTAAGAGAAAAGTCTTTATACCTCTGATGAAGTAACATGGATGTCAGAAATCATACAATGCTTTACGAGTACAGACAAGAAAACGTCTTTTCTGCTCTTGTATAAGCAAAACGAGAGAGAAGCTACAACAACCCAAAAAGAAAGGTCGAGAGATCCTTTAGCAGGAAATAGTAGACTGACATAGAAAACCCACAAGCCAAGGAATCAGAATATACCGATGAAAACAAACAATTAAAGCGCAGGCCGGCATCGTGGCCGAAAAAGGGAACGAACCAACTATCCGCATCGGTAACATGCATGCAACGGACTGCCGTAGTCAATTCCACCTAAAATCGATGCGTTCATACTAAATTAACCACTAACCTTCTCAAAGAAGCAAAACGATTTCGAGAAAAACGATACAGAAGAAAAACAACGGGGCCTTTCAGGGTTCAAACGGCTCAGGCGAAGAGTCACTTTAGCTTCAATTGACTTCTTCATCTCCTCCAGACGACCAAGATCTTCCTGTAAGACAACTGCAAACGAAATTGCGTCAGATCAGAGCCTGAGACAGAAAACCAAACCCATTCTTGAATCGGAAACCCGCGATCTTGAAACCGGACATCGTCGTCTTGATTCGTGTTTTGTGTTTCCTCTTCTTGATGATCCGTTAGGGCACCGGAGACTGAAAAACGAGAAGAATACTGATAGAAAATTTTACGAGAACTGATCGGCTTCGACGAAACAGGTTTTGCTCCCAAAGGATGGGCGACGCGAGAACCACCGGGGGATTATCGAAGAAAGCGAAATGAGGATCAAAGGGAGGGCGGTTTGAATTTCAAATACCAAATGTGACCGTTAGACTATAAATAGATTTTTGGGGCTGAAAATCTAAAAGTCTAGATCAAGGATATTGATTATAAACATTTATTAAATTTTAATATTATACGATGCTATTGCATATGACATGTAGTTTTTACATTTAAAATGTATTAATAAAAGTATTTGTGTATTTTTGTATAAAACAGACTCGTATAAACATTTTTAATAGATAAAATCTTATATAAATATAATAAAAAATCATCTTATTAAAACCTTAAATTATCATTTAAAAAATATTCATTTTAAATTATTATAGTTATATAAAAATAATAAAATCTAAATTAATCATAAAATCTAAACTCTTATTGATTATATATATATATAAATAAATAATAATTTTTTACTTAAAAAATTGTATTAATAAATTTAAAATTGTAAATGTTGTATAACAATCATTAATTATTTATTAAATAAATACTTTGTAGTTTGTGGTAAATATTATCATAGTGCAAAAAAGTCCATAATTTGCGGTAAATATTATACTAGTGCAAAAAAATTTATGTAGCGATTTTTAAAAAAGGTTTAAAAAATCAAAAGTAAAAGGTTTTTTTTTTCTTTTGTCCTGAAATTCCCTTTCCTTCGCTTTTGAACCGTAGATGACTAGATGTTGTTGAACATTTGGCTAACACAGAATTGTTCAAGTTCTCGAGGACAGAACCCAGAAACCAACATTCAAACACAAAAGGGGTTTGGTTCGGACAAGTGAAGGTACAATGGACGATTACACTCGAGAGATGATGGATCTCAAGTCGTTGGTTACTCGAACCCTAGAGAAGAAGGGCGTTCTCGCCAAGATCCGGGTACGTTTTCCTTCGATCCTTTCTGTTTCTGCTGCACATTGTTTGGTTTGCGAGAAAATCCCGGGAGAGATTAGGTGGAAAATCCGGGTGGGCATGAAAAAGTATCATCTTTCTGTCATCTTCCTATTTGGTTAAAAGGTGCGACATTTCTAGGGTTTTTGGATGGAGATCCTTGGTTACTGGACTGAATGTGGATCTCCTAACACATGTTTGAGAATCTCTCGATGGTGTTCTTTGAGTATGCATCTGGGAAGTGGGATCTTGATAGAGTCTGTCTAATTTGTGAAAATCCTGTCTTAATTCAGAATTTGGGCCTTTGGTAGAATCTTACACTTGCACAAGAGATGGTATTTAGTATTTGGTCGATTGATTCCTATGAGGAGTTGCGAAGCTGAAGATTGCCTGTGAGAGTTTTATACTGCGGTTAAATAGTTCATTTGCTTCACAGGCCGAGCTTCGCGCAAGTGTGTTCGAGGCAATCGAAGAGGAGGATCGGGCAATCGAGAAAGACGAAGATCTGCCTCCGGCATTGTTGGGCAGCTGCAATGACCGCGCGAAACAGCTTCACGCTTCTCCATCAGGTCTGTCACCGTTCTTGCTATTTGTGTCTCTCTTCTTATGTTTCGGATTGTTAGTGAAGGGTCTGCCATATTCTGAGTCTGATTCTTGTTGTCTTGATCATTTGGAAGTACTTTCTCATGGGTAGATCTAAACTATCAGTCCAGACAAAAATAAAAAGACTTCCAAATTACGTGTCGTCGTTTAGAGATTCATGTTCTGAATTTTGAAATGCAGGAAGGTTGCTCACTGCTTTAATATGTGAGTACTTGGACTGGGCGCAGCTAAATCACACTTTGAAAGTATATCTACCCGAATGCAATTTGGTAATCAAGTAATTTCTTTCCTTTTACTTTTTTCATTGGGTTGTCTTGTAAATCAGCCTGAATATTTTTTACTTACTAATTTGGTGATTTGCGTCCTGCCACGAAACATATGCTAAAGCAAAAGGATTCCTGGAAGGGCGAGTTGAGAGAATTCAGTAGCAAGAACGGTTATGAGCTTAACAGAAATGGGGATAGTGGGCCTCTCCTTCTGGATGTTCTTGAAGGCTTCTTGAAGTTCGAGGTAATTTCTTTTAGAATTCTTTTTCTTTTGCATAAAATCACTAATTCCTAATCTTTGATTTTCAGTTATCATTTGATTTGAACTTGTGTCAAGATTGAAAAGTGAACCTTTTTGGAACCATAGTGGTTTCAATTTCTATGTTCTTCAGGTGAAGATCCCCGATGCCAACTCATTAGATATATATGGGATATTTGACTCTTTTAAAGACTTGAAATGGGTACACTGTTACTTAAGATCTCCACGGTAAAATCATGATTTGTGTGAGGTCAGGTGGCTTAGTTTGGGTTGCGAATTCTCGACAGAAAGGAATCTTTATAAATTTGGTAGAACATAAAATGGTAGGGAGAGATATTGAGAAACAAGTTCATCAAAGTTTGGTAGGTTCTCTTAGTACACCTATACAACATCTTTGTATAGTTCATTCTCAGGCTATCAACATCTTTCAATGATTTCTTTTGATAGAACTTGACCCAGTCCATGGGTAGTGCAAGGAGAGATTCGGAAACTGAATCCTCATCGAGCCTGGAATCTGGAAATCCTCGCAGATATTTGTCATCATCTGCTTCTGGGGGCTTACCTCCTCTAGGAAGGTATTATGATTTCTTAAACTGAGGTCATTCTTTCAGTTTGCTTCTATATATTTTGTGAGCTTAACTTTCTTTATCCTGCAATGTTTAATGGCAGACCTGTCTCTGCACCTCGAGGATCCGGTGAGTGATTTTCCTGTCTGTCTCTTTTGTCTTGGTCGTGATATGAAGTTTAGGGTGATGCAATATCTAATAAATTGTAAGATGATTTAGATCGAAGAGCTGGCATGTCTTCATCCGGGTATAGAGAAGATGAATACAACTGGAGATACGACAATCAGGAAGTACCAGAAGAGATGATTCGAGCTTCAGCAGCGTTGGAAAATCTTCATCTTGATAGGAAAACTCGGAATTTAACGTCATCGTGGCGGTAATTTTAACCTTTCTGGCAACTGTGGCTTGGGCATATGTTCCTGATGAATGCAAGAACTCCGAGATTTAAGAACTACAAAAAGACCGGTTATGAATTTTCTGAGCTACCCTCTTGGGTTATCACTGCAGGAATGTCAGAGATGGAACGAGTGGAGAAGACGGAAGGATGGATTAATGTTCGGTTAGTCTTCCCGTGTATGTATTTGTGCTCCACTTGATTTCCTGCGTCACTCGCGTTCTTGCTCAACAAGGCTGTGAATGAGATCTCTATAAACAGATGCAAACCCTTCAGCCTCTTAGACTGAAAAGCCCCAAACCCTCAGGGAGAAGCTTATGGGAAGGTGGATACGTTCTATAGTGGAAGAAGCTTAAAAGAGTTGTTCTGAGGTAGTTTGAAAACTCAGACAAAGACATTATGGGGCAAGGGTTGTAAGATTTGTGAAAATTATGTGCTTTTATCGTGTTGTATGTCCCAAATCTCGGTCCATGTGAGTTTAGAGCATTGAACTGTGTTTTTTGGCATTCATCTTCAGGTGGTAGACTGATCTCAATATTTTTTTTTTTGGTAATCGGATGTTTTGAATCGAGGTCCAGATTAATCTCGAAACCAGAATTAAACTATATGACTAGAATATATGCTATGTCTCGTTTCATCGGTTGAACTACCCAAATTAAATTGACTGATCTTTATATGTTTGTGGTTTTACATATTGCGTTTGAAAGATTTTACTTGGCAGATTGGTCCAAGGCTTTGTTCAGCAATGGGCATTGGCCTTACATATTGCAAAATCAATTTTACACGAAATGATCATAGATGATGACTCAGGTGAAAGTGCAGGCCTTGCATGAAGGAAAGAGATCGAGAAAAAAACATGACATACATATATATATATATATATATATTCAGATTGCATGAGCTAACTACCAATCCTTTTTCCCCTTAGGTGAAAGACCAAATCCTATAAGAAGTGTGATTACTCTGTGACCCCTCCCTCTCACGGCTCAGTCACCATCGCGTTCTTGTCTAGGGTAAGAAATAGATACCGAAAGAATTCTCGAGAAAGCTGTTTTCTTGCTACCCAAGAAGATGAAGATCCCTCAGGCATCGCCCCCAACAACGACCATTGATCCAGACGTGTTCACTGCCAACAGCCCGAGCTTCAACTCCGATAATCCGTATGTTTTCTTCGGTTGATCCCTCCATCGATCTTTGTTTGCTGGACAAAACATGGCCATTCCTTCGCAGGACAATCAATCGATATAAAATAGGTTTATTCTCGGGGAAGAAATCGTACGGATTATCAGATTTGAAGCTCGGGTTAAGGGACATTGTTGGGAACGATCCCTGATGGATCTTAATCTTCTTGGATAGCAAGATAACAGTTTTCTCGAGAATTCTTTCAGTACATGTTTCTTACCCTAGACAAGAACGCAACGGTGACTGAGCCGTGAGGGAAAGAGGGGTAGGTCGTTGTGGAGATGGACAAAGAGAGAGTTAGGTCGATGCAAACCTTACAAATGCAGGGCTGAACCCTCATTTCGATTCCCATTTCGAAACCCTAAAACTCTCATATATTCGGGAACCAAAAACGTAAACCGAACCTGAAACTGTGACTGATCTTTGCTCCTCCCCTCTCCGTCTCCGGAGTCAAGACTCCGACACCCGCAGCCGCCATAGTCGAGCGGCAAGACCGGCCTTCCGCTTTTCCTCTGACGTCTCCCCATCAGCATCTTCCTCTTCGCCTGGTGATAATCATCTTCAAACGCGTTGCTTCGCTCCTTGGTCTAATCTTCAACCTTCCATTTCAACAGTGGAGTCTCTGGCCAGCTTCAGGGATCTTCTCTGATGGATGAAGCTTGGGTTTTGTGAATTACGCCTAGTGACGGTAGTTGCTCTGCGGATCGCATTGAGATCTGAGACCCTAGTTTGCACCAGCACCTCCGAGGACGGTAATGTCCCCGTCGAATGCAGTTTTCCGGTGAGCTTCGGGCGCCATTAACGGAGCTTCAACTTTGGTAGGCATTTTGTCTAAAACCCCATTAAGATTCTGATGGAAGACTCACAAACCACCAACCTTTCTACAGTATCCCTTGAACCAGGCAACTGGAATGATCCTTTGTTCGTTTTATGAATGGAAGACTCATGAAACTCACTTAAGGACAGGAAGCGATGTAACAAGGCAGAGACTTTTCTCAATTCTCTATTCATGTACAAGCACATTCAGGACTGTAATTGTCGGAACCATTCATCGTCTAATTCTCTGTACTGTAACCTATTTGCCTAGGATCTTGATATATCCGAAATCTGAAAGCTTGAGACACACAACACAAACACAAACACAAACACCAATCTGAATCCCTATACCGGTCGCCAACTGATTATTACACACAGAAAATGATGATGAACTTGCAGAAACATTGTATAATCCAAGACCCAGAATAGGATTAAGCATCAGGAATCACAGTGGACTGCAAAACGACAACACCCAGAAGCCAAAATGAAAAGATCTTGCAGAAAGAGAGAAAACGATGAACCTGATTGAATCAGAATCCTCGGAGCTTGGGTACTTCCACTGAGTAGGGAAGTGGTTTCGGAAAGCTTGAGCTCTGTTCTGTGGTATCTGTATAATAAGCATCACATGATTCCTTTTTTTCTTTTTTCCTTTCCACTTTTTATTTTCACAGTTTGTATTTTCTTTTTAGATAACCACCATCGCAGGCTCTTTCATTACACGAGTACATGCATGCATTCGTACGATAATTCGAATATGCTTCAAGAATCAAGATTGATCACATAATTATCATCGTCTCAAGGATTCCAGCAAGGCAACAACTTGTAGAAGAATGTCTGGCGAGAGCAGAGTGTTTCACAACCAGTCTCTTGTTTCTATGGATTTCTTTGGGACATGACCTTAGATTGCAGATGTAAGTACCAGAACGATCGAATCTTCCAACGATAATTCGAATATGCTTCAAACTCTCAGCTTCTGCAACCGGGATAGAAGTACTCGACGCCATTTTCCTTGACCCTGAAGTGAAAATTATGCAACTTGTTTCTCGAGCTTTCTCGGTCACAGTAGGTTATCCCCTTGTTCAGAACCGTCAGCTGCAAAGAAGAAAACGAGACTCTTTCAGGCATTCAGGAACCATCAAACAAACGTTCAGTTTCTTGATTTAAGCGAGAAGGGTATGAAAAAAACAATTGAATACCTGGCCGTGCACATCCTTTGCTAAACCAGAGGCCAAAGGCTCAGCCTTTATGAGCACATCGGCAAGGTAAACCATCTGCAGCAAAAATGCAGGTCTCTCCATGCTCGTGTAGATATCCTCATGATTCAGAACGACCAACAAGCAATTCTGTCTTTAGAGCAAAGTTCAGAAAGCATGGTAAGGTTCAAACACAAATACCGCGCTTGGAGAGGGCAAAGAAGAAAAACTTGAGTCTCTTGTCATACACTTTCAGAAGTTAAGGAGTGGCAGTAATGCAGAAAGTCCAAAACATGATCTGAATTTCCATTAGCAGCAACTTCCAGGAGAGAGATATCATCCACCATAATGGTTATGCTACCATTCCTTGCACTACACAACCTTGCAACTGTTTCTTGTATTTCCCTATATAATTTGGCAAGTCCACCAACATTGTCTTCCCTTCTGTCACCATCCACTAAAGAATTTAGAAAACCATAAGTGGCTTCTTGTCCACAAAAATAGTCAGAAACGATCACAGATGAGAGAAAACAAAGGAACTCCGAGTAAACGAATGTGAAATCAAAGTTCGCAAATTTTCTGCTTAGTTTTCCATTATAATAAGTGAAGATCAGAAACTGAGCAATTCATCAAAACAAGAGTGTATCATGCACGACCCCTCACGTATGGTTGCATTACTTCACAAGAACAGCCTGTTTGAGGAACACGAACTCGTGAAAAATCAAAATAAGGACAAGATTTACCTGATATTCTCACCTGGGCACTTCATCATAAGCATGTCGAAGAAAACCAACCGATTGTTTGCCCTTTGAGTGCTTAAATTGCATCCCTATGTTCACAATTCAACACAACCGAATGATCAATACCGTGTTCCCCAACTTCGAACAACTTACAACAATACAAAAAACACCACACAACAGCATACGCACAGCCATGAAAATGAACCCGGAAACATAAGAGAAGAAGATTTACGAGTTTACGCATGACACGATCGTAATGCGAGAAAGGGCGAGCGAGGGCGAGGAAGATAAGGGCGTTGGAGGAATCCGGGGAGAGAACGCGTTTCATCAGCTGGTGAAGCACGAAGGAACCACTAGTCTCGACACAGTCCTCGATAAGAACCACCTTCCCGCTTAATGGCCACGAATCACTCGATTTCTGATCGAATCCTAGGGCTACATCCAGGAGGTTCAGGGATCGATCCATGGCTACGAAGCCGGAGAGTGAACGCCGGTGAAGGGTTAAACCTGAGATTTGGGGATTAGGGTTTTATGATTTATCGCCGGAGGAGAACTAAAATGAGATGGATACTTTACAAGGGCCCACCTGATAAGTGTACGTGACAAGAGGCCCATCAATTTTTTTTAATAATCTTAAATTTATAATATTCAGTGTACATTAGGGTTAATTAAAAAAAAAATACACCAATTCTCATCCATGAAGATAGTTTTACTGATTTTTTGTATAGAATGCAGATTTTTTTTTTAAGTTGGACATTTTTTTCCAATTCTTGAAAGCACAGACAAACTGTTACGGTCAATTATTGTAATTCAAAATTTTAAAAGAAAACAAATATATAATCAATAACAATCTTTAAAAATTATCCATAGAAATGAAATTCAAACCTAATTTAAATAAAAATATATAATTCAATCGGAATAAAAAAAAATTAACTGAAGCAAAAAGCTCGGGTGTAATATATAATGAACAAAACTAGAAAGCCTTTGTATATAGTAAGAAGAGTTGAAACAAAATATATGTTGGCATATATGCATCAATAGTTAATATGCACCGGGGTTTTCGCCATCGCCCTTTCCCTTTGTGCTCCTCTCCTCCTCCTTCGGAGAAAAGCGGGTCGGATCTTGTGGCGGATATGGGGCAAGACGACGCCGTACCGGCGGCGGATCAGAACGGTTCCCGTTACGGCCATCTTTGCGCTTGCGGTCGTGGTGATGGTGGTGGTGGTGAAGATTCTTTGTTCCGGAAGAGCCATTCGCCGCCGCAACCGTCGCCGTCGTCTTCGAAATTTCTTACATTGCCTACCGTGTTAACCCTTGGCCGTGTAGCTGCTGTTCCGATTCTCATCGCGAGTATGTTTGTGTTAGTTGCTGATAATTGTTTTTCTTTTCTGAGGTTAATTTCTGACGATCTTCGGAGTTTAGAGTACGTAACATGTTCGATGAGTGATATGATTTGTTCATCAGATCCGGTTAGGGAGGAATTCTGATCTTCGAACTGTTTATGGAATTGAAGATATTTGCGTGAATTCGGTTCCGGTCGCTGATTTTGTATTTGTTCAATACATGGAGAAAATGAAGCGTAAATCGCTTGTAGTAGTTTCATTAGTCGCTGCCCCATGATTCTCGTGCTTTTCTGTATGTTTTCTCCATTGTTTGAATTGGATCTTTGGATTGTGTTCACGATTTCTGTGTATTTTTATATGTTCCATGGTGTTCTGTCGTCCTCCTTTGGATGGTTATCTATGTTAAAACAAGGTTGGCTTCTTCCATTTGCTCGGTTAGGTTGCTTGTAGATGTAATATAAATAGTTATGCGGGTGGGGAATTTCAATTTTATCGGTCTCCAGTGTAATGCATTCATCCTTTTGTATTTGGGTGTAGCCTTTTATGTTGATAGATGGTGGGCATGAGGTTAATTTCTGACGATCTTCGGAGTTTAGAGTACGTAACATGTTCGATGAGTGATATGATTTGTTCATCAGATCCGGTTAGGGAGGAATTCTGATCTTCGAACTGTTTATGGAATTGAAGATATTTGCGTGAATTCGGTTCCGGTCGCTGATTTTGTATTTGTTCAATACATGGAGAAAATGAAGCGTAAATCGCTTGTAGTAGTTTCATTAGTCGCTGCCCCATGATTCTCGTGCTTTTCTGTATGTTTTCTCCATTGTTTGAATTGGATCTTTGGATTGTGTTCACGATTTCTGTGTATTTTTATATGTTCCATGGTGTTCTGTCGTCCTCCTTTGGATGGTTATCTATGTTAAAACAAGGTTGGCTTCTTCCATTTGCTCGGTTAGGTTGCTTGTAGATGTAATATAAATAGTTATGCGGGTGGGGAATTTCAATTTTATCGGTCTCCAGTGTAATGCATTCATCCTTTTGTATTTGGGTGTAGCCTTTTATGTTGATAGATGGGGGGCAACAACTGCAACAACAAGTTTTTTCATTGCACCAGCCATTACAGACTGGCTCGATGGCTACATTGCGAGGAAGGTAATCTGGTCTCGACATATCATGTTGTTCTGCATAGGTTTATGTTATCCTTTTTTCGGCATTTCATATTGCAAGGCTTAATGATGTGATACTCTTTCAGATGAGGCTAGATTCTGCTTTTGGTGCATTTTTGGATCCAGTGGCAGATAAGGTACATACCATATTCCCCGTGTATCCTTTCTCTTGTGTCGAAGAAGTTTGAGCTGGGGAAGAACAAATCCACACTGATATGGCATCCCCCTATATGTTATCTGCATATGTTCATGATGGGATGCTTATTTGCACGAGAAGAGCAGGGGAATGTAACGAAGATTGGGATCCAATAGCATTATTTGATCGACTTGAGTTTGAAAAGAAAAAAATATGTTTTTCTAATTTGTATCCCGTTGGGGGTGCAGCTTATTGTAGCAGCTACATTGATCTTGCTGTGTACAAGCCCTATGGACATTGCTGCATTTGGACCAGTTCCATGGTTGATGACGGTTCCTTCTATCGCCATCATTGGTAGAGAGGTAAGTTATTAAAGTAGACTATACTTTTTTTATTGTCCTTAACCTGTCTAGTAGCAATGTGCAAGGAATTACCAACTCTGAATTTCTGAAGTATATGGTATACTTTACATGTAGATAACAATGTCTGCAGTGAGAGAATGGGCTGCGTCGCAAAATAACCAGCTTTCAGAGGTAAGTGAAACTCTCACATGCTCAGCTTATTTCTATCCCTTTCAATTCTTTGCAGACTGGATGGGCCTTCTTTTTGCAACTTTTCCTACCCAATCACGGGATGACGTTGATACCTACAGGCTGTTGCCGTGAATAGTCTGGGCAAATGGAAAACCGCCACGCAAATGACGGCACTAACCATACTTCTCGCGACCCGGGACAGTAGTGTTGGAGGGCTTGTAGCTTCAGGTGTTGCCCTACTTTATGTATCAGCTGGACTTTCCATGTGGTCTTTAGTTGTTTATATGAGGAAGATATGGAGAGTTCTACTGAAGTAGTGACCGTGTGTTGCCTTCTTGCTTTGACCTCCATTTGGTATACGCAGAGATGTACAGGTACTCTTTCTTTCAGTATACAAAGCTTCAATGGAGCTTACCGATATTCTTTCTGGATGCATGCAAAGTAGGTAGGATTGATGATCATATGCTGATATGATCCCCTAATCTAAATCTGATTTCAGTTTTAATCATTAGGGTTCACTGGGATTGTGTTGTATGATATCTGAGTCACTTTGCTCCATCTGGAACCCCGTAATGAAGCAGCAGCAGAATCTAATGGACTGTGTGTGAGCAATCATAAAGAAGCAGCAACAGGTGCAATTTCTGTTATAGTTAGAGAGCTTTGGTTTTTTCATGTTGTTTCCATTAAACTCTGTGAGGAAACAAAAAACATATGCCTGTAGTATACTAAGGTGTGCTCATTCCTTGTGTGCTTTTTTCCACCACCAATACAAGCATCAACTATCAAGATCTTGGTTGGATTAGTTAAAAGCCCAAGAATGCTTATATTACAGAAGAGTTTGATGCCGGTTCTATATGTGTTTCCTCCGAAAATAACGGTGGCTTGATCTAGTATCACACCTTCACTTATCAGTTTAGCTTGTCTGCAGCATAGAGAGAAAGAGAGAGAGGTAACTGATAAGCGTATATGTAGATTTAGTAATTTCCCCTGCTTTTTGTGGAACTGAAAGGAACTTCCATGGGGTTAATGATCAAGAACCATTTCTTGCATATTTCCACAAACTCCTCCTATGGTTCTTGCTGGTTTTCGGTATAAGCTTCGATTTCGTTCATCACCTCAGCAATAAGTAATGAAGCAGATATTAACATGTGTGTGTATATGGTAAGATTTTATCTTAACGTTTCAGGGCATTGGTGGTTTAAAGCAGAACCTGAATCCAAACTTAGGCTTCTCAGAGGTTATGTCTGCATTCATCACATCTCTTGAGAAAAGCCGAAATCCCTCAATGGAAGAATCTCTGAATCGAGCCTTTTGGTCCGACGGGAATCTAGAAAAACCGTGTTCGATTGAAACAATGAAGAACAATGACAGTTTGATTATTCAGCCGCCATAACCGATGAGGATCAAGTAGTTTTACATCTTCCAAAAGATCTGCACAACTCTTTGCGATTTACATCGGATCCTCTTTGGGATATTTTCCGACCAAAAGCTCCGATTTTCTTGGAAGAGACAAAGGGACAGATATCTCAGCCTCACACAAGATGTAGAAACTGAAGCAAAGGGACAAACAACAGAAAATGTTACAAAAATGAAAAAAAAAAATTAAGACACTGATGTAAGTAAGAGGGAAGTTCTTGGAGTGTCTTGATAAACTAGAAGAAGCCATTGCCGGAGAGTTCGCCACCTCCCTTGACAGAGAGCAGAGGGCCTCCTCCGAAACCCGAGTGGCGGTCGGAGAAGGGCTGATTCTCGAAATTGGCGTCAAGGAATACTACAATCACGGTGATATCGTCGTGAAAATGCCTCCTGACCCCACGTTCGATCTTCTCCAGATCCGTATATCTCATCTCTCTCTTCATGGCCGCTTCCTCTAACGCAGCTTTCGCCAGCCTCCGTGCAATACCCTGGACACAGCAAAAACCAGATCGTTACAACAATACGGATAATCGGCTTATGGTCTTCAACTATAGACTTAAACATGGTGGGCTAGCTTATTATGCAAATCCCAAAGTTTACCCAAGTGCATATCTGAAAACGAGGAAAACCCGAGCTGGCCTGACATTCGTGTGTAAACTATAAAATATCTTGGAGTTCAAGTGCCATGGTTGTTCGGTCAGGATGATTCAATAGCAATCTTATGCGGAAAAGGTTGTAATAGAAGAAAGGGTTTTCGAAAGACGGGGTAAGGAAAGCTTACGTTACGTGGACAAGTGTTGACAATGTCAACTGCCTCTTGGTTGCTCAGATGCTCCCATAGACCATCCGAGGCAAATATCAGAAACTGATCTCCTGGTTGAAGCTTACGTATAGTTATTGTCGGTTCAGCTCTGAGGATCGGCTTCTCGAAAGGTTCTGAAAGCCTAAACTTAGGCAACAATGGCTCCCCATTGAATTCAGATTTCTTCAAATATGCATCACCGATGGATCTCGAAACCTGTCAAACAAAATTAAGAAATTCAGCCTGTGATTACGATATTTGCAGAAAGAGAATCTTTTAACCGTTATCGCATGCTTTATCTTTGATCAATTCTCAAGCCTACTACCACAGTTGTTCATAAGAAAGCAATGAAAAATCACTTAAGACTGGATCTAGGCAACAACCTTATGTGAAATCCCGAATCTTTTCTCTATCCGACGTGTAGGAATCAAGCTTGGCACAAATCCGAAGGTCTAAGTCATGGTGATTTTCAGTTTTGTGCCAAGATAGATACCTATATGTTGGTCAGAGATCGAGGTCTCCACCCACCTGATTAGAGAAAAGATTCGGGATTACACATCACAGCCTAGTGCCACACTTGCATATTCACAATCCCGAAAATGTATATATATACCTGTATAATTCCTTTGACACGCCAAACTCTGTGTTTCAAGACCACGATATGAGGATCATCGGGGTGCAACAAACGCAATTCCTCTCTCACAGATTCAATGCTTGCATTATGCTCCGATGAGAGCTGAACAGCCTTCACCTCTTTAAATTCCGTCTCGAGTCTCCCTAACACGACTCGAGAATCTCCAGCGTTGGCAATGTATATCATTCCATTACATACAATGCCTACCAAGCAACACGCCCCGACAGAAGCAATCTGTGGTTTGTTCTTCCACTGCTCTTGTACTAGACAGAGAAATTCCTCCTCCGTCGTTAAAAATGCTTTGGTGATTACATTAGCAGACATCCCTCGAAGTTCAGAGGTAAACCCTGCAGCATGGCCACCCAAATTTCCACAAATAAAGGCATAAACTTAGTATTTAGGAACATCGAAGAGTTTCATAGACGGATTCTTGAAGATAACAACCAAACCAAATAACTAAAACGACAACATTCACAACGTTTCAAGGATGGTAAAAGCTACTTACTCCTGATATGATGAAACAATCTCTCGTTGACGAACCGAGCAGCCTCAGAACCTCCATGACCATCGTATATTCCAACAAATGTAGCTTGAGGCCCAGAATCAGGAAAACTAATCGGACCCGATTCAAGCTGGCTATGATCCTCAAGAACTGCATTTGCTTGGATCACCGCCATGGAAAACTCTCCATTGACATGGTGCCCTGAATCTTTGTACCACAAGAGCCCTTCGACCCGGCCATTAACATCACCACTGGCATTAGAGCTTTCTCCAATGGCAGAGGGCCTCCAACAAGGCGAAACGATTTTCCTCAATCTTGCAGATACCATAACTCAATCTTACATGTTATAATTGCGCTCACCCGAATGAACCGGCTATCGAATCAGTCATCAAATCAGTACTAATGATGATTATATGGCACTCAAGCTTATGCTTTTGCTTCTTGTCGATTGCAACACCAGCGACTGAAGATTCAGAAATCAAACACGCATTGACAAATGTAGACAACATTAATCTGCATTCGACAGAATCAAACGAATGCTTCAATCATTATGCCATGATTATATGTATCTCAGATGAAACATCTCCCACAACTATACTATCCCCAAATCCATCGTAATACTTCACGGCGAAATCGAAGAAAGGTATAAATTCCAAGTACCATCCACATTGGAAATTCGAAATTTTCAAATTTCAAGGGCAAACAACGAGTTTGTCGCGCGACGAAATGGGTACAGCGGAAAAATCAAAATTGCGGATTTTGACACGGAATTTCATACATCCGATACCGAGATCATGAAGAAACTCAAATGGGTTCAACCAAAAAAAATGGTAAAGACGAGATAAAGAGGAAAGAGATTTGAGATTGCTCGATACCTTGTGGAATAGATGAATCTATCGGATTCTTATCACAGGCTTGGTGTGAAATAACCCATCATTTGTATTTGATTCATGAGAAAAATTGTTCTTAGTAACAAAAAACCAATGAAAAAACTGAAGATCATTAACACGAACAGACAACAAAAACACTGGATCGATAACAAAAAAAAAAAAGAAACGAGAAAAGGGTTGATATCAGCTGAAGAGACGGATCGGTGAGAGAAATTGGGATTTTGTTAGAGAGAGATTGTCTCGGCCTTCCCTTGTTCACGAGTTCTTTTGTTTTCGCTTTCTTTTTTAAAAAAAAAATCTTAATAAAATTATATATTCTCTTTTGACTTTTGATTTTGACTTTATATTCAATGGAAAAAAGTACCTAAATAAATTTTTTTAAAAACGAATCTCAAAACATTTTATTTTATTTTTGGTGGAAACATAATTTAAGGGCTTCTAATTTAGCGGTTCGTATAGTAAAGGCCTAAAGGGTAGTCACAATTTCATCAAACTATTTTTAAATGTATCCTATCACATATCAAATTATCAAAATTAAATATAGATGTTTGACAAAAAAAAATTAAATATAGATGTGATTATATTATAAGATACTGGCTTTGGATTGTCGATAATCCTCTCTCTAGAATGTGTGTGTATATATGTATATATGTATGTATGTATGTATATATGTAGGTATGTATGTATATATGTATGTATGTATGTATGCACGGCCGTCTATGAGGGGTTGCAAATGGAACAATTGCACAGGTCCCCAATTCTATAGGACCCTACTTTCGTTCTTTTAAAAAAAAATATTTTTAAAACTTAATAAAATTTTAAATAAAATAAGAAAACAATTCTAAATTTAAAAATTAAAAGATTGAATTTTTCTAAATTGTAATAATATTTTATATTATAGCAATTATAATTTTTAGATCATAATTTTGAATCACTATATATTTATTTTAAAAATAAAAAAATTAGTATAAAAATATTTTTTTAATCCAAAATTTGATAACAATAAACTTGATTTTGATTTGTATTACTCTTTAAATTAAAATTAATAATTTATTTATTTTTGAAAAAAATATGTTGTAATAAAACCAGAGCCGTCTAATTTTTGTTTAATTTTTTATATAATTTGAAATTTTATCTATTAATTAATATATTTTGAAAAAAAATTAATATTTTTATTTTATAATTTGATTTAAAATAACTAATAAAAATGATTAATGAATTATTAATTAGATTAAAAATAATATGTATGTATGTATGTATGTATGTATGTATGTATGTATGTATATATGTATGTGATTGTCTGTGACAAAAAGAACAAAAAAGAATCGGAATCAACCCAAAAAAAATAGTAAGATAAGATGGGCCAATAGAATTCGAGCGCAACAAGAGAAATAAATAAGTGGCTACAGCTATGGCACAAATATGGCAAAAAGTGGTAATGGGATACAACCAAAAAACTTTTAGAATTTTTTTTAAAATAACTTGTAAAATACATAATTATCTATATTTTTATTAATTTCTTTATTTTTAATTCGGAACAAAAATAAATTGTTAGTTTAACAATAGCTAAATATATTAGAATAAATAATTAATAATGCGTGACAATAAAAAAAGCCGAAAAGAATCCAAATCCAAAGAATATAATTCCATGAGGCCCTTCGAGGACAGGTAAGTCGGTTGGGAACATGAGGTAATTCTATGAGGTCGGGTCTTCGAATCCTACCGTCTCCCTTCCTCTGACCTGCTCGACTGTCAGCCTATTATAATAGGTTGATTTATTTCCTACGCGTGTGTTGCAGGCTCGTGCGCGTGGGTTTGGGGTTTGACCCGCAGATGCCTAAGCCCAACTACGGCCCGAGCGTTAGGCGCGTCTGGTGGCCAGGTCCGGAGGGGACTGTTAGGTGTGGGTGGTGCACCGACTCAAAATGTTCCACAAGAGGAACAGTTTTCATGACTGTGACATCCGAGTTTGAATCAAAGGTTCTACCTAGGGATCCACCATAGATGTCTTGAATAGTGATCGGTTCACGATTTAATGCCTTGGACTTGTGAGTTTGAGAGAGTCTCTCGATATATATATATATATATATAATCCCATGAGGTAAACTAGAAAAATAAATGAGTATACGAGGCCTACCCTCGTCGCATTTCAATCAAACACGACTTGAATTGTTTTTTTTTTTGTGTGTGGACAGTCACGCGTCGAATCCGACACATGACAATGTGTAGACTGTTTCTGCAACACACCACAGGGAGAATAGTTTCATCTCGTGCAACGGTGAAACCAGCTAATGCTTTACGACCAGGAAGTATGATCCAGAATCCCCACAAACCAAGAAACCAAATCCAAAAAGATGGCAACACTGTGAACAGAGAAACGCATGTGTATATATACCTCTCCCGTTTCGGGCCTGTCTCTGTCATTCTACCAAGAAATCCTTCGAGAAATCCGGACTGGAGAGAAGATCGAATTGCTTGTTTCCGAGCGTGTCTTTCAGTATCGTGATCTGACCTTCCTTTAGCAGAACGTCCTCGTCCAAAGCCTCGATCCTCCTCTTCAGCATTCCGTTCTCCGAGTTCAAAAGCATGTTCCTCTCGCTGCATTGCTTCAGCTCTGTCCATACCTGGTCTCTCTCGCTTGAAACTTTCGGTAACATCACTTTCATGGCCGCGAGCTCTTTGTTGGCTTCCTGAAGTTCGATCTCGAGCTGACTTACGTTCTCTTTCTTCTTCAGAATCTGATCATGTCAAAGAATCGGAATGGGCACTTTCTCAAACATAATTTCTTGTGAGAAAACTCTCAAGGAGTCCATGATATATATGGTGGCTTCTTTTGTGACTTACCTGAAGCTTGAGGTCTTTCAACTCATGGGCATTTACAGAGAGGTTGTCTAAAGTGCTTTGTACTTCAGACCGCAGAATCTCATTGCCCCTTACTGCTGCCGCGAGTTCTCCTTGAAGCTGGTCAAGTTCTTGTTCCTTCGAATACAGTTTCTCCCTCAATAAACTTGTAACTAGGGTTTCTGCTCTAAGTTCGGCTCGCAAGGTTTCCTAAGCAAAAAAAGAAAAAGAAACTTTAGCAAAGATCATGAAAAGCAACGCAGACCATGGAGAAACACTTACCAAATAAAGAAAAGAAATTGGAAATTCACCTCCAATGATTGGTCGTTAGGCTCCTTAGGCCTATCGGCACCTGAGCAAGATGATTCGGGATTTGGAGAAACTGCAATGGATTTCTCATGCAACAAAGAGGACACCGCTTGCAAACTCCTCTTCAGGTTTTCGGTTCCACGTTTTACACCTTGGACTTTCATTTCAGACTCAACCATAAACTGCTCGGCCAAGCCATTGGTAATGGAGTGCACATCCTGATAGGTTTCTGGAAATTGAGCTAATTTCCCTTTGATGAACTTCAGTAACCTGAAACCCACTTGGTTGCTCTCATTTAACATCGACAGCCCTTGATCTTGCAGGTAGCAAACACGCATCTTCATCTCACTGTCTAGCTTGAACATTGACATTCCTGTTCCTTCTCCGTTTCCTTTTAACCGATTCAGCAGACAGATATTCTCCTGGCAGAGAGAATCAGCTTCGATCTTCATAGATTCTAACTCCTTTCTCAGTGAAAATTCTACCCCTGTCAATCTAATTTGCTCCATCTGCAATTTCTTGACCAACTGGTCAAATTTCTCTATTGGTTGCTTCTTAATTTGCTCCGAAAGACTATCCCTTAGTCCCTCGATTGTCTTGTCTTGCTCTTTGCATGTTCTCAGGAAACTTGTAACGGATTTGTGTAAGTCCCTGCATTCTTTATCCTTCTCTTCGAAGTTTCTTCTTAAACAATCGAGATCTTGTGTGGCACCTTCATAACTCTCTTGTAATTTTGACAGGCTCTGTTTAAGATACGAGTTTTCTTCATACAAATCCTCTGCTTTTGTAGTCAACTCCTTAACTTTTCCGTCCAAATACGCCATCATATCTGTGCTCTCCGTTTCCTTTTCATGGAAAGTTGATACTTCTCTCTGGAGTGAGACATTTTGCTCAGCAAGCTCTCGAACACGCTCTCGGAGCCTCTTCTCTTCCAGGTGATACTTTTCGAGCTTGAAAGACCAGTCACTTGACCTTCTATCTAACTCTTTCTCCAGTCCTGCCTGCAACTCATTCTTCTCCCTTTCTAGTCTCTGTATGTGCAAGTCCAGCTCTGTCTTTACAAGTCTGATTTCCTCCCTTGCAGAAGCCCTTTCAACCATCTGTGACTGCAAAAGACTTAAAACCTCAAATGCCAAGCCAAATCTCTCCTCTTCCAGATTTCTAAGAGCTTCTACCAAAAAAGAAACATCAAAACCGCAGTTTGAAATGGATCTCTGCTGCTCCAGTTCTTCAGAAAGAAGCTTCACTCTCTCCTCAGCCTCTTCACATCTCCTTCTTAACTCGATATCAGTATCCTCTTCAGCCCCAATATATTTTGAGCCCCCAAATATGTTCTTAGCATGTGAATAACTTTGTTTGTGTCCTGAGAGATCATCTCCATGATCTTCGTTCACCGACTCAAAATGTTCCACAAGAGGAACAGTTTTCATGACTGTGACATCCGAGTTTGAATCAAAGGTTCTACCTAGGGATCCACCATAGATGTCTTGAATAGTGATCGGTTCACGATTTAATGCCTTGGACTTGTGAGTTTGAGAGAGTCTCTCGATCACACTTCTCGCAAGTGCACGAGGGGAGTCATGCCCAAATCCATTTTCCGTGAATTCACTAGAAGAGAGGTGAAGGTCGATCCCTTTTGCTTCTCTAAATGAGTGAGACTTCCGTTTTTCTTTTACACTGTCTGGTGGTGATGTAGGGACCATGCAATGAACCCGTGGGGGAAGCCTCCTACCCTTACTGTCTCCAGAGATATTACTACGCGAGGAATTGCTCTTTTTCTTGCTCCTCTCTAGATGCTCTTCCCCATCAATGTAACGGTCCACAACTTTACTCGAGACATTACTAGAACAAGATGAAGGGCTTCCAGATGAATCATGCGGAAACTTCCCCTCATATATGTGATTGTATTCTGGTTCATATTGTCTTTCTCTATATTGTCGTTCTGGAGTAAGGCACCTAGCACATAGAATGAATTACCTTGTGTTAGTTCTTGTCTCATCAATATAGAAACATGATAATACAAAATTTGATTTTTAAAAGATATCGGAACAACGAGATTCAGTCAGAAACCATCTTACTACTACGAATAAGGCTAAAACTTTACCGAGATGAATGATTGCGTTGCCGATGGTGGCTGTTGGTAGTACTACGAGGTGATTTGCATTGATCATTTGAGGAGGTTTCTCCAACTCCATCAACAAGAAAAGCAGCCGAGGACAATGAACGGCTTCGTCTAAAAGCTGGACCACCAGATACTTCCTTCTGGGACTTTGGGAAAAAACCCTTTGGACCATTGAAGTCCTGCTCGGCCTGACCACCACCCTGATTTCTCATCCTATTTTCTGATGCTTTTTCCCGCTGATCTTGTTTATCAGTTGCTGGTTGAGGAACAGCGCTGCTACCAGTTCCATTACCAGACGAAAATTTTAAAAAGAAGAGCTTCTTCATAGGCGTATCTCCGCTAGCTGGAAAGGGTCCTACCTCACTGCAGCTGCAATCAAAACATATTAAGCAAAAGAATAGATTAAAAGAAGTGGGAGAAAAACCACACATTGGTCACGAAAAGTTTGTCTTTGCTTTAAAAATAGGTATAAGGTACAAACAGCTCAGGTGAGGGGCACTAATTCGATTGATGCACACCAATAAACATGGAGGGATGAGACGCTCATTATGATGCAGAGAATCTCAAACAGAAAAGCAAGGAGTAGGACAACATGAAACCAAGAACTTGGGAAGATAATAACGTTAGAGTTTGCATCAATCCAAGTAGAATTTCGTATTTCTACAGTTCAAAATTCAAATGGGTCCACATCAATCCTACTCCTAGCAAACCAAGGAACCTGAAATTCAATTGCTGAGGCAAATAAAACCTATATAGAGAAAACGTGAAAGTAGGATAATGAACACACCACGCCCTTTGGACTAGAGGAGAGAGATCTATGTTTATAAAATAGCTCCAAAGTACAAAAGGCTCATTTCAAATGAGGAGTGCAAGCTCATGCATAATCCCAAATCAAAGCACCTTAATCACCCCAATTGGATTGAAACACGAAAACAACCAACTTTAACTGGATTCCGCATATGAATCCCAAGAATTTTATCCATAACCAAGTGAAGAAAAACAGAGAGCAAAGAGTGTAGGGAAGCAAATGGTACATATAATCAGCTCATGGATATAACCCATTAAACAAAGGCAGCGGTACTCAATACGGATCTTCGAACCGAAGAAGCCAATTATCAAATTCATAAGCTTCAAGCTTGATGAAGAAAAACTGGTCAATTAGTGAAGCAAGATCAAGATGACCATCAAAATTAAAATCGATTGTCAGAGCTTCTCACCCAATCGGATTAAACACCAACCGAGGACCGGGATAAAATACCGAATTACCCTTATCTTCTCCGATTAGCCAAAACCCTAGAACTAGAACGGAGATTAACGAATCATCACAAAACCGCTTTCTGATTCTGAAGGATCGAGGTACGGATCAAATCAATAGAATCGTTGAGGAGAAAATGAAAAAGAAAAGTGCGGCGAAACTTACGAACATTCAGAAACTGAAAAAGCTTCCTCTGCCAGGAACTTCAGTCTTCTTTGCGCTTCCTCTCTGTTTCTTCGATTTTCTCGCCTACCAAACAAACCCCAGTAAGATTTCGAATATCCACACTGCAGTACACTCGAACAGTCGAAAAATCGGACGGTAAAAAATGCTACTACCCACTACTTTCTTGCTCAGAAAAAAAAATCCAAAAAACAAAATCAAAGTATTCGGTTTTCGAAATTCGGAAAATAAAAAGCTTCAGAAAGAAAGAAAGGATCCGGTAGTTATGAACATTCCATAAACAGAGATTCCGTATATCGATATGGAGAAGCTCAAAATTCAAATGAGGAAGAAAACCGAAACGGAAAAATTGACCCGCAAGCAGATACTAACGGCGTCTGATAACGGTGACTTGATCTAACGGAGAGTTCTTCGTGAGAATCAGAGAGCGGCAGACATTCGATTGACGGCGGACAGAGGCGAAGAGAAAAACGGCTGTTTTTTCCTTTTGGCTGTATAAGACGTAAATAGAGTGGGAGTTTAGGGGTAATTTTGGTAATTCAGTCAAGCTTTTAAATCTTTTCCTTGCGCGGATAAAGCTAATGGGAAGGAGCGGACTGTTTCATGTGGGACCCATTTGTCTTCCATTTTGTCCCTAATTAACGTATTATCTTTCTTTTTTTTTCGTTTCTCTTCTGTGGATGAACTGACGTAGAGAAGGGATGGACGTTTAAATTTGATTGAGAATAATTTGGTTTTGATTTTTTTAATTTTATAAAAATAAATATTAATTGGTTATTATATTATATTCGGTTTGATTTCGATTTTTGGTTTATGTCGGTTCTGATTTTTTATTAAAACATATATTTTTTAAAAAAAATCAATTTTTCGGATTTTTTGAAATTTTATTCGGTACAATTCAATTTCTAAAAAATTGGTTTTTCTACGACTAATATCTTTCGAAAAAAATTTCGAAAATTTTAAATAGTTCGAATCGAAAAAAATATCGTATTTTTCGTTTCCAATCGAAACTCTCACAGAACTCAACTTTAGTGAGAGAAAAAAATTAAGTCAAAGTTTAAAATAAAAATAATATATATTATTTTATGTGGAAAAATATATAAATGATGTTTTCATGGTGTGGTAGTGAAGATTCATATTTATTATGCGAATTTACCATATATATTGTTTATAAACATATAATTCAGTGTATTAACCTCGGTAAAAATCGAATAAAGTGTGTTCAAATTATATCCGAACAAATTCATCTGGCATTTTATTTCACTTATGTTGAAATTTATTCAAATCGAAACAAAAATGTTTAGTATCTAAAATAAGTGAGATGGATTTTAATTTGATATTTTGAGCATTTTGACTTTTTATTATGTGAAATAACTCCAAAAGGAACAAAATCTTAGAAAAAAAATGATTCAAAACTGGTTAGCCCATATATATAAATGTGCAAAAAAAATATTATAATCATCGTTACGTCTTATATTGATTAGCAGATATGCTCCGATTAAAAGGGTAATGGTTGATTCACTTCATGGATTTAAGAAAATACATTGCTTTTTATTGGTTCTTACAACATGGGGTTTCAGAACGATTTGTCCTCAGTTCTCTACGGCCGATTCATCTCCGACAGAGGCTTGCTGAACTTCTTCTTGTCCGGCCCCGATGATGTTTTCGCTCTTCAGCAGCTGCGACAACCTTTTGGCGAGGCTTCGTCTCGTGTCGGGCGAGACACCGTTCTTCCCGACGATCGACTCGAGAACCGCCTCCCCCAGGAGCTTATTCTCGATCACAGCTTCTCCGGTTTCCGGGATGCTACCGTCTCTCGAGAACGCTATCTGCGGGAGTTTCAAGAACAATCACGGGTCAAATTCGAGTGCAATGAGATATAATCACGTCTATTGTTACATCTCTTCTTTTAATTTCAATGGAAATAGTTCGACTATAACCAAAAAACCCGGTTCCTTCAACAACCAAACCAAGAGGCAAACTTTTACCAATCCAAGATCTGGGTCTGTCTTAAAACACCAAAATTGGTATCCCCTGATGAGTTCAGATTCATCAAGACACTACTCACTAGACTCGGATCCTGAATTCCATGGTGTACGGTCAACATGTTTCAATTGCTTTACTCTCAATTACGTTCACATTGACTATCAACACAGGACTTTCATCTCATATACGGACACGACATAAGTCAACTGTCTTCAAACCAGGACAAGACTTTCTGAGATCAAACTGCTCCGAAATTTCACATACAAGAAACAGAGAGGCATTGTAAAGGCAAAGGCTTACAGTGAACGAGCTTCCAGGGGAGAGGGCGAAGAGGATAGAGGAGCCCGGAGGGAAAGTTTCGTCCTTGAAGATCTTCAAGAACTTCTCCACGGCCTTAGCCTCGGATTCAGTGTAAATGCCCAAGGATTTCCAGATTCTGACACAGTTCTCCGTCACTTTCTCCGAGTATTGCACGCCCGTTAATGGCAGAATCATAGTCACCCTTACAAATTTCTCAAACGGACCTGAACCGTTTGGATTCACGCTTCTTAATCATCAAACAATTCTTCACACAAACAATAAAAAAAATTAAAAAAAAATCGGTAGACAGAGATACATACCTGTGACGAGCTCGCGGAAGAAAGCGACGGAATCCGTCAACTCCTCGGCGGTTCTCCCGCTCCACTTAACGGAGAGTAACGGCAGAGCGTTATCTTCGAGGTACACTCCAATGGCAGTGAACTTCACGAACTTGCCTTCTATATCAAGCCCTCGCACCCCTGCGCAGGTTAGCACAACACCACACGTCAGATAAAAATGACGCGAAAGAGAGAAGACGAAACCGTGAAGCAGCACGCTAGCTAACCTGCCCCGCCGAGGAAGAGGGTCTTGGAGGAAGCCGGAGGCTTAACGGCCGGCGGAAAGGTAACGGCATCGACCTGAATTTCCGCAACGGACGGTGACGGAGACGACATCGCTGCGTTGGTTTGTGTTCTGGCCAGGCTTTCTTGGAAGTTGGCTTTGTAATTATAGCGCTTTCTTGTGGATGAAACGACGGCGTTTTGCAGTGAGGCCGTGGTAGGTACCGATTTCGAAGTTATGAGAAGCGCGTGGGGCTACGCGCTCTTACCTTCTGGGTGAGAGAGAGTGGTAGTTAAACAAAATGCGCGACTGGTGGTTCGATATTCGTTATGTAAATCTATAATTAGAGTCCGAGTTTGACGTGAGAAAACGATTTTTTCGTTTTTAAAAAATCATATTAATTTAATTTAGATTCGTTTCAATTCAGTTTTTTTTCTTATAAATTATTATTTTTTATTTCGATATTTTTATATTGGTTGAAAAATATCTACCTTTATGTCTTTAAAAATTACAATTAAGATTCAAATTTTATCGGATAACATATAGTACAAATTCGGTATAATTTTCGTAGGACCAAAAAATCGTTTCCGAACCAATAAAACACTTGAATCGAACCTGATAAATACAGAAAGATCTGAATAATTCATAATTATGTAAGAAGAATTTATGTATAAATATCAAATTTTTGTTTTTATTTGGTATTCAAATAATAAAATGGAACTGAACGAGACTAAAACCAAACAGATTAACATTTTATTCTATTTTAGCATAATCATTAATCACCATAGACCCGAATAAACCGTTCTCACCTTAATGCTAAAATCATCTCACAAAAAATTAATAACCAAACAAAAAGGAATCCAAAAAAAAAGAGATGAAAGCAAACCAAGGGAAATCTGCCTAATCCTGACCCAACCTAATGGGTAGGCTTTGTACTGCCTTAGCATTGTGATGTTATGTTGTATGAATAACAGGTTGTTAAGGTTCAACGATCTATATGTCTGGAATTTATGGAAATTACAAAAATACCTATGATTAACCCTAAAATTAACCAATCGAAAGGGAAACGCCGATACCAACTTGAAGAATTATAAAAAAGAATTTGAAGAAAACACCCTTTAATCAAATCTCTGATTCAAATATATATGATAGAAGTTTCTTGAGTTTGAAGCTCTTTCTTCTTCCCCCAAAAAAACGAGAGCTTGATTTTAGTTGGCAAATTTCCGGGAAAACAAAAGGGAAAGAAAAGAAAGCCTTACACCTTGATGGCATACTTTCTCAAGGGAAAGTACATTTCTTTCTTCTTCTCTCGTTCTGTCTTCAATGATGCCTGTCCCATGACGAAGTTCAGATGCAAGTAAGGCCGAGGCATACATATCGTGAATTCGCATTTTCAAAGAAGAGGGCAAACACGACAACATCAAAATACAAGAAAAGGAAGTGAGAACAAGATTCCATAGCCATGGGCATCCCCCACATGCGTTACTTGGCTTTGAGTTCAAAAGAAGCATGAAAGCTTTCGGAATTTCTTGTACAAGTTTTCGGAGTAAAAAACAAACAAGGAGACGAGCTCGCTCGGTTAAAACAGACACGGTAGGAGGAAAAGGCAAGTACCTGGTGCTTGGTGAGCCTCCTCCTGATAGCTCTTGTCTTCTTGGGTCGGAGATCGAGTGGCAAAAACCTTTTGTTTTTGTACGCTTCTCTCAGAGCAGACTTTTGCTTCTGCGAGATCACTGTCAAGACCTGCGCTATGGATTTCCTCACCACCTTGCTATAACAGGTTGAAGGAGACAGAGTGAGAGAGAGTGCCCATTCAGAAAACAAATCTCTATGGCCATATATATATATATATATATATATATATATATATATATATATATATATAGAAGATGACCATTTACACCAGAAGTTTAACCCGTAACATCAAAAGATTCAAAACCCTTAGCCTTCTTCCATCACCGAGGCAGTTTTTGGAGTTTCCAAATTCAAGTAGAACACTTTGGACAACAAGACTGAAGACACTTGAATGCAGATATATTTCCAAACTATAACCAAACAAGAAAAAACAACAAGATAAAAAGCACGAGTTCCATATACATCTACTGAAGAAGAAAAACAAGAACAAAAACCATGCATCGAAAATCAGAAGTAAAGCTTTCACGAAGCACGAGCAGCGACATAGACACATCATTAAAACCTTACAACAGAAGCACAATTCCGACAATGAACCTAATCCACAAATGGCAAGACGCAATCTCGTCATTCGCAAAAGAGAACACACCAAATCAACAACCACGTTAAGCCTAGCATTAAACTTCTCCAATTACCTATGGCTACGTCAATGGAAACCAAAGATAGATAGATATATATATATATATATATAATCATTATGAGAGATCGGAGCACATACATCTTGGAGAGCTTGTTGGGAGCACCGCCAGTGACCTTAGCCACGCGGAGGAGGGCAAGCTCCGCCTTCAGATCCTTCAGCTGACTCGAGAGATCAGCTTTCGATTTCTCCCTCAGCTCGTGAACCTTGATTCTAGCTGTTCCAATTCCCATTTCAATAAAACTCAAAATTTAAAAAAAAAAACTGAGAAAACCTATCTTTGAGGTCAAGCGTAGAGAAAAATAGCAAAAACAAAGGTTCTATTCCAATGTTTTCACTCCGAAAATTCAGAAGTAAGCTTACCCATGGCGGTTCTTTCGAGTTCTCGATCAGGTGCCTCCTTTCTTTGCGCGATAGAAACCCTAGAACCAGGTTGAAGGCGGGGTCTAGGTTTATATAACTCGGTCTAGGTTTTTCATTTGGAGCGGAGTCATCGTTCTATTAACTAATGGGCCGCGTTCACATTTTCCTTAATGGGCCGCCTTATACGTTCCGTAATGTACCAAATAAATACTCTATTTTTTCAAATTGCTAAATAAATAATCTAATTTCCAAATTATTAAATAAATACCTCTATCTGATCTTGTATCAAATCAAAATCAATCTGTGACGGAATCAATTTGTCCCAGATAAATACCAAATTGGTATTGACCCGGCACAAATTGACTATATTGTAGTATTTATTTGTCAATTTGAAAATTGAAATATTTATGTGGAATATTTAAATAAATTGTGATATTTTTATAGATTTTTTCAAAAAAATACATTTTAATAATTGAAGTCATAGACAATACATTTTATTATTTAATAGATGTCATTTTAAATTTTCTAGATAATTTTTGAAAATAATTTTCAGATTTAACTTTAATTAAAATATTCAATCCCAATAGAATAGTAAAAATATTAAATAAGGGCATATGTGACTTTTTTTATATTTCTTTGAATGAATTTTTATATTAACCGTCTGTGAAAATTTTTAAAACAAACATTTTAATTGTTATTGATAATACAATGAAATTTAAATAACCAAGTACGAAGTATGTTAATTATAAAACTATCAAAAGATAGAAAGGGTGGAAGTAAACATTTTCATTGGGAACACTCGTTTATTTTAACTAGGCACATAAAACAATTTATACCAAAATATTAAAAATTTGTTACTAAGATCAATTGCAAAACAGGATTATAAAAGGACACGTGTCTCTCCGACGAGAGCTTTAGGGAAATAGAAAAACCTTAGGAATCTAGAAACAAGAGATGTCTTGTACATTAAGCATAAATTAGACCAAAGATTTCATCACGTGCGTCTATTAATCAGGCAGAGGTCGATCTCTTAGAGACTGTAACTCTAAGACCATTTTTTATGCGAAGGATGACCGACACAAGTGATTCCACATCTTGTCCGTCCGTGACATGAATGTCGTAGTTTTGTAATACGTATACGATCACCGTTTTCAGCTGTGTGAACGCCATTTCCTTCCCCAGGCAAGTTCTGGGGCCGGCGTTAAAGGACAAGAACTTGAATGAAGGTTCATGTCTCGACCCTCCACTCTCCGAAATCCATCTCTCCGGTCTGAAATCCGACGCGTCTTCCCCCCATATCGCTTTCATCCTCCCCATCGCGTAAATGATCACGAGTATCGTTGAGTTCGCCCCGACTTTGTGTCCGCTCGCGAGCACGTCCGGTCTTGTCGGAGATTTTCGTTCGAACGGGATTGGAGGGTATAGCCTCAGTGTTTCGCACAATGCGCCGTGCAGGTACACCAACTTCTTTAGGTCATTGGGAGCGAACGACGTCTCGTCCTCATCATCAAGATTCGCGATTCTTGGCAATCTTGTTTTGATTTCATGGCGGATCTTGGTGAGAGCCTCGGGGTTTTTCGAGAGGAGCCAGAAGAACCGGGTCAGTGTCGAGCCGACACCCATCCCGGCGATCATAAACGTCAAGAGGGTGTCTCTTTGGAATTTATCGTCGGATGGGTCGAAGAGATCGTGTTTGGCCACGTCCAAGTTCATGTAAGACGTCAACAAATCCATAGCTTCTCCACCGGAACGATGAAGAAGCCCTAACCGTATCTCTTCTCTCTTAGCGGCTACGTATTCTTGGCAAATACGATCGAAAGTGCGGTGAGCTCTTCTCATCCTCTTCTCCACCCCGAATCCGATCCAGTTTTCGAGCTTCCACAAGATTTTTGGCTTAACGTGCCTTTGCACAATGGCCTCTACAGCATCGTTGAGAGCTGTATAAAACTCAACGTCCGGCATTTCGACGGAGAGACTCAAAGGGTCGTGGCCGGTTATCGTAATGCATGTGGTGTCGAATACGTATCTCTCGAGCACGTCTTGCAAGTCCACGACCGTCTTCTCCTTTGCGACGTGACCGAGAAACGGTAAAAGCCCGTTCTTCACCTTGTTCACGTTGGTAATGAACGAGAACCTTTTAAACCCATCATGGCTGAAGATCGTCCGAGTCGATTTCCTCAGACTCTCCCATAGCTCGCCGTCGACGTTTATTATTCCATCGCCAAGAACATCGAAGACATCCTTGAACTCGGTCCCTTTCGGGTAATTGCCGAAGTTTGAACTCATGATGTGGTGGATATTTGCAGGATCGACGGTGATGAGCATGTCGATTCCCCCCAACCACGGGCCCTTGAAAGGGAAAGTCATGTCGGAATTCTCGAGAATCTCGACTGTCCAGTCGTAAATGCGATGGAACATCACCAGAACGCCAGGAAGCATCCCTAGAAACGGCCAGTTCCTGGGGAAGCATTCATTAGGTTTCTTATTGTGCAAGAAATGGAAGACGAGGAAGATAAGGAAAGCTACGGCCACTTCAAGAAACCCTATCGACGCCATTGTAGAGAAGGTTTCTTTTAGTTCGCAATAGCCAGAGAATGAGCTTTTATTTATGTGCCATTCAGAGTGGTATTGTAGGGTGGGCGTTGTTTCGGGATTCGGTTCGGTATTTTAGAAGTTCGGTTCTACAACGGTTTTATTTGATATTCTAAAATTTATACCAATTTAGTACGGTATATTATTCCATTCGGTTTGATTTCGGGTTTTATTAAAACATTTTAGGTTTTTTTTAAGAAAATTTCGGTTTTTGGTAATTTTATAAAGTTCGGTCCGGTTCGGTTCGATTTTTGAAAATTTGGTTCTATAAAATTATGAAAATTTGAACGGTACAATTTGAAAAAAATATCGAAATTTTTAGTTCGAGACGGAAACGAACCGAAACGCCCACCCTAAGTATATTGTGGAAATTAGCTTGTATGTGAAAATGTGTCTCTTTTTTTTGGGGTATTTACAATCTATATTTTTCAAGGTAAATTTTCATAATGTTAAAATATTTATAGATTTTCAAATTATTTTCGGATTTTTATCCGGTTAAAAATTGATTTCTCGAAGCATCGGTTTGGCATCGGTTTAGCAGACACTACTCTGCTCCTCTGGCGCTACGGAACGTGTACATGGTTTCTTGTTTCTTATAGCCTTTATAGCTCATAGTAGGTTTGGGACCATAACCATTTTTTGCAAGTTAGAATATTCTTTCTGTGTATAAATAGGGGTATTGTAGTATGAGTTTTAATATACAGAAAACCATTTTTGAAAAGCTCTCTCGCCCTGCTTTTACATATCAAAATGGTATCAGAGATTTAAATGAAAATCTATTGAAATACCAAGTGTCTTACCAAATATGCCCTGAAGGCGCTCTGAATCTTGATGGCTGACAAGTTGAGGTCATGATTCTTGGAATAATGTCGAGACGTAAAGGCATTACCGGGAAAACAGACGGCCTCAGCTGCCCTCCCCCTAGCCATGACCCTTATTCTAATCCCCTTTTTCTTCACCCTGCTGATTCTTCGAGCCTAACCCTTGTTTCTGAGAAACTTTTGGGTGAGCAAAATTTCAATCTCTGGTCTCGAGCTGTCATTAAAGCTCTGACAACGAAGAACAAACTTGGGTTTCTCTATGGTCATGTCCCTAACCCTGCCGCAGACCATGCTGATTCTGGGGCTTGGTCACGATGCAACGCTCTTGTTGCTACCTGGCTCACCAACTCCGTTTCTCCTGACATCGCGAGCTTGATCTTGTTTCTCGATGATACCCAAATCATTTGGGAAACCTTGGAAACAAGATTCAAACAGAGCAACGTTTCTAAGATATTTAATGTCGAGCAACGGATCGATTCTCTGCGCCAAGGTCCTCTAGATCTGAACTCCTTCTTCACTAAACTTCATGGTCTGTGGGAAGAGCTCAAGAACTATGAGCCATATCCCCTGTGTTCTTGCGGAGGTTGCTCATGCCAGGCGAACGCCAAACTCATAGAGATCATTGAGCGCCGTAACGTTGTTAAGTTCCTCATGAAGCTGAACGATTCCTACACTCAGGCTCGCCGACATATTCTCATGCTCGACCCACTGCCCAGCCTTACCAAGGTATACAACCTTCTCTCTCAGGAAGAACACCATCATCACTCTATCCCGCATCCCTCAGAACCTGTTGCTTTTCAGGCTACCTCATTTTCTTTCAAACCTAAACCTTCTTTTCCCAGATCCACCATCACCAAACCCCGACCTCAGTGCACTCACTGTGGTCTACTGGGTCATACCATTAACCGTTGCTACAAGCTTCACGGTTACCCACAATCTTCTCGCTCCTCCCCTTCATCTTTCTTTCCGAGCCCAAACACTAAACCACCCTTGCTACCTACCCCAAAATACACCCCCTCTGTTAACCTGGTAACCAAACCACCAGCAACCTCTGCATCATCTCTCACCCCTGTCTCTGACCCTTTGGCACAAGCCCAGGTTCTGTTCGATCAGTTTCAGTCGCAGCTCAAGCAACTTGGTGCCTCTCCATCGGATTCAGCTCTGACAGTCCCCTCCACCACCACTAATCCTTCTTCTTCCTCAGGTATAACGCTTTCAACCCGTTCTCCTTCTCATACCTCTGTTCCTTTTTCAGACCTATCACCAAATATTTGGATTTTAGACACTGGAGCCACTAGTCATATTTGCTGTGATTCTCGATTGTTTCAGAATCTTCACTACATTACTCCTCTCACTGTTACATTGCCTAACGGTGATTCCATCTCAGTTACTCACTCTGGCTCTGTTTTTCTGTCAGCTTTTCTAGTTCTTGAATCTGTTCTGTTTATTCCTTCATTTCGTTTTAATCTCCTTAGTGTCAGTGCCCTTACTAAAAACACCTCTCTTACGGTCTGTTTTTCTCATGACTCCTACCTGATCCAGGACCCTACGCGGGGCTTGACGATTGGGAAGGGTAATCAGATCAACAACCTCTACACCTTGGCGGCACAGGACACTTCCTCTGCTGCATCTATCCCGCCTCTTCTTTGTACAGCTTTATCAATCTCCAAGGATGTTCTCTGGCATAATCGCTTGGGACACCCATCTACTTACAAAATACAGGCTGTTTCGGCTTCTTCTCAGCCCACTTTTGTGTTTTCAGACACTAAATACTTACGTTGCCCTGTCTGTCCACTTGCAAAGCAACATAGACTTTCCTTTCCTTTTGGTGGTCATCGTTCTACTGATGTTTTTGATCTGGTTCACCTTGATATATGGGGACCATTCCATGTAGAAACTCATGATGGCTGTAAATATTTTCTTACTTTGGTTGATGATTGTTCTCGTCTTACCTGGGTTTACTTTTTACACTCTAAATCTGACGTTGTTTCTAAATTGCCAGATTTTATCTCCTATGTTCAAACTCAGTTTCACAAAACAATCAAAACCATCCGTTCGGACAATGCACCCGAACTCTCCTTTACCGAACTTCTTCAGTCCAAAGGCATCCAACATCATTTTTCATGTCCTTACACACCGCAACAGAATTCGGTGGTTGAACGTAAGCACCGTCACATCTTAAACGTGGCTCGGGCCTTACTTTTTCAATCCAATATACCTCTTATATACTGGGGTGAGTGTGTAAAGACTGCCATTTATTTGATCAACCGAACCCCTTCTCGTCTTCTCAACCATAAAACACCTTATGAAATACTTACCAAAACCCCACCAACCTATGATCACCTTCGTGTTTTCGGATGCCTTTGCTACGTCTCTACCTTGTCCAAACATCGCCATAAGTTCTCCCCTCGGGCTTCTCCGTCCGTTTTCCTTGGCTATCCACCAGGTGTAAAGGGTTACAGAGTTTTAAATCTGGAAAGCAATGTCATCTCCACATCTCGTGATGTTGTTTTCCATGAAACCTCTTTCCCTTTTCTGGATAAAACCTTAAAGCCAGAGT